CTCTCTCTCTCTCTCTCTCTCTCTCTCTCTCTCTCTCTCTCTCTCTCGTCTTTCTGCCTCTTCATCAGTACGGGAAAACAGATGAGATGGCCATAACCCTCGCTCAGTCTCTTGGACAGAACGTTGGCATCTTCTCTGACAAGAAGAGGATCCTCAATGGTGCACAGTTAAACTTTAATGACTCCTTTATTTCTTACTTTTCCAGCTCATTTTTAAGGCTCGTTTCTATGCAATGGCAAGATGTTGATGTGTGTTGTTTTTTTTCATTTCCAGGCGAGTGCAAGTGTGATGACCGTTGGTCGGGCTGTATCATGGATGATGTTGGGTAAGTGACTTTTACAGAACATTCCCTAATCAATTCATAACCTTAAAGCCACTACAGAAAACAGACGAGAGTTTTCCCAACTAATTGTTTGACGAAAATCTGACTGGGATTAAAACATCGTGTCAGTGAGCAGTTGTTACACAGAGTTTTTCCAGTATATTTTAATCACAAAATTAGAGTTGGATACCATGTTGTACATTGGCTATAATGCTAACATCACACTTTTCCCAAAGAATATTGCATATTTGTTTGCTCAAGAATTCATTTTCTATTTTGAGTGGATGGGTATTGTCACCAAAGATTTAAATGAAATCTGTTGTAAAAGTCGTTGAATTTGGATTGTGGACATTATTCATTTTAACTAGAAAATATTCTACTATGTATCTCAAAGCATAATCATATTTTATTATCTTTGGAAGTGTTTGTTTGTAGCAGGTTTATTTTATTTGTAAAGGACCATTTACAATATTAAACACAAATGTTACCATTTCATGTATTGTACCAGAGTTAGCTTACAGCTCATTTTCATCTACAGTCCTTTTTTCGACGTCACAGTTAAAACATACGCACAGTGACGATCACATCAAGATCACATCACACACACAAACCATGTTAGTAACAAGTGTATGTGTTACAAATTATGTAGGTCTAGATAATTGTATCAACTATTTAATGTGTTTATTAAAAATTTGTAAATATGACATTTTTTAAAAATATGCTGATATCAATATTTCCATCCACTGGAGTGTCATGTAGTTTGATAATTCACCACCAGGTGTCAGCCTATGTGAATTTTTCACATGGTTGTTTACATAACTTCATTGGACCTCGCTCCGCAGTAATGTATTATATAATCTGTTGCTTGCTAAGATTAGAAAACAGGTGATAAATCAGTCTGTGTATGTTTTGTGTTTCACGACAGTGTTTGTCTTAGTGTAGATCAGCAGTGTTTGTACTGCGGAGGATTTCTGCGAGCATACGGATGTGACTGTGTTGTGTCTCTGCGATCTGTGTGTATGTGTGAATATATATACCCCTCTTCTTAAATACTTCTCGCGTTCCCCCTCTATCCCGAATGGGACAGCAGGTGAGCTGAAGCTTGGCTAGAACGTTGCCTGTGCTGTTTTGAACCAACCGGCTGCCTTGGAGGGGTTGTCAGTCATCACAACCTTTCCCATCTCATCCAACAGCACGACAGCTGCTGTGGCCCCAGCTTCTCTTTTTGATTCAAATGATATGAAAAAATACAGTTTGATGTCCTTTTATTATACACTGACTGTATTTTTTATAATCATTTTGTCCAATTTCACATGTACTTCATGTGTATTCTTCAGTTTTTGGATGTCACTGTCTGATCAGCCAAGAACATTTTATTGATTTAATTATTCTAATTTATTGACAGGCTCCTTCTCCCTCCTGCGCTTTGAAAGTCAGGACTTTTCATCAGTTTTTTTTGTCCATCTCTAACCGATTGAAACAGTCTGCAATGTCATTCTCATCCTAGGCCAATATTTAACTACCTCATTTCACTGTAACGGCAGTGCACTCCCCTAACACTCCTCGTCCAGGTGCTGCTCTATTGGTTACCGTAATAATGCTGCTCTAATGTCATGTGGTCACATGACAGAGGACAGGTGACTCTGCGCTCTTATGAGACTGTCACCTGTGAATGGACCTGGCCCAGATCTGTATTCACTAAAATAAACTCAATGGTATTTCAGACACTTGTATTCAATGAGCAACCCTCAGTCATGTCCATTGACGGATGTTTATTTTTATTCCTCAGCACTTGCATGTCTGATCGACCTAACCTGACTACTACTAACTGTATTTCTCACAAGGTTTAGCTGCTGTGTGTGTGTGTGTGTGTGTGTGTGTGTGTGTGTGTGTGTGTGTGTGTGTGTGTGTGTGAGAGAGAGTGTGTGTGCACGTGTGTGTCTTTTCATATGTTTGTATGCACATATTGTTTGAACATGCATTGCGGTCGAGTTAGGATTTATAATTGTTCTATATATATTTATTTTTACTTATATTTCCTTTCTGTTATATTCTCATGAAACAATAGATTTTTGCCATGAACAAACTTGGACAAAATATGATTATAGAGAGTGCTACATTGAAAAAAATAGATTTCTTTTCTGATTTAATTAACTCAAATAGTCTGTAATAAAGACATACAGTGAGGTGAATGATTGTGGTTCAGTGTGATTCAGACACTGCCTTGCCTCCTAAAAGCCACTAGGAGGTGATAGACTGACTGTGAATGAAAGAAGAAAGAAAGAAATGATTGTGAATCTTTTTTCTGGAAACACAAGGTGCTTCATGTACTTTATGAAAGAAATCTACAAACCATAGGCAAATAATACATTAGTATCTGTGTTTTAATCTTTTGGAATTCATGTAATTTAATATAAAAAATATGTGCATTATTCTACAATATAACAGCAATAAATATGGTGAAATAGAAGTAAGAGATACACATTATAATATGTATACCACAATACATAACAACAGCGTAAATAATAATAATGCTGTAAAATGTGAGGTATTATGGTGTGTAAAAACTTGTAAAAATGCAGGAATAGTACAAATATATAAGAGTATTAGTTTAGATGTATAATATAGATAAAAAACTGTATTAATGCCAGAGTAAATTGTATTGCACAGTTGAATTATTGCACAAAACATCTGTTAAATCAGTATTGCACAGTTAAAGATATTATTAATTGTGGGCTGATTAATACTATTGTTCCCCATGGCAAAGATTGTACTTCTCCTGGTGATCAGTGAATCATTTAAGCACGTTTCATCTTCGTTTTACCCCTTATTACTGTTTAAATGGGGATAAACACTACAAGATTTTGATGAGAGTAAGCACTGGTGCAAATTTTTAATTCAAAGATGCAAATCTCTGTGAGAGTTGGGACAACTTTAAACTTGATTAAATCTACCTGAAATATTGTAGTGTGCTTCACCCATCATCAAAGCGTCATTACTGGCTCCTTATACAACTATTATCCCTGTACGTGGCTTCATTTATCCACATTTCATATCAAACAATGACAACCTCTCACAGAATATGTCTATTATTGCATTGTCTCCTGTGCCAGTCCTGATGAGCCACACTACCAGAGGTATACAAGCTAAACATCAGTGACTGATGGCTCAGCAGTAAGACGATGTTTAAACACTGCTTAGGTTTAGGTCAATGTCATCAAAAGCATCGGAATGGAAACAGGACATTTGATTGTGACAAATTTGCTCAAGTACCTCAGAAGTAGTTTGGGCTTCTGGTGAATGTATCATGTAGCTGGATTATTTATATTGTTACTGTAAGTGAATCGAAGCAATCACACTGAGCAAGAGTTGATGCGTTTGATTTCTGTTCTGTGTATTTCGTGAGAATTTGTTGAATATTGATGTGATCATTTTAGTGTCACATGATAATGCAATAATAAATGTTTTTGTGAGTCATCCACAATAGTTCATTTCTATGCCAAATTCATAAATGCATTTTAGAATCCATTCCACATCTTCCACATATCTCCATGTGATCCTCACAGTCTTAGCTCTACTCTATATCTACCTCCATGTTGTAGTAAGGATCTCCTCTGAACTGTGAGTATGGTAAACCTGTGGTAAAATCTGAAATATTCATGGTACAGTGTAAGAAATACAAACTTTATTAGATATGACAAACCTGACATGGCATTGTATGCTGCACTGAAATTAAATGTGAGGTATGAAACATTAATTTTTTTGGGCAGAAATGTCAAAAACTATATTTTCTCCAGTGTTTGTCCTGTACTTTGTGTTTGGGGAACAAGCCCCGTCTGTCCCAGTATTATCTGAAAATGCTCTCTGTACTGTATCCATGGTAACAGCATAATATGCTGCGGTTGTGTTGAACAGTTTCTACCTGCCCAAGAGGTTCTCTGACTGCAATGTGGAGGAGTACCATACCTTTCTAAACAGCGGTGGAGGAGCCTGTTTGTTCAACAAACCTCTGAAGGTACGTCACACTCACACAAATGCAGTCATACACATGGACGGATCCATGGGCCCCTGGGCACAGACATGTAAAGGCCCCCCACTCTTGCTTCCCCTTGTAGTTGTTTCGCATCTCTTTTTGGTTGTATTGCATTTCTTTGTTGAGGTTTTGCATCCCGTAATAGTCCTTTTGCATCTCCTGGTAGTCGTTTTGCATCTTTTGGTAGTCGTGTCTCTTTGTGATCTTTTTTTGTCTCTTTTTTGTTGTTTTGTATCTTGTTTTGGTCATTTTGTACCTCTCTTTGGTAGTATTGCATCTCTTTGAGATCATTTTGTGTATATTTGTGACTTCCCAACAAGAAATGTGAGCAGTAACTTCAAACAGAGACTGTGGGTCCTCCTAACCTATTGGGCCCCGGAGCCTCTGCCCAGTAGGCCCGTTCAGTAATCCGTCTATGCTCATATACATACATGTGTCCTCTTAGTAGTTTGAAAATGAATTCTGACCTTCTTCCCCTCAGCTTTTGGACCCTCCGGTGTGTGGAAATGGCTTCGTGGAGCCAGGAGAGGAGTGTGACTGTGGCAGCCCAGCGGTAAGCTGCAGTACTGTAGATGACTGGATGCTGAGATGTACTGCCCTAAAGGGTTAATTTAGGGTTAATCCAAGGTCCAAGTGGTGGGCTAATTACCCAACAACAAGACCACCTTCTGTGTCAGACTAATAAGAAGTAATTTAAAGTAATGAAGTAATGTCATTGGAGAAATCAAGACGCTGCATGCACACTGATGATTGCACAATTATAGTTTGTCCAGAGAGACTTCTGTTTGAATAGATTATAATGTTAGATGAGATAATGTGTTACATAGAACAACTTAACATGAAGTTAAAGGAAGACAACTGAGAGCAGTTTCTGTCTGTCTGTTTAGGAGTGTGCCAGCGAGGGGGAGGCCTGCTGCAACAAGTGCACTCTGACCCAAGGCTCCAAGTGTAGCAATGGACTCTGCTGCAACAAATGCCAGGTACAAAACAGGGCCCAACTACACCTTTCATCCTCCGCTGGGGTGTCGTTTTGGGTAAAACAGATGTACTAACTACTCATGGCACCAAGCTGAAGGAGGAGCCCTAAAAGAGTATGCCTTTTTTGGTCCTCGTGGCAATCTCCACTTGAATTTACTTTCATTGTATACTCTGGTTTGTGAAACAGCAAACAAGGAAAACGGATGCTACTTTAAAATCTGAGGCCACCTGGAAGAAGTGACAATAAGTTTCAGCTTGTTTTTTGGACAATAAACCAAAAATGTCCTCTTCAATCTTTCCTTTACAATTGACCACAATTGAGATGGTTATGACAACCTTCAAAGGCTTTCAAATATCTCAAAAATGATTGAATGATTAAATGAATGTAGTCTAGTTGTGGATGGGTACACAGACTCATCATAGATGGACTAATAGTAGTTTGGGAGGTCAATACAACAGAGAGAGAGAGACCACCAACTGTGCAGAGGCTTGGCAATTCTTGATTAAGGCCCTGTTCCTCTGACACAAAAACCTAATTACAAACACTCACTTCTTTGATTGTGTGCTCTTCCAGATGGAGTTCATGGGAGTTGTGTGCAGAGATTCAGTGAACGGCTGCGACATCCCAGAAAACTGCACAGGCAATTCCAGCCAGGTGAGCATTAACTTCCCTCAGTTTTCTGCAACCGGAACTATAAACTTATTCAGTGCATCACAGAATCTCTAAGGGTTTCTTTGTTATTTGCAGTGTCCACCAAATGTGCACAAGATGGATGGCTACACATGTGAAAAGGACCAGGTGAGATATTGAGATACTTTACATTTAAAAACTCTGTGACTCTGCAGAGTTGACTTTTCTGACTCTATATTTCTCTCTGCAGGGTCGCTGCTTCAATGGAAGGTGCAAAACCAAAGACAGACAGTGCAAGTACATTTGGGGCGAGAGTAAGTGGAATATTCCTATGTGCAAATTGAATTATATTTTGACAAATCTGCAAAAGACCACATGCATTTCTATTACAAGACCTTTACTAGAGATAAACTTCTTAAGCTGTAGATATTAATGATCTTCGTGTTGTGTCTCCCCAGAGGCAACAGCGGCTGACAAGTTCTGTTACGAGAAGTTAAACATTGAAGGGACAGAGAAAGGCAACTGTGGGAAGGACAAGGACACCTGGATCCAGTGTAACAAACAGTGAGTGAATGCTTTCTGCGACTGAATCCTGTGCAATTTTATTATCATCATCTTATTTTACGCTCCGTAATGTTTGGTTACATCTTTGTGCTTCAGGGATGTTCACTGCGGGTACCTGCTGTGCTCCAACATCTCACCTGCCCCGCGACTGGGAGAGCTGCAGGGAGGGATGACCTCTTTCTCAGTCGCCCGGCACAGTGCTTCTCTTGAGTGCAGGTACACATCATTGAGGAAGAACACATCTTTCAATGCTCACAGTGCAAATCAACAGCCTAAAAAGGACTGTTGGTGATCTTTTATTTTGGGACTAGTTTTGTTCCCTAGTTCTGTATTTCCAGCTGTTAAAGACACTGAGCACAGCAAAGGCAACATTTACTGTTCAACTAGAATAAAAGTGTCTCTCATGTTAAGTGCTGTGTGAGTGACTCAGGTGTGTTTTGTTGTTCAGCGGGGCTCACGTGCTGATCGATGGAGACACTGACCTGGGATACGTCGAGGATGGGACCGCCTGCGGGACAGACAGCATCTGTTTTAATCACAAATGTCTCCCCATCCAACAGTTAAACTTCAGCACCTGTCCCGGGACCACTGACAAGATCGTCTGCTCGGGACACGGGGTACACACAGAGTGAACACAGACACGGGCCTCAAACAAACACACATTAACATACAGAACAAGTGTGCAACCATTTTAGCTATTGTGTTGTTGCGTGAATTTAAGTCGGGTATACTTTAGTACTTTATCATCCAGAGTATTAAGAAGCTCTGAATGGTTAACACTGTTCTTTAATTTGATTTTATGATAAACATATCTGTCTAAGAAGTATGCATATCAAACTGTTCGACAAAAGGGACTGACCATAAAAACAATAATTTGTTCAGGTAAGAACATAATGTAAGGTCTAATCTGCTTGACCGAGCTTGCTAACAATAATGTTACTGATTAAATATATAGTATACACAATTTAAAACATCAGGATTACTTCCTAAAACCTCAAACTACAGTTGGTCTGGAGTAATATTTTGAGTAGTAGCACATTATCTATTCACAGGAAGTGTGACACTTTTTATTTTACGTTACATAATAAATGAATATTTTGAAAGGGTATTTCTCTGATAAAGTGTTGGCATAAGACTTAGGATATTAACAGTTAATTAAAAATATGTCTGACAATAAGTCTTTCCAAAACTAATACCGGTTTATCTTTGCTATTCAGCACAACATGTACTGCAAGGGTTGAGTGTCCAAGTTCCTGATCTTTTTTTTTTTAATCGGAGACCTTACAGTTCAAAGCAAATTTGTTTTGAACTTTTCTCTTTTGTTTGCTCAAGGTGTGCAGTAGTGAGCTGAAGTGTGTGTGTTACCTGGGATGGGCAGGAGAGGACTGTAACTCGACGTCTCCTCTCAGTTCTCTTGTGGCCGGACCCACTGCTTCAGTCTCAGGTAGGAGACGTTAGCATAATTGTTTGTTGCCTCTATCCATTCCTCTCTTCATCTCACATTTTTGGACCTTTTTTCCTTCCTCTCCATCCGTTCTTCTGTGCTTCCCATAGCTCTCAACTCTTTCCACCCCACTTCATCGCTTTCATTTCTTCTGTTGAGCTCCCTCCCCTTCACCGATCCCATTCACACATTTTTATTTTGAAGCTTTTCTTTTTTGTTTCGTTTTAGCGTGTCAGGTTTCATGCCTGCTCATTAAAACCAGCTGCATTTGTATTCACTGAACCATGCATGTCATTCTTTTTGTTTGTCATTATTTTCACACTCATTCTTTGTCGACAGGCTGATGTCTTTGACGGAGTGACTTGAGGTCAGATTTGAGTTCCTTTTCATTGTATCTATTCTGTCTTTGATGTCATTTCCTGGTCCATTTCCTCTCTCACCTCAACTTCAGCTGCACCTCAGTCGGCTAATTCTGACCATTATTCAGTTAAAAATCAAGCAGTTTGTAATGTTATCCTGAATGGGAACCTACTGCACATGTAAGTTCCCCTCAGAGTAGTGCTGAGGGCTGACAGCAGTTTGGTTGTTCTCAGTCCTGTCCCCCTTGTTCCCCGTCTACACTTTTCCTGCTAAGTGTACTGTGTTTTTGTGTTCTGCTGCAGTGTTTTGTGGTTTGTGTATCCCCTTGTGTCCACACGATTTCGGGGGAACAAGAGACACACATTCAATTAACACACTTTTGCCTCCCCACTCTCTTCTCTCCCTCTATCTCAGGTATCAGCAGTACCAACATCATCATCGGGGCCATCACAGGTTCCATCCTCGTCCTCGCCCTCATACTGGCTACGACAGCCTGGTGTTACAAGTGAGTGTTCCTGCAGCCAGCCAGTCGTATCTTCTTTTTCCTGTGAATTACACAATAATTGACAAGGGGTAGCGAGTAGATATTGCTTCATTTTGAGGGGTCACAAGTCAACAAGGTTGCTTTTTATTATGAAATACATTTAACAAAAGTGATAATACTGTTGGACTGAGGATACCCGTACTTCTCTTCACAGGAGCTACAAGCAGAGATGCTATGTTGAGTCTGAAGTTCACCGAAGATTCTGCCGGTTTGCTCACTTCAAACTCTAAATTCAATGTGCTCCATTTATGTAGATTTTACATGACATATTTTGAGAGTTAGTTTTCTGTAAATGATGTTTTTATTTTTGCATACAACTAAGTCTGATGATATATATAGATATATTTGATTGCAACAGTCCTCTTTCTCTTAAATGATCCTAAACCCAGTGCAGCTACATTACAAATCAGCTGTAGGAGGAAAATATTATGCTGACCTGAAAAAGACCAGTGATGGAAGAAGTACTCGCATCCGTCACTTAAGTAAATGTATCAATAGGAGTATTATTTACTCTGGTACAATTTTACTAAAGTAAAAGTACTATCATCAAAATGTACGTAAAGTATCAAATGTGAACATGTGCATTATGCAAAACAGCCCCACCCAGAGTGTTGTGCCATTATGTATATTACGTTATTAGAGTATTGTTACAGATGTATCAGTGTGTCGCATTATTGCATTTGGTTGAGAGGAGCTAATGTAATATGTTTTGGGGCAGTTTATTCTTTACCATGATATTTTACAGGCCGATACTACTGTATGTTTTGTACACACAATCTTAAACTGAAAGGTAACTAGTAACTGTAGGGAATCTTTTTCCATTTTCACTGTGATTTCGTATCTAAAAGCATTCTTCTGTATTTCCAGGCAATTGGCCCCAGGTGACTATGTAACAAAGCCTGGGGATGCCGACTCCTTTTACAGTGACATGCCTCCAGGTGTCAGTACAAACTCTGGCTGCAGCTCCAAGAAGAGGTCAGCCTGCCTGTCGCATCTGCAGATTTGCGCCCTGTCCTTCACCCCCTCCTTCCCATCCATTTCTCAGAACATCTCACTGTTTGGCTTCAGGTGTGCCATCTCATCATCACTCAGTCATCAACTGGCAATTGTGTGTGTGTGTGTGTTGGGTACTCTTAATCATTGGCGTGTTCATGTCATGCTTTGTTACTATCATGGCTTTTATTATATGTCGCTTTCTGTGAACATTTTGAAGTTAAATCAAAACGTTTTGCTAATGGATAATTGAGCAGAAAATACCACACTACTCCATTTCTCATATCATGTTTCATTCAGCTGCCATGAAATTGTTTAATAGCTCTTTATGTTACCAATCTGCTGCAATAGTATCTTCGTATTCAATGTTTCCCACTGCTCTACTAATGCAACAGGAACAGAACAGCATTGTAGCAGCTTATAAAGACGATGAACTGATGATATTCTGTCCGTTGTGCATATGTGTGTGTGTGTGTGTAGATCTAATGGACTATCCCACTCGTGGAGCGACAGAATCCCAGATGCCAAACACATCTCTGACATCTGTGAAAATGGGCGACCGAGGAGCAACTCATGGCAAGGTAACGCACAAATTAACCACAGGAGGGCTGCCTGCTTCCATTTGTTTTGGGGGAAGATACACATTGTTGTCCTACTCCTACGTGTACTCTCTTCCATTAAACATCGCACCCAGTTAATATTCTACATTGTTTATGCTTTTATTTAAAGTGTGTGTTTATGTTCTGTTTCTGTCTAGGAAATCTGAGCGGTAATCGTAAGAAACTGAAAGGAAAGAAGTTCCGTGCTCGTTCCAACTCCACAGAGTAAGTTCTGGCAAGTTGGTCATGTCGTGAGGTCAAAACACATTGTAATGGGATGTGCAGATAAGGAGAAGCTCTAGTGGGAAACAGACTCAACTGTTTTTTTTTTTAATGGATCAAGCTGGTGTGAACAAATACCATGAAAAGATCAAATCAAAAAATGTTAAGTCAGGCTCTGAGCACTTACTGACTACCTTGTCTCTGGTACTCAGCGACAAGCCCACTGGTTCCTACTGAATATGTAAATCATCTATCATTAAAAAAGGCTAAATATACTCACGTGCAAGTAATGTATTTGTTGGCAACTATTTTCACCTGTGGATTAATAAAGGTTTGGTACGCTCAAGAGTGTTTACAGCAGAAAGAAAGAGATAGAGACTTTATTAACTTTATTAATTCTAGTGAGAAACTGTACCATTACAGCAGCAGGATGAATTTATTTCATGTTTTTTTGTATTTCACTTGTTGACAATAAGAAACTAAAGAATGATACTGTCGTTATCCGTTAAAGGTGTGGTTTAGCTGTAAAAAAAAACTATCAACTATGGAGGAAATACTTCTCTCAAATGTTTTATCAGCGATAGAGAGAGGTATAAAGAGCATGTTGCGCTGAGCCTTGCAAGTGAGTCGCAAGACAGTGAGATCACGTTGTCTCCTGCAGTGGGAAATCATTGCTCTTGTCTGGCTTGTGAGGCTGCACCGCACCTATGCATCTTTTAAACTTTACTCATCCCTCATGTGTGAACAAGTATTTGCATACTGTATATACCTGTTTACTGTGAATGAACAGTGGTCTCCCAGCCTGGCGTGTTGGTTTGTTTGTTTGTGGGTTTGAACGTCCTTGTGTTAATATTGTCTGCAGTGCACCTGTTCTCATTGCAAGCATGAGACTGACTGCTAACTGCCTGGAATGATGTTACATGTAATCAATAAGCAACTGAGCCTGAAACACACAACACAGCTGTTTGTGATTTCCATCTGAAACCACACACAGGTCTGTCCGCCATCCTCTCACCATTTTCTCAGTTTGTTCAAGATATCTTTGTTCTGCTCTGCTTTCCTAAAATATCTCCTCTTCCTCTCTTCCCCCCCTACACTTGCATATTTCTGGAGATTTTCTGTCCTTTTCAATTTCTTTTCCTTCCTTCCTTTTCTCTCTTCTCCCCCTCCTTGTCTTGTGTCCATCACCCCCTTCCCCTTCCCACAGGTATTTAACCCCTCGCTTCAAAGAATTATATGATGTAACTAAATGGGTAGAAGATGTGAATAGAAACACTCAAGGACCTTACCTTAGGTATTACCTCAGACCTGTACCCCACACACTTGTCTAGAGACCCCCTCACTTTTGGTTTGATTTGTGGCTTAGTCAAGGAAGGTTACAAGCTCCAATCTGGACCTTTTAAAAGTAAAATCTCAGAAGAAAAGTTATCAGCAGCTGGCATGTTGTGACTTGAAAAAGGGGTTGCTGCTGAGTATTTTTTAAAGTTTTTCTGATTTACATTATAATTTATTATATTTTATGTCATTCTTCCTTTTAGTTTTAGTGAAGACATTCATTAATTTCTGATCAACTGCACTTTACTTTGCAGATTTTTAATTTCTAGCAAATTATTCTGAACAAGACAATGGCTCTTGCACTGCCTGTGCTATTGTGACAATTATAGTACAGTCGTGTTATTCCTAATTTCTCCTTCTGCCCTTCTTTGCTTCTCCCCCTCGGCCTCTTGTTGCCTCTGCATGTTGCGTGTTGTTCTGTCAGTACGTGTCTGTGTGTCGGCCCTGCCTCGCTCCCAGTGACCTCACGTGCGTTTGCATCACTGTGATGTCACTGCAGGGCCAAACATTTTGAGTGCTGCGCTGACATCCTCACTGTGCAGCTGTGGCGAAATGTAAGCCACCACTCTGATCGTGCCCAGAGTGCTGTTTACCAATTATAATGTTTACCAGGTTAACCATCTTAGTTTAGCATGTTAGCATGCACAATTTACTAATTAGCACTAAATACGTACTACAAAATACAGCTGAGTCTGATTCAATTGTTTTAAAGGCTTTTGGTCATAAACCAATTGGACACTTTGTAATTTTGACCTGATGAGTTAAGTGTTAACTAAAGTGGTTACAATAATCCTGAGTTGGACATGAATGTTTGTACCGGCAATCAATCCAATAATCCTCTCACTCAAACCACAAATGTAAACCTCAAGAGGAAAAGTCAGGGGATAACCAAAGTCCGTAGGACATGAATGTCTGTATAAGATTTCATCTAAATTCTTATATATTTTGGCCTGGACCAAAGTGGTGGACTGCTATCCATCGAGCCTAAAAAAAACCTTAATACTTAGAAAATGATAGCCAAAGCATTTCAGGAAATCACTCGTGAAAGTCATAATATTGTAAACAATTTTGAATGTGGGAATTCATTGTGAGAATAAAATGCTTGTGGACCCAGTGGTCCACCTGCTCCCTCCACTACTTTGACCGATCCAGATATTTCCGATCACTACACAGCAGCGGTGTAAACAAGCTACTGTATATGGGGCAGGCTCTCTGTGGTTTCACTGGACAAGAGCTCTCCCTCTGATTCTCTCAGTCTGTCGTTCTCACCCGGCTCCGGTCTGGTCTGCCGTCCCAGTCACCCCGTCACACTCACTGCTCCCAGCATTCCTCATTTAAACATGCACACACTGAGAACATCACACACAGAAGTTACCTTTAACAGCATGTGTTTTAATAGTGGCTAAAGGTGATTTTCAGCAAGCTATCGTCTGTTTGTGTGCCAGTGCCCGTTGATGAACACAAAGTAATGCTGTGGCAGGATATAGCATGTGAGTGTCAGGAAACTGTGACGATGCCCACACCGCTGCTGGGAATCGTGTACTGCTGTGTACAGAGCTACATGTTGTGTGCAGAGGTTGCCCCTAAGAGCTGAACACTTGTTCATGTTTTTTAACAGATTACATGATCTGTCCGTCTCTGTGCTTTTGGTGAACAGCAGAATGAGCTTTTAAGATCAACCTCTCTCTGTAGGAAGATGAATCATTTGAGCAGCTCAAGGAGGATGTTGCCCAAAGTCACAGAGCTCCTGAATTTCACCTCATTTATCCATCTGTGTCTTTGGCCAACTGAATCCCAAACCAAGATAAGAGGCAATATTTTAATAATGTCACCTCGTCTTTTTCCTCAGGACGCTATCCCCCGCCAAGTCTCCCACTTCCTCTACTGGATCTATTGCATCCAGCAGGAGATACCCGTACCCCATGCCCCCTCTCCCCGATGACCAGAGGAAAGCCAACAGGCAGAGCGCCAGGGCAAGTATCAATTAGATTATAGATTAGATAGTCAGCTGCATCAGTTGTCTTTTACTATGACACACTACATGAGAACTAGTGTAGTGTGTTCATGGCTTTATAAAGTCTAAACTATGAACACTGAAGGTTACTGAATACTGCTAATGAAGATCATGATTTAAAGAACCAAATCTATGTAAATAGAAAGTGAAGTGACTAAAGTCTTTTCTTCCATTTTCTCCTCCCCACCCCTTTCTCTTTTCTGTGCTTTTCCCTTCTTCTTCATCTCCTCAGCTGTGGGAGACTTCAATATAACAGCCTTCTTACCCACCCAGTCCTCAAGGAACTACACTCGTCTCTCCTTTTCTATGAATGAAACACATAAAAATGAAACAAAATTGACTCTAAGCGATTGAAGAGAAAGAGAGAGAGAGCCCCCCACTGGAGTGGAAATAGGCAAAGGTGTGTGTGAGTGAGTGTGTACAAGCATCTCCGAGGCTGTCTTGCCAGACGGCTTCATTCGGCAGATCTCTACAAGACAATGCAGAGTGCCGGCGGAGAAACCATCTCCACATCCACTCCAGAACAGCTGGAGCTCAGACTGAGCTGTTCCTGTCTGCTCAGGCCTCAACTATAGGACTGGAAACCCCCTCTACTCCAACCCCTTTACCTGTCCTCAAACATCTGCACCACCTTTACATCCTCTCTTCATACCCCCCCCCCTTGCTAGTTGTTTCTAGCAAGAAGAAACCAGGAGCAGGTCATCGTATCACACTGCATCTCTGGATTTGTTGGATCATTTTGACGCACGTGAATCACTGTAGAAACTCCAACACTGTATGCATGAGTCAACCCTGTTTATCAGCAACCTCCTCCTACTGAAAAGACAAGAAGAACAGTGGTCCAATCTGAGAAGAAAGCATGCGAGGGGGCAGTGATTTTAATACCTTCTGTAGGCTTAAATGCTTTCTCACCACTATAGGTAACCCATATTGTATCACCAGTTAATGCCCATAACCCATGACATGGACCCAACCTGACCCGTCCTGCCCTTCCTCCCTTCAATATGTTTGTGCGTGTGTAAATATGTACAGTAAAAACACACACAGAGTATGTTTTTGCTTTTACTTTGAAAGAGGAAAAGATTGAGAATTCTCTTCCTGCCGCATTGTGTCGTAGGCAGAAGTGGATCTCTGTAGATCAGCGTAGGAGACCCCGCACTCGTTCTTCTGTCTGTTTCTATCCCTCTGGCTTTTTCCTGTGTGACTGTGAACTCTATAGCTTTTTCCATCCACAGCAGAATGTAAACGTGTTTTTATATTATCTTAACACTAGTTTCCATCCATCTCTGGGGGAAATACACAGACATCCAGTAATGACTGAGGGAAGTATCGATACAAATGTTGATCATGGCACATTAAAGATGCTGCTGGAAGTGGTTGTTGATGAATATTATTTAGGAAAATTTAAATAGTTTTATGTGTTTGATGTAGTTGTAGATGTGCCACTTTTCACCCATGGTAGTTTTTGGAAATTTCAAATTGATAATATTAAGATGTTAGTTCCCCCTTGATTCTACATTCGGGTGTTGGGGACCAGTGTGCTCCCATTGTCACTGTGGCAGCACATGAAGTCGCTCAGATGAACGTGAGAACAAGAATAACTTGAGTGCAGTTAATTACCTTACTTGTGCGAGGAACCTGGAAACTGATGGAAATGTGCATTTTGGATTTAGCCGTAATGATTGAGATATTTAGCCTTGTAAATGATTAACTATGCTGTACAGTGCTTGCTGTTTAAGCTTGTGAAGACCAACAGCATGACAGTTCTATAATCAAATGATTTTATTTCTCTGGTAGGCTATTTGTGAGACCATAACGGGAAACAAGCATGTCACTGAAAGACTTTTCCGCCCCATTGCCTTTTTGCTGTCGTCTAAATGGGTGAGTGTTCCACAGACTACACTGCTTGTCAGCAAAGTCGGGGCAATTTATGGCAGGATGTTTAAAAATGATTGAGAATGGACTTTTAGTGCTGATGTGAAGCCAGTGTAGCTATTTAAGGTTGATTTTCTTGGAAACTGCTCCCATCTCACTCCCCAAAAGCAAGTCCTTTGTACAGCTACAACTCATTGTTCTACCTTGTGTAGAAATTGTTGTCTTAAGGCCTCCTGTTAAGTCATTTTACTGTTGTTTAGTTGTTGTTCCGGTGTGGGCACGTATTCATTTGTAATTCATGTATGCGTTAGGACTGTATAGTTAATACGATCTTCACAGTATTGAACTAATGTTGCTACTATTATCTTTTTTTATTAAGTACTTTTGTAATGTTCACTTCTTTCTCAGCGTTATGTACAGCAACGATTCAAACAGTAATTAAGTGCATTATTGTAATTATGTGTGTTGATGAGTTTGAATGGAGACCATTTTTTTTAAACACATTTGTCCTGAGGGCCAATAGAAGCAGTCGTTCCTTTGGCATGTGCTAATCTGTATCATATAAGGTTTGGACACACGTAATGTTGTGAATGAGATCTATATGGGCTCATGATTTGCCTTCTACCAGAGCTTTCTTCTTTGCTCTGGTCTTAAAGTATTTGTCAGTGTCGAGTGGCCCAGTCATCTTCCTGGGCTACACCAAGGCATGCGGAGAGCATTATCTCAGAGCTTTGAGTAATAATTTTAACATCATAATACTGTGCAACAGCGAAACATTTCTCCTGGTGTTATGTACATTGCACTATGAGGACTCTCCGCTCAGGATGGGACCACCTGGACTGCAGTCAATCCTCCGAACATATCTGCTGCGTCTGCCTGCGCACGGTCGGACTGACGGATCACAACAGGACCACTCTGGCAAAACATCCCCTCAGATGAGCCATCTGTCTCCATCTGGCCAGAGACTCGAATGTATTCATGTACCACCCAGTCTCAACCATGTGGTCCCATTCTGCCAGACACATCAGCACTCTGCTGCAGGAACTTTGAAAAAACCCACATGTACTAGTTCAACTCTAAACACTGCAGTTGCTGTCTTTTTTAATCTTTATTTTTTAATTTTGCCTGAATGCTGTACAGACTGATAATGCAAAAATCAATCCCCATATTTTTTTTCTTTTAATCATTCAGTATTGTAATATATTTAATATAAAATAAAACTTTCATCAACACATCTGTCTATGTTGACATTTGTAATAACTTCAGATCTGACTTTTCAGGAAAAGAAACAGGTTTATTGGAAAACTGACTTTAATTGTTTTGCATTACGAAGTCCCTCCGTCTGCGATGTCCTCCACTGGCCTTATTTTGGAATAAATATGTGTGATAGTCAAAGCTGAAAGACAAATATTTTTTCATCCCGTTTGAATAGTGCCATGAATTACACATAGGATGTTTGTAAATACAAAGCATAATTTTGCAAGTCAAGAGAGTCGCAGTTTGTTGTAGTACCATTTAGTTTTGTGTGAAACCGCTCAGAGAACTACATCTCACCAACACCAACATGGCCGTCACCTTAGCTTGATAGCTAGTAAGGTAATTAGCTATGTTCCATGCACAAATGTAACGTTATCTTATGATGTGTGTTTTATGCTGCGACTATCAGCCGGGAAGAAACAGAACAAGCATGACCTGCTGCTCGTGTGAGCACATCCCGGTACCAAACACAGGAATCGTAGCTTCAGAGAGACGTCGCGTTCGCACATTTTTGGTTATGTAGTTTTTCTAGTTACGCTTTGTAACAGTCCCTACCGACAAGTCATAGTATGGGATGTCAAAACAAGTCATAGTATGGGATGTCAAAACAAGTCATAGTATGGGATGTCAAAACAAGTCATAGTATGGGATGTCAAAACAAGTTATAGTATGGGATGTCAAAACAAGTCATAGTATGGGATGTCAAAACAAGTCAGAGTATAGTATGTCAAAAAAGGTAAATTAAAAAGTCAAAGGATAGTACGTTGAAAAAAGTCAAAATATAGAATGTCGAAAAAAGTAATTAAAAAGTCAAAGTATAGTATGTCATGTTATAGCATTTAGTAACAAGTTTTTTAAAGTATGTCAAAAAAAGTAAAAAGTCATAGTATAGAATGTAAAAAAAATCTGTATAGTATGTAGAAAAAACCTCATAAAATGTAATTTTATAGTACGTCGAAAGAAAGTCCTAGTATGTTGAGAAGTGTAAAAATATAGAATGTTGAAAAAAGCCGGTAGTGAACCCAGGCCACTGAAATGTTAAATTTTTTCAAATGACACATTAAAAAGTCAAAAAAAAAAAAAAAGTCATAGTATAGTACAGAGGTATTCATAGTAGAGTGTCATAGTATAGAGAATGTACTCATGTACAACCCAGTCTCCTCCATGTGGTCCCATCAGCACTCTGCTGCAGGAACTTTCAAAAAAACCCCACATGTACAAGTTCAGATCTAAATACTGCAATTACTTTCTTTATCTTTTTTGTTTTGCCTGTATGCTGCACACTAATGATGCAAAACCAATCCCCATATATTTTCTTCTTAAATCATTCAGTATTGTTATATATTTATTACAAAATACAACTTTCATCAAATCGTCTGCTGACATTTCTAATAACTTCAGATTTTACTTTAACTTACAGAGGAAAAGAAACACAATACTGGAAAACTGACATTCTTACCAAACAAGGGAACATTTGCAGCAAAGATCAACTCATGCGGAACTTGTTGCACCTCATAACATTGAAGGTTTTGCCTGAGACGGTCAGTGACAAAGTCATCCTCCGTCACTTCTATGGACAGTTTGCTGCACAGTTTCACAGGTGTTTCTCAGTGGATGCTTTTTACCAGCCATTAAAGTTCTAGTTTTAATAATGTGTCATCCATCATCGTACACTGTAGGTCCCGAAGACCTACATGTTGAGTTACATGTTGCCCGTGTACATCACAAATGCACATGTGAGTGGTGCCTCAGAGCCTGCAGTCTGTCTTGATGGATGTCTTTAGTTGCCATTGCTGCATCTTCATCAAGCGATTCCCGGATGCACCTTTTCAAACGGTCGACACCAAACCCAGTGGAGGCCGAGACAGGAACTATGTGTCTGAAGGTTATGCAGCTCTTCGGTATCATGTTATCAGGCAACAGATGAGAGAACTCTGCAGGAATGAAACCAACAGTCCCGTATGTATTACTGCCCTGTTACAAGCTTTGGTTCCTCTGGGCATGGATTATGAACTTATTCTGAAAAAAGCAACTGACTGAATGAGAGGGAGCAGGGAGAACCTTAAGTATGATTTGGCAATTAAATTCAAAATGTCAAATAAGACGCAAAACCATGTTGTGCATTTTAACCGTGTTACTGATGTGTCAACCCAGAGCCAAATGGATTGACAGTGTGTGTGTGTGTGTGTGTATACAAATTGAGAAAGCTTTTGCTTAAATGGAGGTGGATCCATTGGGCCTAGACATGGTCTAGTGCAAAAGAGTCCATCTTTAAATACATAATTTAATTTGCATCATAATTAAGTTAAACCTTATAAAAAGGTAATTAATAAAATAGTGAAGAATCCATCAGATTTACCATCTGGGTTTTGTAGTTGCTCCTTCAGCTCTGCTAGGTTGTCCTCAGCGTCGGGCAGGTCCATTTTGTTCACCACCAGCAGAGCAGGCTTCGATACGAGCTCCTCTTTGTACAACTCCAACTCCTTGAGGCCACGGCGAGAGAAGACAAGGAGATGATGTAGAAGGTAAATAAATGGTGTGCATGAGGCGGAAGGATCCGGGGTCAAGTCATAAAAAAAAAAAAAGAATGGTAAGAAGAACAGCTAAAAATTAGAACTTTATTGTGAAAATCACAGGATACATTTTGAGTCTTTCGCAATATCACTCTCACCTTGGTGAGAAGTTGAACAGCTTCAAAGGGCGTCCTAAACTCTGTTTTACTTGCCAGCTGGAAACCGCAAACATCTACCTGCAGCCAGACAAAGCACAACCAAATCAAACTCCATCATCAACATCATCAGCTAGTGATTCTGACTGCAATCAAACATATATCGTAGGTGTCAGCTTGTGTACTTTCTGTTGCTACGTACCACAAACAGAAGCTGCTTGGTCCTCTCAACATGTTTTAGGAACTTGTGACCCATGCCTTTGTTTATGTGAGCTCCTTCGATCAGGCCTGGGAGATCAGCAACAGAAATCTATAAAAAGTCAAAATTAGAACACACTCAATGAGGGGAAACCACCCACAAGAAATCAATTAAATGGACAGTGAAAGGAAAATACACTAAAATGCATTGAAATACCTGTTTGTAATCTTCATACATCAGTTTGCCGATCTCCGGCTTCAAAGTTGTGACTGTGGAATTAAGATTTTAGAAATGCCACTCAATAAAAAACAATTCAGACAGCAATACACGTAGAAATAAGATCACAAAAGCACAGTTTGCACATGTGTGTTGTATTATGTACTCACAAGCGTAGTCGGCAATCTGAGGCGTGGCATTAGACATGGCAGTCAGAAGAGAAGACTTTCCTGCATTTGGGAACCTGATGGTGAATCAGCACCAAGATATCGGCTATTTAAGAAAAACATTCGAGTCTCCACTGAAACGTACCATCATGTTTATGTGTATTCCTGCTCTCACCCGACAAGGCCCAGGTCAGCGATAAGTTTGAGGTCCAGCCTTATGTGTTTGATCTGGCCCTTACTGGGCTCAAAAGCAGAGCGGAAGGAGCCTCCTGGTCCTCCTTTCGCCACCTTCAGACGATCCCCCTCAGTATTCAGGTCCCCTTGGAGGGAGAGGGGTTGAAAAGATTTGAGTTTCTACTGCAACATCAGCTGGCTATGCTACTCCTATTTGATTATAGATACTCCACGTTTTAGGCCCAAATTATGTACTTTACCCCATAAACATACAACCTTAAAGGCTTCTATAAGAAAATAAAGTGTAACATTGTAGCGCTGACTATACTCTGACCATGATACCTCAACGGGGGGGGGTATTTCAAATAGAAGTCTGGCATACCAACTATTTTGCCATCATCAGTGGTGACTGTGATACCAACAGGAGCCAAGACCTCCTTGTCCGTCCCCCTCTCTCCTTTCAGTGCTCGGACACTGTGGATAAATAAAATGCACACACACTTACACACAAAACATCTCAATGATAGCCAATAATAATAAGAGATATTCTGACTTGTATTTGTAAAAGCAAACCTGCTGTTGGCTCCGGCTCCACCTACAAATCGTTTGTGGGGGTACTTGTCCTTGATCCTCTTTAAAGCCATGTTCTTTGTAGCCACCACCCAAACATCTCCCCCGTTCCCTCCAATTCCCCCAAGACGGGGTAGACCCATACCCCCACCGCCTCCACGGACGTACAGACGGAGGTTATCCACAAAGTTACCATACTGCAGGAGGCAGAAAAGAGTGATTAGTGATAGAGACAGAAGACTGGGAGGAAGAGATATGACTACATTTGATAAGGTTTTTTTCTTTTCATCTCCCCATTCCTCTGTGAATCAAATCAAACTTTATTACAGACTCAGGGTTCAGATAAAACACAAAACTTTACATATAAATGACACTTGGATGCGTTAGATTATCGTACTAATATTGAGTATGACATTCTTATAACTTAATTGTTTTGAAGTAAAAGCTATCGTTACCTAAAAAGTGAATGGTTCCATGCTGTCCATCTCTAAAAATCTGATTGAAAAAAAACAAAAACAATCCCAAATCAAGGTCCACTTTTTTTTTGTTTTGTTTTGCACTTTCTGGTGCTTCAATTGTATTATGGGATTGTTTTGAAAGACTTATTTCAAAGCTCAAAAATGCTTCACGCTTAAATCTTAAACCAACACGGGTGAGAAACAAATCCATCAACAAATCCATCTATGACGGTTGAAAGCTCAGGGGGGAAAAAGCTAGTAAGTGGACCTTGAACTGGGATGGTTTTGTCTAACATTTATTATTCATAACTTATATTTTTTTTAAATGATTACTCAACCAAATGTCAGGGATGACACAAACGTGTACATTTTAAATTCCTTGTTGTTAATGCATTTTACATCAAACTAACATATCAGTCAGCCAACAGTAATGCTAGTTCATCCTTATACTGTTCAGTCACAGATGGGTTGGATCATATCAAGAGTATACGAGCTAGAGAGCACACGCGCCCGCACACGCACGCGCACGCACACACACACACACACACACACACACACACACACACACACACCAAGTGAGACAGTGTTGATGTGTTGACCAGCTATCAGCTAGCTTGTCAGCCAATGTCACTGCTACAGTTGTAGCAGTGAACAGACTATAACACTGTAAACAGACAGTGTTGAATTGTCTTCATGAGATTAAAATGACGTCTGCCTCAATACTTACTTTCCGGAAGCAGATTCTACTTAACTGGACCATCTTCAGCGGCGTTTATTGCCACTTGTTTGTGTTGTTGACTGAGCTAACGGCTAGTCGACATGTGTTTGCGTGAAGGACCGGAAGCGTTGGATTCCTCTCTGTTCATTGGATCATGAGGTAAAGGAGGCGGGACTCCGCAGGGGTGTGTGACAGCAGCTGGGACCTTGGTCCTTTTTTGCATATAAATAAAGAGTTACACCAAAACGTGAGGATGTAGCTCCTGCAAATACAGAATACCCAGATTAACAGCACCTTTCCTTTACCTAATATTTTAAATATATGGCTACAAGTTGTGTTTATCAGCTGCTCTGTCAGAATTAGCTACCCAACAAATAAAAGTGCTTTAAAGAAGTTGGGAAATATCTACATTAACTAAAGGTAGGTTATTTTGTTTACTGTGATGGAAGATTTCTAAGTTAATCGGGAGAAGAGAGTTTTGTTCACAAATCAATAACAAAGTCTTCAAAAGATTCAAAGTTGTCTTTTATCCATGTATTTGCTTGCAAGGGAAGAGTATACAACAGAGTATCTATTCAGCAGTCTGTGGTAAAAGCTTCAAAATATGTAACACACAGGCTCCTTTATTTATACAGCAACAAGTTAGATTCAAAGTGCAGCACCCACGAGGGCTTGTCTGCTGTATCCAGCTGACTTTTCACAGCTTCGATACATTCAAGGTAACATGAGGTGTTTTCAACCACCAGTTCTGATTACTGCTTAGTCTGCACTTTCTTTACTCCATGTAAGGAGCAAGTTGTTCTGCCACTCTGCAAGTAGTTTTGCTACTTTTTTCAGTCGCTATTTTCCTTAATAGATGACACGTAAGTTTTCGAGTTCACTGCGAGTTCACATCGAGGACACAAAGTTCATATGCATATTTTACCATTACATTACTTAGCTCTTTTCTCCCTAGACCGTCCAAATTTACTCATGAGCATAAGGGTAATGTTTAGTTACTTACAAACGCAATGGTCCACAATGTGGATATTTGTCTTTGACTTCACTGTACTGCAGAAAACAACACAAGACACATGAATGAAGACAGACATTGGGGCATAGCCTCAACAAACAACATGACTTACTTACACAAACATAAACTTGTAAGTTTCCCTAAGGGGCATTATATGATGAAAACATTCAAAGCACTTGGATATGAAAACATTTTAAGTAGTAATTTAGTTCAAGTTAGACCAGCAACTGCATCATCATCAATAACATTGAAGCCAACTATTTTAGGATGAGTGACACAGGTTTGACAGATTTCCATGAGTAGAAACTCTAAATCCCTTCAGTCAATTTTTTTGCCTTATTACCTGGCAGATGAAGTAGGTGGGGTCATTTACAAATGTACTCGATGACCATTGCCTTTTAAAGTCTCTGCCAATCACAAGAAACGTCACTGACACTAATACATTGGATTGCATTACATTGTAAGATATTCCTGTCATTTAGTCCCCCCACTATGTCAGTTCGAACTTAAGTAATTAACTTGGTGTAAGATAAAATATGCAACATTCTCATTGACAAAGAATAAAAGCTACATTTTTAACACACACTATACTTCTTGTAGTTTTTGCTCCAGAAACAGTGGAACCTGAGGATTGCAACATGCATCAGTTATTCTAACACATCCAGAGTGAGACACAGATTTTGTTGTTGATATTCATCGTCCACAAAGGATGATCCCCTGACCTGTCATCGAAAAAGTCCTCTGTACCAATGCTGCACAACATGAAAAAAAGCAGCACCACCATAAGGTCAAATCATCACTTGTACGAAGGACTTCTATGAAGTTTACTGAGCACATTTATGCTCTTCAGAGGATGAACCATTTTCAACCGTTGGACATATTTCAGCTTTAGCCTCACTACCAGTCTTCTGAGAACAGCAACAGCACTAATGTGTTGTTAATTGTGTCCAACACTTTAATATTGGAGAAAGCATATCTATGGAAGTCCATTTCCATATCATGACTTAGCATCTCAGTCATCATTTTGAGATACTATAATTATGAGATAATAAGTCTCTATTTTGAGAAAGTTTCTCATTATGATGACTTTTACAAATGTTATCTTTATTTTTCCGTACGTATCAGCTAGCAGGGTTTTATTGTATGGGCCGAAACAATATTGTCCTGAGCATTACTGAGATTTGGGCAATGCATTTCTTAACAATGAAGCTCTCCACGTCAAGCCCACTCATTGAACAGCAGAGTGTCGACGGCGCTGTGAGGATGCTGGGAGATGCTCTGATCTTCCGTCTTTCTCCGTGAACGCGCGCACGCCTGCCGGTGCGGAGATGCGCAGGAGAAGACAAAAAACACCCGTTTTCTCTCTCACTCACGCTCTGCCATCAAGACACAGATAAGATCTACCTCTGGGTCTATCATTTACAGGCTGGTCCGACTTAAGTGCACTGAGGTAAGTGTGTGTCTCTCTGTGTGTGTGTGTGTGTGTGTGTGAGAGAGAGAGAGATGACGAGAGAGAGAAAGAGGTTGGCTTATTATCTCATGAAAGAGCCCGGACAGTTCCTCCCACCGGTGTCCGTCTATTTATACAAACGCAGCCGTGGGTCGTGATAACAGCACGCAACTGGGACATACAGAGATACATCACAACGAGGTAAGAGATCGTGTTCTTGGACAAGTATTGCGGATGCCCGTGAGTGTGCGTTTGACCTAAATTATGCAATAATGGTGACATAGCCGCTTGCCGCATGTGCTCCTTGTGTCTTATTGGATGCAGGCTGCAAGGACCGCTGCTCGGAGTCAAGAGTATATGGTGGGAGGTGTTAACCCATAAGGATGATGTGTATGGCGCTGAATCAGACTGCTACATCATCCAGTTTCTCCAGTAGCTACTACTGCAGCAACAACCACACACAGGTCAAATATATATAATATATACAATATCGAGCTGGTTTGAAGTTTTGCAACTGACCTGCAGGCTGCTCCATGCAAATTAGCACAAGTTGCAAAGATGAGAGTGTAGCTGTAGGCCTGCGGAAATCAAACGCGCCTTTCAAACAGACCCTGTACTAAATCAGAAAAAAAAAGAGCAAACCTGATTGAAAGGCATTGCAATTTTCAAGCATTCCATGGACAACTCTAAACGTCAAATGTGTGTCATTTAGTTTAATCTGTTTCCCATATACTTCCACATACTCCGGACTCTATGTTCTAGAAAAGTGTATTCTGTCCTCTCCACACATGCGGCACAACGCGCACATGTAGGCGCATGCAAGGGCAGGAAGCCAACAAACCAAAATACTAGCAACGACAAAGAAGTCAACATTTCTATTAGTCTCATATTTTAGCTATGGATGTAGTGTTTTCCTCCCACGTAGCTCGGATGATATGCGTTTTAACTGTGTATTACTTTGGTATTAAAAACAGCTTAATCAAATGACAAAATGCACACAAAATACAGAAACGTATGCTAATTAATTTATTCTGCATTTGTCACCATTATCTCAAAAATATCAAATCTTATTGTGAAACAACATGGTGCTACAACAGTATTAACAGTAAACAGTAGCATGTGGATTAGATGGGATCTCCTGAAATCCACTTACAGTAAGAGAGTTTTATTTTGGTACACACTGATTTAAAAGTGTGCAGTGAAAATGATTTAAAATTCAAGCAAAAAAACAGTTGTGACTGTAAACACTGTGGGGTTTGTCAAATTGACCAGTGGAATGGAAATACCAGTATCAGCCTGCCAACTGGGGGGCACGACATTCTCCATACAGGGCAGTCAATGTGTTGAATCCCAGTGCTTTCAATGAAAAGGGTAAACAGGCCAACGATCAAAGACAACAGTTTACAGACACAGGTCAGACAGGGAGTGAGGGAGGGAGGGATGGAGGGGTGCTTGTGAAATGAGACAGGCTTTATTAATAGCAGGGAGACATGGGGGTTTTAAGGGAAGTGAGCCAGAGTTTTGGGATGTAAGACAGAGGCGGTGTGGGCAGTGTTTTGGATAGTATGAACTATGAATCTGGGGCAAGTGGGCACTGTTTGCTGTGGCAGGTGGGTAAAGTTTTGGCGGGATTGTCTATGAGTGTGTGTGTGTGTGTGTGTGTGGTAGTGGTGGATGGGTATGAGAGGAGGAGCTCTGTCAATATGCCAGGACCACATTCTCACCCTGCTGCTGGTGAAAGGGGCGGTAAAGACATAAACAGGCCCAGTGGGATTAGGGCCCACTCGGAGGAGTGATCAGGGGGGATTTGCTGCCCGGCGGGCACACAATGGCACTGTCGTGTAACACACAAACACACACTACACATGCTCAATGGCAACGTTTTACAAACAGACCCAAGCCTATATAAATCTGATTAGAATTCCCTTTTGTTGGGGAAGCGGCACCAGGGTTTACAGAGACTAGCCTCGCCGCAGGCCATGTTTGATAGGACAGGGGGGTGTGGACGTTGGCGGGACAGCAAAGAGAAAAGCAGGGGGCACGTTGTGTCGTGGCGGGAGGGTCATGGCTGTGTGTGGAAGCACAATAACAGGATGAATAACGTTTTTTCCTCGCGTTCGGTGTGTGAGTCAGCTGATGATGGTGGATGGAGACAGGATCTAAGCTAACATGAAATAACAACAACACCATTGGCAGACACAAAGATAGCAAGCCGGTTTGAACGTGTTCAAAGCACAAATGAGCCTTTGCTTTTAGTAGAGTATCAAATAGATAGCTACAGAAATGTCTGTAACTTTCTTCTCATTTCTATCATTCCTCTTCAGTGCCGGCTCTGGCCCAGGCTGCAGCCATGCCTCTTTTGGAAGAGACCACTCTGCCACAAGAGCACCCACCCACTTTCCCTGTGGTTATCATCGGTAAATATTTTGCTCTTAACCTCTTGACCTTTAAGGGTTTCATGTTGTTACTCCAACTTAGCCCAAATCCTGCACACATAAAACATTAAAAGCAATTTTCTTTATCTAACTTAATGGAGATCCTTTGTGATGCTAATCCACCCAAACCTGGATCTGTTTTCAGGTAACGGCCCATCAGGCATTTGTTTGTCCTACCTGCTGAGTGGCCACAAGCCCTACCTAGATACAGCAGCTGTGCACCCAAACCCAATACTTTACAGGAAACTGCAGGAGACCAAGCACCTATCCATCACTGAACAGGTAAAAACACCCATTAATTCCTTGCACATAGGATCACAGTCACTCAGGTGTGTCATGATAATAACTTGTTTTTTGCAGGATCTGGAATATTTAAGTGAAGGTCTCGAGGGGAGGTCAAGGAACCCTGTAGCTGTGCTTTTTGACACACTTCTGCACCCCAATGCTGACTTTGGCTACGAGTTCCCCCCTGTCCTTCAGTGGAGGAGGGACAAGAAGCAACACATCCCACATCTGGTGCTGGGGAGGGCAACGCCTGGAGGTGCTTGGCATGTAAGATACATGGTTTAGTCTGCTGCACTCTTGTACCTATCCATATTTCTCTATCAATCGTTTTGTTCTCTGACTTTGCATTCTCCCCTACCCTTCTTTTTCCCCCCTCAGGCAATGGAGGGCTCAATGCTGACTATTAGTCTTGGCATCTGGATGGAGCTTCCCGGGGTTAACTACAGGGACTTGACCAACGGGAAACACAGGTATTGAGAGAGGTTGACAGCAAAGACATGGCTAAAGTCTCAGTTCTCTGCTACCACTTTCCTCACCATCTGTCTCTTCTCTCTAGGGATGTAACCAGTGACAGAGCCACCCCAGAGGAGATCTCATCCTATTACCGTAACTATGTGAAGCTAAAGGGCCTTCAAAAGAATTTTGTTGACAACACCTACGTGACCTCTGTCCAGAAACTCTGCCGGGGGCACGAGGCGGAAGGTCTGGAAAATAGGCACAGTGATCAAGTAGATGGAGGGGTGGGAGAAGGGTTTGAGGGAAATGGAGTTGAGTGTCTAAATAATGGAGGAGGGGGGGCTCTCTGGGAAGTAAGGGGATACCAGCAGGTGCAGAACAACACTCATGTGCCCTTCTCTCTGTTTGCTGAGAATGTAGTAGTGGCCACTGGTGCGTCCGATTCGCCAGTTCGATTAGGCGGAGAGGGGGAGGACCTACCATTTGTATTCCACAGCATCTCAGACCTGGGTTTGGCCGTAAGCCAGAGAAAACTGGATATGCACTCTGATCCGGTTTTAATTGTAGGTGCCGGTTTAAGTGCTGCCGATGCAGTTCTGTGCGCTTGTAACAGCCACATCAGAGTGCTGCATGTCTTTCGTAAGAGCGTAGACGACTCAGACCTCATCTTCAAACAGCTGCCCAAGACCCTGTACCCGGAGTACCACAAAGTCTACCACATGATGTGTTCTCAGACCTACACAAACGTGGCTCCCTCCTCTGCTTTAAACAGACCCCAGGCAGTAAGTATTGCCTCTTCAGTGTGTGCCAAGATGTGCCCAAAGCCCCAACTTGCCGCAGGTAACATGGCTGGTAATGGCAGCGTCAGCCTGTTTGCTGACTACACCAGTTTCCCTGAACACAGCTTGGTGTCCTTCCAGTCTGACATGAAGTGTTTGCTGCAGGGGAACAACTCCCTCAAGGCATTCAAGATCTCCATGGCTCTAGTGCTGATCGGGACAAACCCAAACTTGTTTTTCTTGAAGGGCCAGGGCCAGTACCTGGGTCAGGATCCAACAAAACCCATCTCCTGCACGCAGAACCCCATTGACATCCATCCCTACACTTTTGAGTGTACCAAGGAGCCAGGTCTGTTTGCCATGGGCCCGTTGGTGGGAGACAACTTTGTTCGCTTTTTGAAGGGTGGCGCTTTAGGCATCGCCTCGTGTCTGCTGAAGAGACTCAAGAAGAAAGGGACGCTCATCAGCAATGGAGGGAATAACTTCATTTGAAAACATGTTGGAGAAAAGAGCAATACACGAAGGTCGTAGGAAACAGATTTCCAGCTCTCTCACCAACTGATATAAAAGTTGAAGGGGAAAACAAGAGTTTTAATGTTTTAATCATTTAGGCAGTTGTTTTCTCTCATCAAAGCTAAGGCATTGAGACCAAAAAGACAGTGGATGTACGCTAATTAGTTTCTAAAGAAACAAAAGACAGCTTTCAAGAGTCTTGTCTGACTTCATAAGAAGTACCCAGAAGTCCAAGCTACCATGTGTCAATGTTTTCTAGTAAATCTGTAACCTCACAACTGAATGGGACCTTATTTTCATCAGGGCTATTTATTCGTTCACCATGTGTCTTTCAATCCATTTACTAACAGCAGTTAAAAGTAGAGGCCATTGCGCTCATTCTCCATGCAACTTACAGCTATAGCTGTGGAAGTGACTGACACTCACAGAGCAATCTGTGGTCCTGCTTACAAAGTTACGATCATCCGAACTCCAAACTGGAGTGGTGAGTAATTGCCATATTGGACGCACACAAGCTTTATCTCAGAACGTGTGACCCAACAAGTTCATGGCTACGCAATCTTAATGTTCCTGATTATTCTGAGCCTAACATTTTTCTTTAACTTCAGAGGATTCTTTGTTTAGCTGCCATTGTTGGTAGTTGAAGCCATATACCTAAAAAAGTTAGAAAAAGTTGGTTTGGTTATAGTGCTACTGAAAAGCTTTCTATGCAAACAATTTCACTTGCAGATCTGAATGTATTCTTAGAAACCCAATTCTACTGTTTGGATTCAAGTATCCTGGCAAAAAGATATGATCATCAAAGGATCACTCTGGTGTTGTGATTCTGATAATGCTTGCTTTTTCTTTTTTCCAGAAAGATTGTGAATGTTTTTTCATTTGGCAGCCTACTTTGACTTCTGAGACATGGAAACCTCTCATCAAATGAAACCATGCTTTTAATTTAATTTAACAAACAGCCAGTATTGTTTTGTGAAGTGTCAAATAACAGTTTAGACAGGTTGTGAGCAGAAACAGTAGCAATACATTCTCCCTTTCCTCTCTATTCTCCTTCCTTCCTTCCTTCCTATGCAGTACGCATAATGTGTTTGTGTGCTGCTCTTTGCACAACTCATGGTTTGTTTATTGTAACATGAGATTTTCATTTTTTTCTTCAATGCAATATGGTACTCTGAATTAACGTGTGTGGGAGTGTGGTGGGGGTAGGGGGGTAATGTATTACGTAAATAACACGTTACTGTAGTTATATTACTTTTTACACTAACAAAGTTAGAAGTTTGACACATTACTGATTTTTTTTGGTAATCATAACAGTTGACTAGTGAAAATGTTTCTCGTGTTAATTATTACATTTCAGCTGAATTATTCTTTGATGCTTTTTTCACTGACTTCTGAATATTGTTTTGATATGAATATTAAATACATGCATGCAGGCATGAAATATTGCCTCGCAGCAGCTGCTGTAAGCAAAGGACAGAAAAGTGCTCGGACAGACTTCGGATGTAAAAGTACATGTAAGGAATGCAGAGACTGGGTGACTCAGAAGAGGAGATAACTATTTAAGATAACCAATTATTACCGTTTTGAATTTACTAAAAAGGAAAATTAAAAATATGATCACAGTCGGACACTTCTGTCCACCACTTTCAACTCCAAGAGCAACCTGCTCGCTTAATGAAGCACCAACAGGTTTATTGTGTGTCCATTCACATACGTCACATTTTAGTAGATTTGTATGGATTTTAGAAAGCAACTTGCGAGTACCGAGTAGAACATTTGGTTTTACTCATTAAGTAATACGCTAAATAAACTCATGGCAATTTAGAGAGAAGAATTGTTTAAAGGCCAGCCTCCTTCCTTTTGACACTCTGCTGCCCGTTTATTTACAGCACAATTCATGTCAACTGCTTAGTCGACACTCTCAACTCATACGCGGCACTTGCCTTGAATATGAATAGACGGGTGGGCTTCAACTATCCGCACAGAACGGCCCATAAATGTTCTGGCATGACGACGACTTATCTGAACAGTTTCAGATCTGTAGAAGTGCCTGTAGGCTCATCGGAGATTGTTCGAGAAGCAGCAACTGGAATCTCTCTTCAGTTCCTAGTTCAGCTAAAAGCAGGGAACACATTTGGTCTTGAGGAATAGCTGCTTTCAGCATGTAGAATTTTAACACTCTCTTGTACAACTGAAGAGTTTTTAATGTTTTGTATGGCGCATTTTTTTTTATTATTGACGAATAAAACTTTGACAAAAATCTCTGAACATGAGACTGTTTTGTTTCATTGTTGGCTGTCAGTGGCTTCATTACGTACATTATATATAGAAAGAACAGGAAGAACAGCAAGACACAACACTGGAAGATATGTCTGATCATCTTAGCAGTTATAAAGCAGTTATAGTTGAAGTGCAGATATCAGGCGTTATCTATCGAATTAAATCTGGAGTCCTTTTTATACTTTGATGATGGAGCTTGACAAACTTCCTGTGCCTTTTGAAATGAATTCCCTCCATAGGACGTTAAGATGATGGCGTTTCATCTTCTCCTGCTTTGTTTGGTGGGGTTGTACCTAAAGACACACAAAAGATGTTATCTTACAGGTCCGTCCATGTCAGGATGGGCTGTTAACATTCCTCGTGGATCATTCCTCAATGTCCTTAGAGGCATTTTGAACAAACCATAAAACATCCCAAATTAAGCGCTGTAAAACGAGGACAGTGTTTGAACAGCTTAAAGCAAACAGGCCTCCTGTAAACCACATCTGCAAACTTTGTTTAGACCCAAAAAAAATAAAAAAATAGCGGATTGTTTTGTTAGCAGCAGAGTCTGTTCCCTGGATGACTGACTGACTGAGCATGAATCAGTGATCAAACAGTTCGGACCGTCTCTTTTCTGCTTAGTCAACGAAAACACGGCAGCGACAGCTTACGTCACCTCTGTTACCCTGGCAACCGCTGTGACAGGAAATAAACTCTACGTTGTGATTGGTTAAACTGAAGCTACAGCGACCTCACATACATAACTCTCAGTTAATTATAGAACGTCTCCACCTGATTGTAAATGACTGAGGCTTCAGCATATTTACTGGAACCAGACATGTCTACGACAAGAGACTCAGTTTAAAAGGTTTTTAAAAAGGTTTTATTTTAATGTCCAAGAGAAACAAACCACTTAGTACAAATATTGTGGTTCTTTCCTAACCTCCCATGAGGTCTAAATCAGAGAGGATGCTATCGACAAAGAGACAAGAACCTGCACCCGTCTGGCCAAACAATAAACACAAAGAAGATGACATTATACTAACGTAGTGCGACAACATAAACTGTCGATACTTTGATATTTATCACTATTTGGGTTAAATTGGTTAGAGGATTATATTCTGTCTTTCAATTATTTTTTAAAGTATATAAATTCATTATTTTTCGCATTACTTTCTATTTACAACCTTTCTTTTGACATCATCATGATATTGCTGCTTGTTAATTGACAGCAAATGAATGCTGCTGCCGTGCTGGTGTTTATTCTCGGTCAACATTTTGGATGGCGTTTAATATTTTTGATTTGTTTTACTTACTTACGTAAAAGTTGGCCTGACAACAAAACAGAGGTAAGATGAAATGGTTTGGCTTTTCTTATTGTACTAGATTTATAGGGGGTTTAAGTTAAGGGGGTAACAAAGTCCCTACACATCTTACAAAACATGGGATTCAGTTTCTCACCTAAAGAGGTCATCTCCTACACTCTCGTCCCGTCTGCTCTGACGCTCCTCCTGAAACAAACAAAAGGCTCAACTTATGTAAGCAAGCCTCAGACGGATCACAGACAGATAAGCGAGTCAGAGAGACAATAGTACCTGAACTGCATCTTTCAGCCATTCATCCAGATCAGTGTTTTTGCCCCTGCTGTGAACCAGTAGATCAGGTCCTCCGATGACGTGGGGTGAGGCCTCTACACCCGGCACGCAGATCTGTCACAAGCACACAAGCGTGTTTATATGAAGAAATAATATTATTCTGTACATTAGGCAAACTTTATTGGAATTTTTTTTCAGATTTTGAGCATACTGTATGTATCCCGTCATTGGAGACAAAAAAAGGGATCATTTAAAAAAAAAAGGAAAAGAGAGCCGCCATCCACGGGTATTGATTTTGGGGTATTCACTTCTCAAACCTCACTGCTAGATGCCACAAAATCCTACACACGGCTCCCTGTGCTGTATTTGTCGTGTAAATTGCATCGCATTCAATCTGACCTTCCGGAAGCATTTGAAGTTCTTTGCGTAGCTGTTGTTCTGCATCCTCTGTGGTTTGGTTTTGGGAGGGGCGGTCACAGTCAGAGATCTAAACTCCACTAACACCAGCTTTTTAGGAAGATCTTCATCAATCTTTGACTCCTGCAAAGCAGCACATTAACAAGTCACTTTTGTCTGATGGACAGCTAATATTCCTTGTTTTAATTAATGAGAAACAACTCAAGACAACTAAAGGGATTTCAGATTTTACAAAAACAACATGGTGTTCGGGCAGTTCATACACAATCTCCTGTGAATCCTGAGTGGTAGCTGACAAACACTGGATCCTTGAGGCCAATACGATCATTGAAGAGATAAAGAATAGAATAACATAATGCCATTTTTAAGACATAAATGCATAACATAAATAAACATTTACAACAACAAGGATCTTTTGAATTTGGTTATTATTTGGTTACAGATTACATTGCATATGGGAGATTTTAAGTGTCAACAAAGCCCAATAAATACATCGTTGAGCCACTCTTATAAACAATGAATTTTGAGTTGATGCTCTGAGATTGAAGCTGGAGCCACATCAAAATGTTTGAGGTCACATCTAACACTGTTGGCTTGCAACCACGGGAAATAGTGCATCTACTGACTTTGATGTGTCAAATGGTTCCCATCTGTCCCAAGCTTTAGAACCACTGAACACAGGAAGGCCAACTTTCACAAATGAACATATGTATGTAGTGAATAATGCATCTAGTTACAGCTAGAAAATATAGCATGTTGAGAAAGAGCAAACTGTAATAGTAAGAGCTTTATAACAGAACTTACCTGGACCTCCTGTTTTATTGAAACTGGTTTCAGAGGGGTCTTAGTCTCCTCTTTAGGCTGGCAGATATCTACTTTGAGTAATTCTAAGTCCTGTAGGAATAAAAGGGTGAAAATGTCTGGTAACAGTGAAAACTGAGCAGTGAAGCAATCATGTGTGCCGAGTCAGTTTACTGGATGAATAAAATAACACACAGTGAATCCTCACCTCAATGAAAGACGCCTCATCATCGTCAAAAAGCTGTATGTCTTTACTTGTACTGGCAGACGACACCTCTGGACGTGTGCTGGACTCATTATTAGTCGTCTTGTATTCTAAGAGATGAACTGGCTCTGTCTTGATGGCGACGATATGCTGGTCAGATTTTTGCTTCTTGTCTTTTTCCAGGCCCGCCTGTGGCCTCTGGTTCTTTACATCGTCTTCTAGGTGCACCCGTTGCCTCTTGCTTGAAGACGAAGCCTCCACAGTATTTAAACTTTGCTTCTGTTCGGTTGAACTGAGCGTGATAAGCTGTGCTGGCTGGCCTTGATTCCCCGACGGTTGCTCATCGAAGAAGTCCATATCCTCAGACATAATAGACTCTAGTTCATCCATTTGTATCTCTGCTTCCATCTCCTTTCTCTTTCTACGACGTGGCTCCTCCTGGACAGCGTGGGAGACCCTGTCTGACTGAGCCTCTGACCGTCCTACAAAAAGATCAGCTGCGGACCCCAGTGGAGTCTGGGATGTTGCCACAGGGGCTCTGTCTGAACGTAAGGATGATTCCAGTGAAGGCCGTTTTGGCTCCGACATGACAGAGGAGAGCTCTTCCTCCAAAGGCCTTGATGACAGGAAGACAAAGAGAAGGATAAGATAAGACTTCAATCTTATATTGTTGCCACTCAAAGCATGTTTATTGGCATTGGGTTAAATCAGTTGTACAGTTAATGCACTACATTCGTACCAACATGCTATGCCTCTACCTATTTTAAAGAGCAGATGTTTACCTTTTCTTGTTGACAGTTTGGAAGAATGTGGTCAGAGTTGATTGTTTCTGTGGGGAAGCTTGTGCAGAGACTTTCTGTTTCTGAGGAGATTGCTTGTGTAGAAATGTCTTCGTGCCATCGTTGGTCCTGGGAAGGGCTGGCTGGGACCTGATGCCACTGCTGCCTGCACCTGAACCTGCAAACGTATTGATTGATTGGTTAAAGCATTACAAGCATGAAGCTGATGCTCCCATCACGAGTGAATTGCTTACTTGCTGAGAGCCAGATAAGAAGATTGAAACTACTCTCATATCTGTCAACAGCGCCTGCATTTTTGCTAGCTTTGCTTAGCATAATGACTGGAAACAGCTAACCTGGCTCTGTCCAAATGTAACATAATCCACCTACCAGCACTTCTTAGGCTCACTAAATAACTATATAATAAGTTACAGTATATTTCACACAATATCTGACATATAGAGCCAAACACATTGTGGGGATACACCAGTTCAACACATCAGATTGGTATCAACACAAACACTCTGTACTAGGCTAAAGGATATGTATGGGATGGGTGCGATTGATCCAAATTGCACACTTTTTCCTAATCAAGGCCGTTATATTATTTGTAATAGCAACAAACAATGTATTTAAAATCTGTTAGAGCCTAAGTATAGTGTTGAAAAAGAGGAAGGAACTCTAAACTGTGTCTGTTGTTTAATTGACCTAATTTAAACAAAATTATGTGTAGAACACAGTAAACCTTCATGTTATGTTACACATCAAAATCCAATCAGTTTCAATTTAAGACTTCAGGTATCAAGAGATAAAAAAAAAAAAGACAGATCGGTGCATCCACCTGTCGGTTTGGACTTCATCGTCTGCGAGTCCGTGTTCTCTACCGTGTTGAATGATAAGCTCATTGTATCAGGCACGATGCACTGAGTGGTCGTCTTCTTAGCATCAAGTCTGGATCCACGGAGCCGACTGCTGGTCTGGTTTAGCTGCCTCTCAGGAGTCTCCCCGACCGCCATCACCCCTGTACCTTCACACAGCTCTGTCCTGATAAACAAGTACAATTACACACATCAGAAAGGCTTCCTTTTCAAAAATGAAGAGTTTGGACAACTTTAACACAAAAAAGACGCGTGTCTGGTGTGTGCTCGTCAGTACCCGTGTGACGGCTCTGTGTTAACTGCATACGCTGTGATGTTCTGAGATGCTGCAGGCAGCACAGTCTCTTCCACCGCCACGCTCTGCGACAGCGAAGCACTCGGGATTCTGGGTGCCACTCTTGGTGCCGACTCTAAAACAGAAACAAACACAGAAACAAATCAAAGAGAAATATAAACAAATAAAATAGCATAAAATGTATTTAAAAACGACAGCATTCAGTGCTTTTCTGTCTGTTCACCCACCTGAGTCTGGTGTTGGACTGGATGGATTGCAGTACCTATCACAGGAAGCATAGATGGCAGCCAAACCAATTTCTGACTCCGGGATGACTCTGAGGCCGTTTCTGTGTCAGCGGAAAAAGGACAAATGCCAGAGAGAGTTTTACAGTGTTCACAAATCATCGCTTTGACAAATAAAATCGGCAAAACACACTCGTAAGTGCTTTTCTACAGGAGTTTGTGGAAACCTTAGAACAATGTTCTTCACAGAGTTTGCCCACTCTGTGGTAGAGGAAGGAAGCAGAGCTTGGGAGTTTCCTGTCATAACATTGACCACACAGCTCTGTGGAGACTCCAGCAGGTCCCGGGGCAAAGAGCCTTCCTCAAGCAGCTGGCTCTTGCCACCTCCAAAATGTACTGCTGTACTCAGGCGCTTGAGCTGCAAACAACATAAAGAGCAGGGATTACATACATACATACTTACATTGTTGATTGTTTATCAGAATAGCAGATCAAGGACACAGGAGGGACTGTGTGTCTACTGACAATAACATTACTTGATATTTCCCCTCATGTCAGTCTGATTGAAGGCTAAAGCCTTTGAGTGGTCCATAAATATTTTAGTTATTGTAAAAGCATTTGTTCCAGAGGATATTCTATAATGCAGTTGTACTCATGTACACTTGCAACTTCAAGCTTGGAAAATGTAGAAACATTCACTCATAATGTGATAATTGTCTACTACAATTTACATTTCAGCTGGCTTTTAATAGCAGGAATGCAAACAATTTACAGCGAGCAGAGATTGCTCTCCTAGAGATAAAAATAATAATAACTATTATAATAATAATACACGTACATCCTCTCTGTGGTGCTTAAGAAACACACCAGCCTTATTATATAAACGGATCACCTAAAACCCTGCTCTTCTGTGGCCTAGTGGCTTGAAGAGCATGAAAACAATATTAGGTCATCACAAAGAAAGAAGTAGACATACTTGTTTGGCATTGAGAAATACGAAGGTCTTTCCACTGAAGAGCTGTTTGCGAACTGGAATCGCTGCAAGGTTAACATCCTCTTTACTCAAGCTGGGCTCATCAATCTCAGGGAGGAACCTTAAAAACAATGTGCAGCACTTAGCAAGATAATGTTTGCTTGAGTGTGGCCTCTGGTGTTCGGCTCATTCGCAGTATGAATGTGTAGAAATAAGGATGAATTGTTTTGTACCTCTCAGCTTTAGGAGGCGGTAGTTTCTGCTCAATGGCTTTGCTGAACTCAGTGAAGAACTCCGGCTTCACGATGAGACGACAGCACAGCAGAGCAGAAATAGTCTAATTAAGAAAAGAGGAAGCACATCAAAGACATATTCAGAGATGAACACATCCCATTCAACCACCTAATGAGAATACAAAAGTCTGTTTTGTGACCTTGATGGTGACTTTAGCAGAGGGCATGGCCAGGTGGGTGCAGTCATGAGTCCAGGTGTTGACCAGCTTCCCACCCAAAGCCAACAGGGCCTGAGAGAGCGACGCCTTGCCATCAACGTCCAAACATGATGAACACACCACTGGCTTCTGGCGGTCCACACTGAGATAAAGAAGTAACGAGATTCATGATGCAACGTGAAATTCATATGCAAGACATTACATTGAGCATTCTCTAAGTTTAAGGAGAAAAACAACTAGGTGTGACATGCGAGTGCAATGAAAAGTAAAAAATTATGCCAGACTTAGAGACTATGTGATGTAAAACATAACTAACCAGGTTTTGTTTCAGTAACTTACCTGAATTTGCTCTGAAAAACCCCAAATGTAACATTGTCTCCTGACTTTAAGTCCACTGGCGTGTTCTCTGTCAAGCACTGGCTGTTGACAGATGAGCCGTACTTGGAGATGTCTCTTAAAGTCAGCGTCTAGGAATATAATTCATAAGAGCAACTCGTGAAAGTGTCCATCAGTCAAACGAACCGTCCTACATCTTTCTGTTCAGTTATTCACGTCTCAACAAGAAATCCATCCTTTCAAATAAGCCTAAAATGGAAATGTATCCGAGGCCTGGAAAATCAATTTAATCTTAAATGTAAGAAAATGTGGAGAGGAATAAAGCCGCGTCGACATGCTAAACATGTGACATCCAGAACTAAAAATAAGACGAAATCTTGATTCTTCTGAGTATTGACAGATAGATAATTACTTTCAGATCCTCTAATGGTCCAGTAAGATTATGAACTGAAGAATCAAAGTGCACAAAGTAAACAGGACAGAAAACCCAGAGGATGCTGATAAATATAGATGAAAAGAAAATCTATGTTAGAGGGGTTGGCTTTAATATGCAATAACAACAAGGTTAATGAGCTACAAACTGTGGCAGTGCAGAAGCAACTATTAGTCGGAGCCGGGTGAACTATCGAGTGTTTTGTTTCAGTCCTGCTGGAATGAAGAAATAGCACCACCTTCTGAGCAGAAGTGCCCCCACACCAAATTAAATCTCATATCTTTGGGACAATACTGGGTTTGGTGATGTAGTCAAATGAATAACTTGATAATCCTGCAAAATATTCACACTAATATGAGGCTAGTATACAAATATGCATCGTTATTGCACAGACCTGCATGGTAATACAGTATTACATACTGAGTGGATGGATCAACAATAGAGAAGTGGATTATGTTGATGCATTGCTTTGAGCAATTTCTATGGAGCTTTTACTTCTTCTTTTCGGTAATACATTGTACTCCGGCTGGACACTTCCTCTGTTAATAACTGTATGATCATAACATTCAACTTTAGAGCCGAGGGGGGGTGAACGTTTGATTCTCAAAAGATCATTTTAACTTCTAACCTGTCTGGAGGGTTGTCAAACTACAGAGGAAAGTAAAGACATAAATACTGTACAACAGTTCTTCCTCTTACCTGGTCAGTAGCAGTGAGATGAGCGTGAGCTCTGCTGATGGACTGGTCGTTGGGTAGGATTATGTCACAGTTCTTGCGCCCCACCACATACTCTTTACTGGAGAGGAGATAGTGGGTCTCACCTGTGAGTGACAGGAGGCATGATATGGACCTTCTAATGTAGAGATCACAAACAGACAACCCAACTGTGGTGGAAAAGAATACTACATGTGTGACTTTTTGTCATGGATGTTAATCCTCATTGCATGAATCTGTTTCACTATGTGCCAGAGCAGGCCAATAATGACAAAATAAATACCACAATATTGAGCAATATATATATTTATATATATATATATATATATATATATATATATATATATAGTTCCAACATCAATTAATCTGCCAAATAAAAGTATTTAAGAGTCCAATCTTAAGTCAGTCCAAAAAACAAAGACATTCAGTTTACAATTGTAGAAAACCAATTGTAGTGTGTGTGTGTGTGTGTGTGTGTGTGTGTGTGTGTGTTATGTCTGGTCACGTGGCCCCGCTGGACGCTGTTGCTGTCCAGTATCTGTGTACGCCCTGGGCGCCATTTGGTGTAGGACACTCAGGTAAACAAATCAATCAATTTAAGTTCAATTTTGAACAATCCATCCCCCAGTGGCATGTTTAGGCAACATTAAACTGCACGTGTACCGTTGTTTGCCATATAATGAAAACATGTACTAACTTACAACTGCAGTATAATCACTTGACAAACCAAAAGTTCATCAGACCCTTGTACCAAATCCCGTATCCACTTACATTTCGATCAGTTAAGATCAGTTCATGTTCTGCCTTTAGTATTAGCTGCTAGTAGTTTTCATCACGCACTCAATAACACAGCTAACTCCCGCGAGCTAACGTTATTTGTTAAGCTAGCGTCAAAAATATCAACCACGAGAGAAACAGTTACCTCCAGGCTCCAGGGGTGTCAGTATCCACATTGTATTGTTTCTTGTTGCTTTTTAATGTATGCAAACCATTAGTAAGTCAGAGGTAAAGCAACATTTAAAGTCAGGCAGTCCATTTACAATTTATCAACAAGGTGGACACACTCAGCGCGCTTAAGTGTGACGTGTAAACTCTGCGCCACCGCTCTCTTTTCAAAATAAAAGTATAAACCCTCATTCATCAGGGGTTCGTGAATCTATTGCAGATTAGAATTAATCTTTGTAATTAAAGTAATATTGTACATTTCTGCAGAAATGAATGGTAATAGGCTTGGTCATATTGTAACTAACACTCACTTGTGCTCTACAAGAGAAAATAAATCAAAGAGGAAAAGTGGTGAAAAGAACATTTACTCAAGTACTGCACACTCCCAAAGTACAATTTGAGGTACTTGTACTTTACTTGAGTATTAGCAGTTCATGCTTCTTTATACATTTTCTCCACTACAATTCAAAAGCAAATATTGTACTTTTTACATTTAACTGATAACTTTAGTTACTTTGCAGATTCAGACAATACAAAATGCAGTCAACAAATAAATTATAATGTACTATTTTTGGTTAAGATAAGACTTAATCCCCCTTGGGTGGCATTCATAAGCTAATAATTTCATTACAATGTACATTATTCTGTAATTGTATTGCTCTGTTTTGTTTTGAACAAAACTATTAGAGTTGAACAGGCAGACCGATAAGTATGTCCTGGTGATGCTATCTGTATATAAATCATGACCTGTGGATAATGGAATAACAATTAAAAATTTGTAATTATTTTGATGTGATTGCTACAAATCACCGAGCCTCAGTGATTTGACTCAGAGTCATTTCTGTGTCAATGAGCCAAAAATGTCACCTAATCGTCTCTTCCAGTCTTGATGCTCTGAATTCCACCTAAAGTGACATGAAGTCTTCTATATGTTTGCAGATATTTATTGAACTGCAAAATATGTTTGGAACATCACAAAATATATTCTGTTTTGGGGTGAATTCCCTATCTGTATGACATTGCTCAATTGTTGCTCAACAAGGAAGTAATAAAACAAATGACAGTTGTAGTAAATTGGTAAATAACATATATCACATTTAACAAAACCAGAAATTATACATAGCTTAAATTAGATATACAGTACATTTTAATTAAATTTTAAAACATGAACCAGAAACAATCCAGACATTCAGACAGAGTCATCAACAACAAACATACACAACACAATTTTAAAATGTGAATTATACATCAAGAGAGTTAACAGATAATTCCTATATAACAAAATTCAACATAGTCCCTCACAAACCCTAAGATAAAATAAAACCCCTGATCTTTATTTATTAAATCCAAAATTAATGTCACACATTGCTATATTGCTATTTTTCATTAATTGCTGAATTCAAAATAAAGGATCATTGTCAGATTTCCAAGGTTGACCTGCAGCTGGTCTGAGGCATGGTAGTCTGTGATTGACTCTCATCACTACAACACTCGTGCAAGAGTCAGGTTTGCGGATGACCTCGCACCAGTCTGGGTAGTCCACAGGGTCAGATCCACTGTAAAGAAAGATCAGAGTTATATGTAATTTGTAAATGTAAAATGTGGTGTAGTATAACAAAGTTATATGTAAACTCATCCAAATGAGTTTTGGGGGTGATTGTGAATTTAAAATAAACTCACTGGTCACAGCATCCTACTCCAAAAGGCTCCATGCAGACACACTGGTAACAGTCACTGGTTATCCAGCTCTCTCCTATCCCGTACAACTTCCCCATGTGTACACAGCTCCCTGAAAATTTAAAATATCAGTTATTGTGACATATGCAGCAGTGGATTTACTTGCGCAAAAGTAAAAGTCCTACATTAAAGTTTAAGTGGAAGTACATACATATGTACAAGCAGTGGTACGAGGAATACTGTAAAATAATTATTCATGTTATATTATAGTTTTATTATTAATGATGCTTTAAGTATCATTTAAATGCTGCAGCAGATCTGGGTCGAACTAATGTTGACTACTTAATTGTTGGGTTGTTAATGATCTAAATAGGCATTGTATTTCATAGACAAGATAATTATAAAAAGTACAATTATGGCCTCTGAAATATAGTGAAGAAGTATAAAGTAGCATAAAAGTAAAGTATGGGTACCTCAAAAATATGAATTAATTACTTCTTACCTGGCCACACGTACACATACAAGCCTATAGGAATCAATATGTCCACACACACACACACATACTGCACCTTTAGTGTTGAAGAAGCACTCGCCGCTGTTATACACAGAGAAACACGGCACACTGGCACTCAGGAACAACAGCAAAGCCAAAAGTACTCCTCCTGCTCTGTCTGCCATTTCTAAAAAGAAGCACCCCACAGGGTAGAAAATACACCAAAAAACACAATAACCCATTGAGAAAAATGTCAGATTGTTAGTCTTACCAATTTCAAAGTTTCAACAATGTAAAATAAAAACCTTCACTTTCTTCTCTTTCTGTTCCTCGAGCTTTCATTCACCCTCTTGTTTTTTTGATTTCCTCGTTTCCCCTTTCGGCTCTCTCCTTCTCCTCTTCAGTGCCACTCCTGAACTGATGCCCTCTCTCCCTGTGGGCTCAAATATTTATACTGAACCAGCATGTCTTTATCTCTACTTTCTTCATTGCTATTTGTCAACCCCCCCCCACTCATTAATTACCTTCTATCTGCACGCGCACATACAGTGTACAGACACACAAACACCCACTCATACAAGCATTATTAAAACAATGTTCGTCATTCCCTCTTGTGCTGCTTCACAGACATTGCCCTAGAGTATACAGTGTGCACTCTTTCAGATAACATTTGTCTCATGGGGTGCCATTTGACCTTATCAGGAGATCTCACTGGTGACACCATCCATAGGACAGCTAGCCAGTGGCCTATTGTCCTACACACAGTGTGACCCCTTGACCCATGCTCAACATCCAGGCACGTAAACATATTTTATTGTGACATCCAAAAAAAATTACTGAAAAGCTTATTTGAAAAAGGCCCAGTTATTGTTTTCATTGTTAAAATCTTTTATTGCTTCTATTGTAGTCCTTAATAATTGTCTTTCTCTTACAGCCGACTAATGATCAAATTCATTGATGCGCATCAGTTGCTTAATTCAATTTCATATCATGTTGTTAATGAATCATCAAGCAAATGTTGCTTTACTGGATTTACTGAAATTAAATTAAATGTTCCTGTTACAGGTCTCTTTTAGTATGTTTTTGAGTTTTTGTCAGGAGCAGGAGAGCGGGCATGATATTTAAGAATTTCTTGGTTAAGTTGGAGGTTATTTTGTGTTGGAGGATGGGTTTCAGTGTCTTTGTGCTTTTAGTTGTTTGAACAAACCACTCTGAGTTCTCGGATAACATGCGCTCATGTGGACATAACCAGGCACGCTCTCTCTCACACACACACACACACACTCACACACGCGCACCCACACACACACAGATTTGTTTGTCACTTTTAGGAGATTTTATTTGGGGATTTTTGTAACCTCAACCTATCTGCAGTGACACCCAACCAAGGATACACTTTTGACAATCATCCAAAACAGGAACCACGGGTTTAAAATCAAACCTGAAGTTTATCCTCAAATGTGACTCAGATGAGTGACATTGACACGCACACATGGTCATGCACTCAAACTAGACGTCTTAGGGCTGCAACAAACACATCTTCCTGACATCTTCCCTCCCTGTGCTGTTCTGATGTTTTGATGTGTTTTGTCTCAGATGGTTTCAGTGCACCCCGACCTGTCTATACTGTTTCACAATTGTTGTCCCGTGACAATCCTTCAATGGCCTGGGATTTACATTACAATGTAGCTCTGTGCATATGTGGTACTGTTGGCTGTGTTTTCACAAAGTGTACTCTTATACAGTAACTGATTTGATTAAAAAGCATTTTATCTCTCACATCAGTGCCACTGATTTTTCCAGCCAGTGCTCTCACAGGCTTGTGCACAATAGGATGTAGTTTATTACGCTTCCTTAGAAAATCGGATTATTACATAATAAAATGCCCTTTGAAGAATTCATTGACTGGGAGGGAGGACATTTCATTAGCCAAAAGTCCAAAAGCACATTCCCTCAGTTAATTTAAGTATAAAAATAGTATCTGAAGCATTTCGCTCGCTACGCCTGATGCAATAGGGCGTGAATCCGAGATGTGGAGAAAGTCAATATTAATATTCAATCAGGCTTTATTTACTGTATATCCTCATCACAGATGGTGACATAAAAAACATTCCTTGTAGATTCTTACTGAAAAAGAAGCAAAAAAGTCTCATTGAGAGCAGTGAGGTAATACAAATGTAAGCGTTATCGATAAAAGACTTTAGTCAGTAGACAGAATAAAGCAGAACTGAAATAACAAAGGCTGCTGTTAGTTGGCTTTAGTCTGATGTCACAAGCCTGCATTGTGCCAGTAAACACACCTGTTTGCTCACATAGCAGAATGTACTTACCCTCAACTGTCATGAATGTGTATATGGGTGTGTTTGAAAGAGCGAATGAAAGAATGTGCAAACATTAAAGTTGATGTTGAAGGACTTTTAAAAACAAAACTATTTTATTGACAACATAACAATAATTTTAATATACAATAAATTATTTTTTACATTTATCTAAAGCACCACAACACCAGTAATGTATTTTCAAACTTTCTTCACAGATTTTAATTAAAGAAACTGCTAGTAAACTGAAGGAATACAAGTAAACATAACAATGATATTCTACAATATGTAGCAATGGAAGATAATACACCTATTGTGTAAAGTTTACCATCCAAAACCATTTACCTGAACATCTTTACTTCATGGGTCTTTTTTTCAGAGGTACAACACAGGTCAGAAGTCAATGCCAGGCTCTGTAGGAATATGTCTGATATTTAGTTGACACAATGAAGCACAAGAACAACCGAATATCAAACATATCACACAGCTTCTAGCCAGTCGGAGCCTCAGCAGGCTGGAAAAGCCTGTAGATAAGAGAGACAATGCAGTGAGAATGAATGAGGGAACAGATAAATACAGGAAACATCACACAGTCAGTTAGTTTGTTTCAGACTGAATGTAGTTCACAAACTATTCCATAGAAAGTGTGCAATGAGTACAATATAATGGACAAAGACCTGAAGAACCAGTCCAACATAAGAGGGATTTGACAAAGGAAAGGTGTTGACGGAGGGAGTCACACACAACACGAATAAGAGATTCTGTTGGCATTTGAGATCACTTATCAGTGACTATTGGCTTCAGGGAAGATGGGATTGAGGGAAAACAGAGTAGAGGTAAACTCCAACTTCACACACAAATACAAATATGAGGATACTTACCAATTCCCTATATGCACACACAGCGTCCCTGTGTACTGTCAGTGAAAAATCTTGGTAAAACAAGTAAAAAATGTGTTTACTTTAAGTGTGTGTGCCTTTAAAAAAGTGATTAAAAAAGTGATTCATAACTAACTGTGAATGTGAGCTATGATCTGTGTGTATGAGTTATTCCTCAGTGGGGCAGCGTTTATATACAATGCTGTGAGACACACACACTCAGTGTCCCATGTAATTAGAGGTATATTGATCAGCTACTATGGCCTGCAGCCTTTCCTCCCCACATTAGCCTGATCAATAGATGTGATGTCCATCCTACTGTGAGCTCCCACGAATGCACAAACACACACACACACATGACCGCAGATGCAAAGTCAAATAACTTTCAGTTATTGCCTGTAGGGAGGACATGGCGGTCACTTCATTGTCAATAGTTGTATCTTGTTACTATCATATGGCTGATATCTCAAAAGACGACCTTTATAAAGGGATGCACGCATGTATCAAATGTAGTTACAGTGTTTTTTTATAATCATTCTTTACAATGATGTTTAGTGAATCTTTTTATTGGATGAAAAGGAAAATAAAAAAAGAGTGTTGCGTAGCAGAGAGAAGCGTAACAAAAACAGAAATGAAATGTGTAAATATGAATGCCATCCTGTTTCAGCATCAGCTATTTTTATTGTTGTGCACTTAAAGTGTATGTTGCTGCTAATATTTCTGTACTTTTACTTAAATAAATTGTTGCAATACTTCTTCCATCATTGATATTTGGTATAAAAGTGTGTGAGTTATTGTCAAACCTGCTGTTTTGTGTGTGTGAGGTTACATTGGTATCTCCGACAGGATGGACACAATTATTAATAATCAAAATCTCAATTAAAAGTAAAAGAAAACTTTAACATCATCTGACCTCACATCATCTGCAATATATGGTGGTTTTTGAAGACTACAGCACTTTAAAATAAAAAGAAGCAGAGGTGGAGCTGATAAGAAGTACATTGTGAGAATGGGCATTGATTGTGTATTTGAATTATATGAGTTATATGAGTTATATATAACCATCATGTAATTCCTTCGTTTACAAACATCAAACAACGTCAGCGTCAGACTATTTTTAACACAACGGTATATTGTATGCTATGTTGTAAGATCAGACTGTACATTTCATGAACAGCAGCCCTCGTTTATGACATCAGTCCCTCCTCTGCCGTCTCTGTATCCTCTCCTGGTATGAGCTGACCTTGTGAGCCTATTGGGGCGGAATGATAGCCCTCTGATTGCCTAATTGTGAGCCTGGGGCGAGTATTTTAATCTCCAACAGATGGAAGGCAAGTGTGAGGCAAAGTGAGAGATGACAGGGCAAAAGGATTAAAAAAGAAACTAAATGTGGATTGAAAATAATTAACCATTTATATTTAGTCTAATGTTGTAAGTCTTTCAACAGTCCGAGTCACTCCTAAAATACACACAGCAAAATAACTTCCCTCTGATTCAGTCCAAGGGTCAAAGTTATCATTCTTTTCTGCTCACATGTTAAAGGTCAAAAGATCAAAATCTTCAACCAAGTCTCAGCTAGTTTCAGTTTGAACATATAAAGTTGTTGGAGCATGATTCCATGCAAATTTGTCTGAAGTGAGTCTATAGTCAGCTGATGTATTAATCAGTTTACTAATATATTTTGACATCCCATTGTGTGTCAGGATACAGCATTAAAACATCAACTTAAAAAAACAATAATATCTCATCTGAAATTGGAAAAGTTTGAATTTCAGAATTTGAATATTTAAGTATGACAAAAGTTTTGCTCTTGATAGAAACAATCTGATAACAACAGGGAATTACGTCATTACACAATTAGATCACACAACGAATTTGACCACAAATACAAAAAGACCCTTCACTGGAATAATTTAAAATATTGAACATAAATGACAATAGAAATCAGATCATGCAGGACAATTATTAGAATACCATCATGGCCACTATATATTAATCCAATATTATGTTGCTTAAATAAATCAAATGTAATTAATCTGGAACCATTCAGGTGGTCAAAATAAAATAAACACCTGTTCAACCTATAATGAATACAACTGCCCTACAGTACAAACTAACTTAAAGTTACTCTGAGGAACTTTTAACTGGTTATGAAACAGTCTCAAATTATTACTGATGCCTCTATATGACCTACATCTAAACTAAAATAAGTAAACTAGACCATCAGCGAGAAGATTGGTTATTTCTATATAGTTATTCTCAATGCTTGTCATCGATGCGGGTCGGATTCCACCCAAAATAAGATGATATCATGTAGCTCCTTTGGCTCAGACTTCAGTGTCGCCTCTGGCAGCAACCAGCCTGCCGTGGACGCCCAGATCTGGCTTCGCTGCCGCCTTCGACCTGCAGCTAACACGGCCATCACACTGCTGGAAGCCCAGGCCATATTGTTGGACCAGCTGTAGGGAAGGAAGTCACGGGAGAACCAGGGCCGAAACACTACCACTTTGGTCCACAGGAACCGTCATAATCATCACAAAATGAAAGTTCCTAGTAGCTTTAATGTTATGAACCCTGTATTGTTGAATTTTTGTTGAAAATGTTCCAGAATGATAAACATTTGCTAATTATCCACCAGGAACACTTTTCAAAGCTGCTGTTCTGGCATTAATCCATAAACTAAAAATGCACAACTAAACAAAAGTGCATTTTCAGTATTTTTTCTATGATCAAGATTGTTCTGTTTTGTTAGGTTTCAAATATAATTCACAAAATAACTACTCAGGCACAACATTTTATTGAAAGCTCTAAATACATGATGAAGCTTTAGGATCAGCCAGAATACAATCTGCACAGCCAGAGCTTCACCGGGATAACAGAGTGAAGTTTATAGGGACAGACAGACAAAGGCTTTGTGTTCTCTGATTGGTCAGTGCTCTGGTCTCTCTCTCTCTCTCTCTCTCTCTCTTTCTCACACACACAAACACACACACACACACACACACACACGCGCACACACACACGTACCCTGAGGCAGGGTCACTAAGAAAGAGAGAGGCAGACAAGGTTAACAACGATTATTCAATACCTATTGCTGTGTTTTCAGCGTTGGAGGAATTATCTAACAGAGGGGGAAAAAAAGCTTAAAAGTAAAGGCCAGAAAAGCATAATGTACAGCAACAAAAGATGAATAATAGGTACAGCTGGAATGCCAGTTAAACAGACAGAGGTGAATTTTGTCCCTTGCTTTTTCTCTTCCTGGTTCAGACTTATTTGTATTTCCCAGCATCCCCTATTTACATTCAGTCAAATAACTCTGCATAAAGATCTTCGGGGTTTATTGGTGATAAAGATACTTGACCATCATATGATAGATTTAGCTTTATTATCTCTCTCTCTCTCTCTCTCTCTCACACACACACACACACACACACACATAGACAGAATTTGCACACACTAATCATGACTTGTGCAACCAAGACACATGTTTGTGTTCAAGTATTTGACAAGCTCACGTTCATTAAGCTCAAAAGCCAGTACAGTGTGTTTATGACTGAGAGGAGCATTCTGACAAAGTGATCCAGAAACGACATGATGCATGTGCAGTGGTAGTGTAGATCTTACAATCTTACCAGAATGTTCCAGAATAATTCCTGTTTGGTTACATTTTAAGGCAACCTTCAAAGAACAAACAAGTTCCCTTTAGGAATGTTTGTGGAAACTTCCCAAAGGTTATTTTTGTGATGGATTGTGAGACAACAAACCCTGCAAATGACTAATTTTGCTCAATTCTTTACGTGCATTTTACTCTTTATAAATACCACAACTACTATAGTGGATGTACTTTTCGACACCACCAACGCACAACATGAATATTACAAGTATATAATTGTGAAGATATTACTGTGTATGGATACAGTATCGTGAGATGGATGTATGGCATGCAGTGATGGAATGTAAAGTACATTTACTCAAGCACTGTACTTGAGTACAATTCTAAGGTTTTTATACTTTACTCGAGTATTTCCATTTTGTGATAAATGATATTCAGAGGGAAATATTGTACTTTTTACTCAAATACTTTTGACTGCTAGTTACTTTTCACATTTACAATACAATTGATATAATCATCTTAAAGAATACAATGCATTTGAAAAAATAGATGTATACATATAAGATATAATTACACAAACGAATATAAAATAGTAAAAAAACATTTTAATGCTGTTTGTACATTAATGTAATACAAGAACATATTTCTTGGAAAGGGTTGCCCTACATAATGAGTACATTAACTTTTCAGAAGTCCATTTTGCAGATAATACTTCTGTACTTTTGCAATGAAGGAATTTTTAAATCTTGGTATTTCTACTTTTTCCCCAAGTAGAAGATTTTAATATGTTTTCCAGCACTGCCACTATGAATACCACAGTTAATCAAGAGAAGCTGCGTAATTTTAATAGTCAATGAAAATGTATTTTACTGGAAAATATTTGTTTTTATTTAAGTTAAACTCAAAGTGTGTACATTAATGACAAGTTACTGTATCCATATCACCCCAATTTTTTAAAACAACATTGGCTTACGGTTGTGCATTTATAACTGAATTATGGCAGACAAACACTGTTGCTGCTGAGAAAGAAAACCAAGCGACAGACAACATGACGCAAAGAAAGCTTTGTATAAATCAATCCTCTAATTGCCTTTAATTTCCAACAAATGTGAGAGAACTCTTGAATCTGGCCAGTGCAAAAATATTTACATTAGTACACAATCTGCTTATAACAAAAAATAGTGCACCAACACAAAAACATATGTCCACATCAAAATATAATTTAAATCCTCATTTTGTTGCATAAAAACTAAAAGAGATGGAATATTCATTAACATCCCAGTCATGAACCAAGTCCTACTTTAGGCTCATACTGGCCCAGTGAAGCAATGTGCTGTGAAAACACAGGTTGAAACATCACATCTCTTCTTAGGTGCTTTCTGTTCAGGGGCCTAAGCCTTTGGTTCTTCTGGTTTGGGGGCCTCTGCCTTTGGTTCTTCTGTTTAGGGGCCTAAGCCTTTGGTTCTTCTGGTTTGGGGGCCTAAGCCTTTGGTTCTTCTGGTTTGGGGGCCTAAGTCTTTGGTTCTTCTGGTTTGGGGGCCTAAGCCTTTGGTTTTCATGGTTTGGGGGCCTCTGCCTTTGGTTCTTCTGGTTTGGGGGCCTCTGCCTTTGGTTCCTCTGGTTTGGGGGCCTCTGCCTTTGGTTCCTCTGGTTTGGGGGCCTCTGCCTTTGGTTCCTCTGGTTTGGGGGCCTCTGCCTTTGGTTCCTCTGGTTTCGGGGCCTCTACGATGCCACACAGCTGGCTTTAAAAAAAAAAGTTAAACAATAGAAAATGCAGTGAATGCATACAGTGGTTATCATTATCAATATATATATTGTTTTGTAAAGTTTTGACGTTATAATAAGTCGAGTAAAGTATTAATAATACCTTGCAGGGGTTAATTCTGCTTTCAAAAAGCCACACACTGCACTCTTTGCTGCTAGTTGCTGGTTCAGTGTATCCGATTCTGTTTTCAAGTTGGTCTTCTCCTTCTCGAATTCATCTGTAGGTATTATCATATGACAAGTGGAATTTTAAGTGTTACAATTTAAAAGGAATTAGGAGCATTTCTTGAAGTTCCTTTTTTTCAACTGGAAGAGAAATCAATTTGAATGCATTTGAATCAGCACCGGTGCTCAGTAAAAGAGGGAAAGGTTTCTTTGTGTCCTCTCTGAGATATTGAATACATGACCACTTTTTGGCATTGAGGCACATAAATCGGCGCCTACCTTGGAGTTTTTTTAATTCCGTCTCTACTGATGTCAGCTCATCTGTCACATGTTTCTGCAAGTAGAAACGAGAATGTCAGCGACGCAAACTTGAGTTTGTTGGAGAAATCTTCTCTACACAGACTAAAACCCTGCATCTGCGCATCTTCGACTTTGATCCAGCCACATCCTTTTGACTTCTTAAGTAAATATTTGAATGCTTCTTTCATAACATATACCGGATCTGCACACAACACAGTCTCAGCATTATTCCTCAGTGTTACGTGATCAAGTAGCCTATAAGGATATACTTTATGTTTTAATGAAGTCTTGTGAAGTCACGTCTCAAGCTTATTTCTCCCAACATTTTATCGGTTCCTTACACATTACACCATTTTCTGTGCCCTAAAAAAATCTTTTTTACGATGATGTTTTACTTAGATGCTCTGTGCAACACTGAGGAATCACCTTGATCCACTGTGAGGCCATTAGATCTGCAGAGATGGTTCATAAAGGGCAGTAAATAAGTGGAAATTATGGAAAACGTATGTAAATGCAAATTCTGACTCTCTTAACCAAAGAACTACTTCGTCTTCCTCCAGAGGTACTACTGGCTATGTGAGACAACCGAGCAGAGGAACATTTATTTTATGTGATACACATATTCATGCATGTATTGCCCTTTTAAGAAGTTTTTGTTTTTAGAAATATGAATAAAAAACCCATCTATGCACAGGACCCAAATTTCAGTACAGGGTGACAGGGGCATAGACAAGTCCTATTTCCAATTCATAAAATAATTGTTTTGTTCTAAAATAAAAAAACACTGTTATATCTGTAGTATTATAGCAAAAATAAGTATGTAGTAAAATAAGGAAAATGGCCTATGGAATCCTGAAGGCGAAGGCCTGCCTATACAGGCAGGGATAGTAGATTAGTTTTAATAATTTCAACAATAAATAGTTTACAAATTATACAGTAATGCAGGAAAAAAGTACACTATTGCTGGAGTTTACATGTGTCTATAGGTCTATAGTCAGTCCCTGCTCTGATAATAGCTACAAGACAAGCCTGGGTGGTGATGATGAATTCCTTCCTAACTGGTTATGTGTTCTTTTCACTGGCAGAACAAGTCTAATCATATATAAAGATTTGAATTTTGTTTTTTATAGTTTATGTAACCCCTCAAGTTCATATTCCTCTTTCAACCGTGAGCTTTGAATTCATTGTTAAGATGACACAGTCTACTACATGGCTCTCTGTGTAAACTAAATCCCACATAACTTTCGCAAGGAATCGCAAAACTATTCATACACTCTCTTTGCTTGAGTCTCTCAGTTTCTCCTCACCTGGCCTGACTCGCAGATGTCCGATCTACCCTTTGCCGCAATTGCTTCGGCCTCGAGCCTGACCGTTTCTTCCTCCAGCGCTTTCTGCTCAGTTTGGGTCTTCTGCATGAGGTTTTCCGTCTCCGCCGCCATACTATTATAGCCTTGCAGCACATCGTTGGTCACCCGCAGCTTGATATCCTGAAAATTGTTCTGTCTTTCGTATTTGTCGTGCTGCAATTTCCGCATTTTCATGATCCCCACCAGAGCGACGGACAGGACTAATGTCACAGGTAGCACACATTGGACCCTCATAGCTGTGTGAGCTTTTTTATACTTGATGATGGATAAACTTCGGCAAGTGCTAAATCTGAACACAAGGCTGCTATCCGTGTCTCCCTGGTTACACTTCTCTACGTTTGCCAAATTAAAATCAACCAAGGTGCCCGACTCACCTGCGCTGTCCGATTGGACATTCACATGAGTTGGATATGAGCTGCTCTATGGTGTCATTGGAAACACGCCCTCTTCTTTTACGGCATCGAGAACACGTATACGCTCTGCTTTCACCCGGTGCTTGTAATGTCCTCACAAATAGTCCTGTGTATGTAAGCAGGCAAGCTTGTGTTTTATTACTGTGCGTCTGTTGATAGGACAAGCTGAAGCTGATATGACAAATAATTTGTGTAATAGGCTACCTCATTTTAACAGTGAATACAACACCACAAACCTAAAATAAATAAAGTGTACGACTTTGACTTATAAACTCAGTTACAAGGGGAAAAATCGAATCTTTACTTAAGTAAAAGTATTGAAGTATTGGTAATTAAATATCGAAATTAAAAGTACTTAAAAAAATGGCTAAGCACATATCTCAAACTTGTACTCAAGTACAATAGAGTAAATGTGCTTTAGGTATGATTAGAGTCACAGTTCAACAAATCAAAATGGTGTCATAATAAAACATAAAACGAGCACATATCAATCGTAATTATTGAAGGAGGAGATTGAGTCAATATACACAGTCTACGACAACAAATGTTTTGATATTTTACAAATGGTAGGCTATCACATCGTTTATTGTTGCTTATTTGTACATCATTAACTTGTTCTTAAAACTAAGCAGTATGTGGCATTATAAGATATCAGGAAGCAAAGTGATCATGGCTTAAATCTATTCCCGAATGCGCGCAGGGAGAAAATACGTGTGTCGCCACGCCCATCCTGTTCAGCAGGTGGAGCAGGTACCTCAGACACTAGTGTCTCACTGAGCGAAGGAGCCTGGAGGGCACACGGTTTGAAAGATACCTGGAATGAACAACTGGCCACCACTTGTTCCCACGTTGATCCAATCTATTCCTCGTCTCGATCAGGATGAAGCTCGTGATTGTTTTGGTCAGCCTCAGTGTGACTGTGATGGTTGGAATGATTTACCTGGCCGTGGACCAGGAGTTCAAACTTCATAATTTGAAAACCCGCATTGTGGAATCTTATGCAGAGATCAGGATGAAGGAGGAGTCCATTAACGAATTGAAAACCAAGGACAAGAACATGAAGACGGAGTTGGTGTCCGTCAACACCAAGATAGATGAGCTGAGGAAAAGGAAGGAAGAAAGTGTAAAATCGGCACAGGACCTCACTAAAGCTCTGCAGACTTGTAGCACGGACACGGTAAGGGACACACAGACACGCATCCGTGGTTTTACTCACAATTGGAGTTATTTAACATTCACTACAATTATACCATTACTGGCAGGAAAGTATCACTCTTCCTGATGCACATGATACTATTTGACTGTGTCGGGTTGGCGTGTCAGGATCCGCTCAGTATTCTGTTAAATCCAAATATTTGATTTATGTTGCCATTGTACCTTCTGTAACTGCTGACAAATACTTTCACCTGTGCCTTTATCAGGAAAATGCTCAGAAGAAGAAGGCAAGCACGGGAGAAGCCATTGTTAAAGTCAAAGGTAAGGCAGCTTTGTGTTTCACCTCTGGTCTGGTATCAGCTCTGGGCATGTAGTTAAAGTGAGCTTATGTACACTAATACTGGTCAATTCTAAATTGAGCCAGATAAGAGAATGTGACAAACTATAATGTGTCTCTACACAAGTTAGTCAGGCTTTCTATTGGCCTTTTAAAAGACAGAGGTTCGTTTGGAGCTGCTGAGATCTGTCAATCTTGTGTACTGACAATTAGAAACCAGTAGAACTAGTTGTGCCAGCACTAACCTACAGGGCTCCAGGCACACGGTTCATTCGTTTTATTCACTGAGCTTAGCAAAAGTAGCAACTCCCATTTTTACTCTTTTATTGTTTATTGAATACAGACATTTTTTAACATTGTTTCTCTCTGTTATACATTTCCTCAGCGGATCACCAAGTGGCTAAAAACAATGCTGAAGGGGACATTCAGAATTTGAAAAAACAGATTTTGGATAGAGACAGAGCTATTTGTGTCTTTGCAGATACAACTATGGAGGAAGCAAGGTAAGATCAGAAATGCCGACTTGCATCTTGAGATATGTGGTCCAGAACATCAGAGTTTCAACAGTCAAAACCAATATCATTACAGAGCAGAACCACATAGTATGGCTGTAAAACTAAAGATGTAAGGAAACCTTATCTTATTAGGATTCTGGACAACAAAGTAACATTATTTTTTTCCTTTTCTCCATTTCGCAGGAAGCTGTGTGGAAGCTCTGAAATAAAGTTAACTCAGAAACCCTCAACATTGAATGTGAAATTTTAATAAAAGAAGCATGCCATGCAAATTAGGATGGATTTTGTACTATTACAGATGTGAGTATAGCTCTGTTCATTCCTTATGAGAAAGTCCTATGTTGATTTAGAGAAAAAACACACTGTTTATACATTCATTCATTGGACAAATGGCACAGAAATAGGGAATGAGCAAATATGTTTTATAGTTTCATATCATTTTGTAATGTGATTGTGTATCGGTTAGATCTATGATGCATTATTTTCTCTGTAAAACACATTTTCAGATACTTGGGATTGCAGTCCTTCACAAATAAATTGACTTTTTCGTGTAGATGTCAGCTTCCCCTGATTGACTTGGTAATTTGTTTTGTTGCCCTGCCTCCTGATGAAACATTAGTGACTACCAGCAACCCCAAAAGTAAATGGGCATCTGTTTAATTTCCAAGGCCTTGTCTGTGGAAGAATTTGTTCACCAAATAGACCCCCTTGAATTGAACAATAAGCTTATCCTTTATGTAAAAACCCTCAAATCACATGTTGGAGTGTGAAAACTGTCAGTTAATTAAAAAGCTCTCTCTTGTCCGTCTGGGGATGGACAATTTGAAAATGAATGTAATGAGCCCAAATTCATGACACGTTATGTTCTTGTATTCATCAGAAATCAAAATATAGTAAATGATAGCATTTAAATGCCATGTTCCTCTACCTCCCCCTAGTGCAGAACTAAAGATACTGACAGGCTTTTTGCAATTTTCAGTCATGATTAAGATCAACGTCTGTGCATAGTTTCGCTCCCACTTCCTGTCCTACCCTTCAGCTCAATCTATAAATATACTCAGTCTTGGTGCAGCCGGTCTAAGTCTGAGCACTCTAGGCCTTCAGAGTGCTAGATACCTTTCTGGGAAATAGCATACTGTAAGTGGGTTAAGTAGTAGGTGACACTTTTGATGAACAATAACCGTGTCTTCCACAGTCATATTTAATTTAGCTGGTCTTGAGTGAAATTGTTCCTCATGAAATATTTGGTCATGAAATGCATTTTGTGTCAAAGCATTGAGATGTTATCCACAGTGAAGTCCATAATAACTGCAGTTGTGATGCCTGTCTGAACTCTGTTTTGAGAAATGCATGTAGAAAAAACGGTAATAAAGGAAGTTATTGTTGCCATGTGAACCCAGCTCTCCTCCACCACCATTATTTTGTTCAGTGCTTTATTGATTAACAATAAGGAGCACAGTAAACATACAGTACATTACAATAGAAAGTTCAACATTGCCTGGGTTAGAGACATGGAAAATATACACATAACACTGCCAGGGAGTGACTTATAGTCAAATAAAATGAATACAACACTAGCAGGGGTGGATATGGGAAAATACATACAGTAAAATTATAAAATAAAATATACTATATTGCTGAGGTAGTTCACAAGTCCTCAGAGCTTTAGTGTTTTGTGATGAACAATCTTGATGTAAGAATCCATATAGTTACAAATGGATGTAATGCCGGGTTTCACCTTCTCAAATGCTTCATTTGTGAAGAAGGTATTTGCCCTGAAGAACAGGTTGATACCAATCAGAGTGAAAAGGTGCACACCACGTGACCTACTCTTGTTCCCGGAAGTTGTCATTCTGTTAGCAGCTGCTTGTCTTCCGACACTTGAAAGTCACCGGTAAAACATCACAGTGTATCGCTCGTTGCATTCCTATTTGTTCGAGGTAGCTAAACAGTGACATGTGTTGAACATGCTTAAGGTAGATTATATAACATATGCTTATACGGTTTATCAGTGTTTATTAAAGCGATAATACTCTGACACGGTGCTAGCAAACGTTAGCTCGCAAAAGCGTTTGACTTTCGTTAGCCAACGTTACCTCAGAGTACAGGCACGTTGTCCTCCATCCTCGTCACTTTAAAGTGTACAAATGGCATGGAGCCTCGGTCGAATATGCAAGGGCGTTCAACGCCTCGGCTCACTCTCGTCTGTCCAGTCTCAACTCATTCACCCGTCCACCAGCGGTTCAGTCAGGACCATGTTGGTAGGTAGCAACGATCTGTTTTGATTCATTTTTTTTTTTTTGGGAAACACCTCATGCAATGCAAAACACAGTTCAGAAACAATTCAGCCATAAATTGTACACTGATAAAAATATCCTACTCGATCTACTACTACTGATAAATTAAGACACATTTTTGCATCATATTAATATGTAGATCAAGCAAATGTAGACAAATCTTTCTATAAACTCCTATTTTTGTACATTGAAAAAAGTACATTTAACGTTCAAAAACAAGTAAGTAAACTTAATTCTACTAGCAGAACTACAAGGATTTTAAGCCATATTTCAGAGAGTGGTGCTTGACAAGATAATGGTTTCAAACCACACCTCCAGTGTATGACATGCATCGTATGACCCACACAGTCCCACCACTAACTTTGCCCAGAGCTTGCTAGACCCAGACCCAGTTTCACACTGTTGTTGTAAAGGATTTCCTTGTTCATCAGGGGCTGCCATCGTCCTGTTTCTCTAAGTCCCGGGACTTCAGCTTGCCGAACTCTTCCTGGGGTTCAGAAATGATGCGGCTGTATAAACATTATAACAGCCAGTGTGAGGTCGTGATGGAAGGAGGAGAGAAACAGGAAGGGCCGTGGCGGAGACTGCCGAGCTACAATCGCGTCCTCAAGTATGCTACAGGTAAACGTGCAGACTGTGACGTTTGTCTCACTGTCTGTCTTTCTGCTTGTTTGTTTTGGTCATGAAATAGAATATAAGCAAAATGATGGGACAAGAGGGTAAACTGCATTGTTTGACTGTTGTATTTTATTGTTTAAATTGAACATGACTTATCACCTGATATTATCCCATACTCGATTTTAAACGTTTTTTTTGTACTTTAACAACTTTTCAAAAGCTATACTCAATGATTTTATAATACCGATGTATCAAATTGTTAATTTGGTCCACTCTCTTCACTCTCATGGTGTTGTTTTTGGCTGCAGCAGGCAGCTGTTTTCAGTGAAAAGAAGCTTGAGTGAATATTGGACATGCATGTGGCCAAAAACATGACTCCAAATGAATGACTAATGAATAAAAGTCTGCAACTGCTGGATCTCTAAATAAGCGACTGTTTTAACATGTTAGCCATATTAACTGTAAAGGTGATGAAATGTCGCATGTTGTTTCTGCTGCTCCCAATTGGCAAAAAAAATAGTTATTGCAGGTTTGAGCAAAACACCACAATGGTGCAATTGAAGGCATAACCATCATGTAACTTAAAGCCGTACACAGATTCTACTGTATCAGCCCCGCACCTGTAACCAGCTATATATGACCAGTGAAGCAATATGACTTCCATGTTTGTCAAGGTATCGTAGAATTATGTTACATAGTATATTTTAAACCAGAATAAAGATTGGAACTAGGTATGTGCTGATATGAACACATAGAAATCTGTAAATGCACCAGTACTTATGATGTTTTTTTCCCCCTTATGATGATGATAAGCTGCTGACAGTTCACTTGTGTGTTTTCCCATCAGGTGGAGTTTATCTTAATAAGATAATCCAGTCAAAAGCTCGTCTTTTTACCCGGAACACCGGAGACCCGGGGGTAGCATTCGAGTATGTTTTATTTTTCAATCGAGAGGAGCAGAAGTGTGTGGGTATTTTCCAGGCTGGACACCTACTGGAGGGGCCGCCAGGGTGAGATAACTGTTCATGTTGGTTGTGTTTTAAATGGATGTGTTTGTTGTATTTTTACATACTGTTCATACTTAAATGTACTCCATACAACACAATAATATTACCTTGAAGGTATTTTTACATTTTACTGTTTTAAAAGATTCAAAGCCTTTGTTGCATGTCATACCTCTCAATCTCTCCCCACATTTCCTGTCTGTCTCTTTATTATCAGCTTTCCAATAAAGGCAAAATGCCTCCAAATAATAATAAAAAAAGAAAAAGGCTATCTTTAAATCTTCAGAACTTACAAAACTGCACCTTTTAGACTTTGTATTTGGTGTCTAATAGAACTTATGTGTATTTCCAGACATGTCCACGGGGGGGCAATAGCCACCATGATCGACACTGTGACGGGGGCTCTCGCTCTCATACTATCTGGACCTGTTGTGACTGCCAACCTCAACATCAACTACCGCAAGTACAGAAAGAACATATTTTTAGACTTTATTTAAGTTGTGTTTGTAGATTCAGTTTTATGACATATATGGTCCAGCAGAATTAATGTTTGTAGCTTTGTTTAAATATACTGAATATGCTACCTTTTCATTGGTTAGTGTAATGACAATAGTTTTTTGTACATTTTGAAGACCTTTGCGTCTATAACACTCTGTATTTAGGATTATACCCTAATTGTCTTACTTCAGTTTTAATGTATATTTAGGATGAGCAGTCAGGGTCTGCGTGTCTGTTCGGCCTTATGGGCATATGTTGTATGTTGTACTGTATGACTATTATCATTTATGTCCAGTTTACACTGACAAACACTTGTCTTGTTCCCAGGCCTATCCCACTGGGAAGCACCTTGTTGCTTGAATCCTCTCTGGATAAGAAAGAAGGCAAAAAAATATTTATTACATCCAAAGTGACCAGCAGTGATGGCTCCAAACTGCACACAGAAACAACAGGTACATTTTTACACGCATAACATGTCTGATGAGCCATGTCGGTGTGAAAGATTGTGGTTGGTCACGTCTCTGCTCGTCAACCTTCTGTATTGTTATTGTCCTCTTTTCTTTCATGCCTCATATGCAGCGCTGTTCGTGTCGATCAGTTTCAGCAACCTACTACTGGAATCGTGACACAAACACACCAGACTGCCATCTCCCCAAACACTGTCAGCAACCTGAGGCCACAGTGTGTGCGTGTGCGTGTGCGTGTGCGTGTGCGTGTGTGTGTCTATACCCTGACCTATACCCAATTGAGCATCTCTGGAGAGACCTGAAAATGGCTGTCCACCAACGTTCACCATCCAACCTGACGGAACTGGAGAGGATCTGCAAGGAAGAATGGCAGAGGATCCCCACATCCAGGTGTGAAAAACTTGTTGCATCATTCCCAAGAAGAATCATGGCTGTACTAGCTCAAAAGGGTGCTTCTACTCAATACTGAGCAAAGGGTCTGAATATTTATGACCATGTGATATTTCAGTTTTTCTTTTTTAATAAATTTGCAAAAATTTCTACATTTCTGTTTTTTTCTGTCAAGATGGGGTGCTGAGTGTACATTAATGAGAAATAAAATGAACTTTTTTGATTTTAGCAAATGGCTGCAATGAAACAAAGAGTGAAAAATTTAAAGGGGTCTGAATACTTTCCGTACCCACTGTAACTACCTCTGCTTCGTGTTACTAACACATAGACAGTACATATCTAAGCATTATTCAGCAAAGTAAATGTTAGGTTTTATTTATTGTAACTTATACAATATTTGTGGTTTTAAGTAACACTGGTGCCTTAGGACGTGAGAGTATTGCTCAAAGTGTACTGAAGTGAATATTTGATTTCCTACAATAAAGCCTTACCTATTGGTATTATATGATTTAAGCAAAGCATGTGCTTATTTGTTTGTCAACAAGTTGAATTGTTTGCAGCAGGGAATAAAAATTGCATTGTTTTTTTTATTTTGATTAATATTCTGAGGTCTTTGCTTCTGAACATTAGAAAAAGACTTGAGTTGGATGTGTTGCACTTACAATTAAAATAACATTTAAAGTTTCTCTTGGTGTGATATGTTTTTTTTTAAATCAAACATATTATTGTAAATGTTTTGTTTATAATTAATCCCCTGATCAGCGTTTGACCGCTAATATAACCAACATCATACAGTAGTAAGGTTTGCTTGACACTGATATTGCTATATTTGGGTCAGGATTTTGTAGAAACAAACAGATGAATGCAGAATGTCATGTGCTGTTTTTTGTCTCTCTTTAAGTTGTGCACATAGAGGATGAATAAATAAAGAAATTAGCTGTCACTTTGATACATTGGTGCAATCAAGGAGATCTACTTTTCTACATGTCAGCTAACCAGACTTTCAGGCTTCTAGCTAGTCTTAATTTAGATGTTCAGGTGTGGGTTGTTAACTGTTACCCCACCATGTGGTGGATGTGGTTGTATTTGAATACGGGGTGTGAATTTACATGTCATGAGAATATCGTGACTTCAAATGGAGACACAAGGGGTTCCAAACCCAAAATCATAGCAGTTGTCATTTTGTTCACACGCTGGTTTGTCTCACGCAACTCGTGACACTTTGAACATTTTCCACAATCAAAAATGACTGAGGCGTCTCCACGATATGCCATAAAAAGTAACCCTGTCCACATCACAGAGATGTGTGCTGCTCAGGCAGCTACTGCGGACCACGATGCTGAAAAAGTGAATAAGTGAGCACTATTTTGGGTTAAACATATACTGCACTGCCTATATGTTGAAGACACTACATTCTTTGATTTTTATATTGGACTATGAAACATCTAAATGTGAATGTTATGTTAATATCTCTTTACATCGTGGAACAAAAAGAGAAAATAGTTTAGTTTATATTTTCTGTAAGAGGGAGTTGTTTCATTCTGCAAATTTAACATCCCAATGTGTTTTTACTTATCCAACCATTTTTAACTGCATTTTGTTGTCACCTAAACAAACAGCCAGCAACTACTCACTACTCTGAGCAAAGCCCCCCTCCTCTTGATTATTCACAAACTATCAGATGACAGAGTTGCAACTCCAGAGACGCTGGATTCTAGTAAAATGTAAAAAGGAGCTTGAAATTGATCAATTATGTCAATGTTTCCTGTTCTGTTCAGTCACTGCTTGTTATATCGGTAAATTATTAACTGTTAAAATCCACTGACGTTTTTGAAATGCAGCTTATAATAGTCTCTGGCATTTGTTAATATTACTCTTTTATATGATGTTTAAGTAAATGGCTAATACGCTCTGAATAATCCTTAAATTAATGTGACACTTACAAATTCCTATTCCTATTACATCCATTTAATATACAGAAAAGTGTTGCTTGTTAGCCAATGCTGCTGAAAGAGTGTTTGTTTTCAGTAAATCATTGGTTATGAGTATAGTGAACCCTGTATGCAATAACTTCAGTTCTCACACTGTTTTGTCTGATGTGTGGTTTCTGAGTGTATGGGCTCATCACAGTACAGGCCTGGTGGTCTTCTGAGGGCCCCTCACATCTTTAACCTCAGTACAAGTGCAGATGGAAATGCTAGTTTGTGTACCTTAGTAATGTGTGTGTGTGTGTGTGTGTGTGTGTGTGTGGTGGCGGTGGATGCAGGACAAATGAACACCGGCAGTTTCTTCTTCTCCCCTGAAGGCTCATGTGGTCAAGTTGGGTTTGAGGAAGTGCGTGGGGGCAGTTGTTTTCAACTTTCAGTTAAAACCACCTGCAGCAAGCTCTGTCTACTGTAGCACTTCCAGAAGTGATTTTACTTTAGATAATGTTTGGAAAGCTTTTTTTGACCTTTGATCTAAATTCCTGCTAAAAGTGGAATCACCTGACAGAATAGTGAGGTGTCGGTGACTTGACAGTGAAGAGTTATCTTTTTGATTGTCGCCTTTGGCATCGGAGTATTGGCATCCAGGAATAAATATTACTATGGGTCCATTTCTTTAACAACAGACTATATTGTGTCGAAACAGTTATCAATTAGTCATTTTACAGAAAATTAATCAGAGGCAACTGTGAATGTCAATCAAGTAAAAAATACTAAACATTTCCACTTCACCGCTCTCTTGTGAGGAGTTGGTGACTCATGAGCAGCTTAGAGAAATGATTGGGCTCTGGTAATGGTCATGTTTTTTAAAGTATTTTTTTCTAAATTAATTAGTAATGGGAAAAAAAAAGATTGCATGACCTATCATACTGGATTTTTGTGGGCCCTCTCCACCGCCTCTATGGTCACCAACAGCTTTAATTAAACAGGCATGCTCCTCATTGGACAGAGTAGCTGTGGATTACTTGATTGACTCTTAGCGTGTTGCAGTGCTTGAAGAGGTATAAGTGTTAGATCCTTTACTTAAACTAGCATTACCACACAGGGAAAAATACATACAATTAAAAGTCCTATATTCAAAATCTTACTTAACTGAAAGTATGTAGCAGTAACTCATACATTGCACACAGTAACATTATTAATGCATACAAATTTAACCATTTTAATGTTGAGGCATGTTGAGGTGGAACAGATTTGAACTACTTTGAATTCATCATATTTTAAGGGGTTTTATCTTAGTAACTAGTAACTCTAGCTGTATAAAGTACAATATTTCCTCCAGAAATGTGGTGAGGTAGAAATATAAAGTAAAATAAGAATACCTCAACGTTGTACTTTAGTAGGCCCACAACACTTGAGTAAATGCACTGAGTTATAGCCAACCAATGACTATTCAGCATGTGTGTCTGGACCCAGTGTATTGTCTTAAAGGAGCATTTAGCACAATGTTGTAAACCGAGAAGACATATCGATTATTCATCGTTTTCTTTGTGTCTGCAGTTGATTTCCTACCGCTGATAAAATGAGGTATTGCATACCATTATTAGAACAATCCCCCTCCAATTGCATGTATAGAGTCCTGCAGGTGGTCATAACAACCCACAAGAGTTATACCAGTATATGAAGAGAGATTTTGTGGAAGTAGTTTTGTTCAATATGAAGTGAAAGGCCAAACCTGCATTGGAGTTTAATGTTTCCTCTATGCATTGGATATTCTCGATTAGTGTGGCGGAAATTTGTGACAGCAACATGGAATTACATTTGTCAACTGAGCACTACAAAGCAAAACCCGATCCGCTGCTATTACGTAACGGCCGGTGACATAACTCTCTCCAGCCTGGGACGGTCAGGGCGCACAGAGAGCGCAGGGAGGGAGGGTTGGGGGAAAGACCGAGGCGCACGGCTTGTGAACGGCCGGCCGGTCCAGCTGCACTCTCTCCTCTCTGCTGCTGCCTCGGGGGGAATTCAATTATTTCAAAACAACCCCACAAGAGGAGGTGTGCTGTGTTAACAAAGGGAGGCAGACAGAGAGGGGATGGCGACTGAGTTTTGGGACCCGCTGTAAGGACAGGAATTAGGCGAGATGGCAGTGCATGTTGTCAAATGCCTGCGCCGGCCCGGGCGCTAGAACAACCAACAGGTATGAGCTCGAGTTTTGTCACGTTAACGTTTAAGTATTATGGCGGCAGGTGGAGTTCAAAACCGACTGTCATTTGACTGTGTGTCTGTGTGTCTGTATGTGTGTAGGGCCACCCAGTGTTTTGACAGGAGAGTAATGGAATATGAGGAGCCCGACGTGCCCCCCGCTGACAGCCCCCTCAAAAGAGGTAAGAGGATCCATCACTGAGCTTTTATTCTGCAGCTTGTTTGAACTGTTGTGCCTCTACAAGTATTATGCAACTTGCTTGAGCTACTTATAGTTTATTTTTAGTCTCATATTTACATTGTATTGTGTTATTTTTTGTCTTTATGTAGTTCTCTCTGTAACACAAATTAAGCCAATTGTCTCTCAGCATGCCATGCTTTGCCCACTCCCACCGACATCTATCTCCTCCCTCACACTCTTTATCTCATGTACTGCTCACCTTTCCTTCACTGAGTATCTGTCTTCCCTTTGACAAGTGTTCACTATTATCTTCTTTAGCTCCCCTCTCATCCATCCCCATTAACCCCCCTCATCCCTTTCATGGAGTGTGGTTAAGGTGCTGCGAGTGGGTAAGAATGGCAGTAAGCCGGAGTAATCCTTAAGGATTAGTTCTTATTTTTGCTTCCGTTTTTGGTCAATGCTTTACTATTCAAAGCCTCTTCCAGGCTAAAATCTAACTGTTGACTGTCACTTGAGATAAGAAACCTTGTCGTTCTGCCACAGAAACCCACTGCACACCTTACTCTCATTCGACACCTTTTGCTAGAGTTTACATCCTAACCCTTCACCAATGGGTGTAGAGTGCAGAGCGAAGAAAAGAAAGTGAGTTTTTATATTTGGAATATACCAGATATGACTGAAATCAATTTTTAGGAATCTTGTCTAAAATGATGCTCAAGACAGCTGGAGCTGGAACACAATGCACAATATTGTCAGACGGAGTGAAAAAAAGACCATTTCAACAACCTTAACGATAACAATAACGATACAGAGGATACAGATTTAGTGGTTACATTTTTTTTCTTAAAAGAGCAGCATCAGCTATACTTCAGATACTGGAACTGCTGTAATGGCGTTTCAATCTGGTTTAAGAGAGTTTCAGTGTGGTCGTACAGTTTTTGATACTGCTGATATAGCCCTTCTTAAGGTGACAAATGTCTTGGTTTTAGTGGCGGTTGTGGGTGTCTTCTCACTATTCTTTAGTGCTGGGTTTGAGTCTTTGGTACTGCTCCACATTGCATTTCCTCCTGCCAGGTTAAAACTCTGCTACTGTTCATTATTGGTTCATTTGCTGTCTGTGGTGTCCCTCAGGGATCTGTTGTGGGTCCGATTATTTTCTCTATATACTCTCTATGTTATTCTGCAGTCATTTGTGAATGTATTGGTGTTTATTGACACAATAGTGTCAGCCAGTAGAATCTTTCTCTAAAGCAAAGTGATATCAAGCATGATCATTTCTTGCAATAAATCTTAACTTATGGACCAAAAATACTTTCGGTTACAAAAATCACAACCATATTTGGCCTTTCTACAAATGTATTTTGAAACTCCTCAAAGTCATTTTTAAACATTCAGTCAGTCACTTATAGGCCAACATGCTTACATCATACATAAATGAATTGCTTTCTTTTAAAAAAAACCCTCCAAAATGTCCTTTTAATTCACCTCAAAACTGTGAATCCTGCTTTTATTTGATCACATTTTTGTATATCCTTCCATCCTATGTCTCCTTCCAACCTCTCCTGGTAATCCAAAATCCAAAGAAACAATCCCATTTGGTTTTTGTCTTGGGAGCCAGTGCAATGCTAACTTCTGGGTTTGGCCTTCAAAAACACTCAGCCATGCACCATGCAGCACTCTACTGTTCATTTTAGTCAACAACCTAGTCTAAACTGGACAAACATCCAAACCAGCTTTATCAGGCCGGCTTTAATTGAGTTTACACATGTGTGTTTCGGTTTAAATTATTCAGTATGGTATCATATATTGACTACTTTCATTATATTGTAAATAAGTCAAATTCTTTCGGATTTACTTATTTTAATTATACAGATTGTCATAGACTTAAACACTATCTGCCTTTTTCACTTCTTCTACATTATTTTACATTGGCATAAGGTTGAAGATTATTAAGAAGGTAATGAAGTAGCTAATCTGACTTTAATATATGTACATTTTGTATTATGTCTCATGGTTTTGTATTCAGGCGAAGGAGTCGACCTACTCTCTGGGTTCAGTGGTCTTCAGTGCTGTTATGTAACGCAGCAACTGTCACTTCAGCAGTCAGCTTAGATGTCAGTGTAGAGACGTTAGTAAGGTTTTGACTGATGAGTGCTGTTTCAATTTGTGCCTCTGTAATCATGTAGTCTTGTATAGTTTGTTTGTGTCCGTGTGTATGTGTGTCCGTGTGTGGACATGGTGGTGGGTTTTTGGCCTGGCTGACAAGTTGCTAAATTTGTACATGCTGTGTCACATTTAGTTTGTACAGAGACCGATGTTGGTGATCGCGTTAGATTATTTTCCACCACAAGCCACACACTGCAAACTGTCAATTGTATTCAGCGTAGAGATCATCTTTATTAAGTTAAAATTGTTAATACCAAATTTAAAAAATGACATGGATTTAGCCCGAAATTCTGTATTTTGCAGGTTACTTTAAATCACTTACCCTGGCTCATTTCTGTTGACAAGTTCATGACTTTAAACAACCATCAAGCAACAGCTTTTTTTCTGACATATTGTTCATTGGTTTTCATTTTTAATTAAACAGAACAAACATCCACAAACAACATCCCTCCAATCCCCCAAAAACAATCTTAACAAACATAACATTAATTATAAGTAAGCAAGTAATTAGATATTAGATAAGAGGAAATATTTATAAAACAGTAATAAAAAACACATTACACAGACAAATACATATGCAAGAAACAAAAGAAACTATATACACAAGTAGAAACTTTTAAACAAGAATAATATATATATGCAAATAACAATACAGAAATAAATATATCCATAAAACCTGCTTTATAATTTGGTAATCAGATGATAATTTAGATTTGTGCATTTCTATAACTGTCTAATGAAAAGAAGGACAATCAGTCCTTACGCTCCGTTGAAACCATATTAATACAATGCTTATGTATTTAACATTTTAACTTTGGAAACATTTAAATCCCATCAAAGAATAAAATAAAATGTATTGCTTTTGATTTGGAAATTATGCTTATATTTACCTCAAAAAGTTCCTTTTAAAGCATGATTTCATTGAACATAAATCTTGTACATTTTATTTAGCAGTCCCCTTCAACCATTTGCACAGTTAGTGTTAAAATGTCTTCACATTTTCCGGCTGTGTGTGCACTGCTCTGCTTTCATTCCATGCTTTCTGCTTATGAAGCAAAACTGATTTGATGAGGGGAGGAAAACAGTGGAAACCACAGAGGGCCTGATGGTGTCAGACAAAGACCGGCTAGCTCTACGTCTTCCATTGATACTTATCTCGCCTGCTTTCAAACCTCTCTGTTACACACACACACATACATACAACTCCAGAAATAAACCCCTTGTTTCAGAATCGTCCCTCCGCCCGTTTACTCACACTCACTGCAATTCAGACTTTCTCACAATTGCGGTCAAACAGGCAGAAAAAAAGAGGACCTATTGCTTCACAGACACCCACCTTCTCTGCCTTTATCTCCTGTGAGTGTGTGTGTGTATGTGTGTGTCTGTGTGTGTGTGTGTGGGTGTGTGTGCGTGTGGGTATGGGTGCCGAAGAGTCACACGAACATAACATAGACACGCAGCATTGTAAATAGGAATCCTCTAATTTATCAGTAAGGCTTCTTATCTGACCACAGGCCTTTGTACATTGGAAAAAATACTGAAAAAAAGTAGTGCATTCTGAAAACCCTGTATCAAACTGCCACTAAGGATTTGACAACGAAGAGTTTATCACAGCTGAATCTGTAACTTGAAGCCCGGGTTAGTTTCTGTCACATTTCATGCAAATTTTATTTACTCCCCTGATTAAAAGTGAACCCTGTGTATATAATATTCAGGATTTTACATAGTTATATTCTAATTTGCATATTTAATATGTTTTGTTACATTTGTTACAGCATCACAATAATTTTACAAAATTGTAAACTTGATCTGTCACTGCCAAGCTAACCCTGCTACAATGCAATGTTTCAGTGGTGGAAGAAGTATTCAGATAATTTAGAAACACAAACTTTAGGATAAGCAAAAGTCCTGTATTTAAAATGTTACTGAAGTAGCAGTATTGACAACAAAATGTACTTCAAAAATAAAAGTACTCATTATGCAGAACCCCCACCGGCAGTGTTTATATATATTAGCAAACTATTATTATTGGTGCATCAGTATGTAAGCAGTACGTTTGTGTTGTAGTTGGTGGTGTTGTGGTTGTTTGGTACATTTGCATGTAAAAACTGTAATTGAGTACTGTACTTTAGTAAATGTACTTAACTTTTTTCTAACACTGGCAGGATTAAAAAACCCTTTTTAAAAAGTGCCAGTGTGCTGTTTAGTCCTGGGTTGAATTTTGGGTTTTGCCTGAGTTTAAGTGTAGTCTGTAAAGCTCATGAATACACTGCATGTTGCGTTTCTGTTTCTAAAATATTCACCCAGATGCACATATTTAGTGCAGCTTGTAGTGAAACCTAGGTTCACAGTAAGTGTTGTGTAGTTTTGAATCACTAACAACATTTCTTCTCCCTCAGGAGTTGTGTCCAAGAAGACTCATTTGAGTAAGTGCTTTACGAAATATGTTGTGTTGGCATGTACATATGTGTGTCTGAATGTGGTAATGACATTGCTTGTGTTTGTGCTAGATATTTGTGCATGCATTGCGGTTGACTTCATAGTTAGTGAACATACAACATTGCACCTGTACAAGACAAGCAAGACACCAAACACACACACACACACACAAACACTGTGTAGTGTCGTTGCATTAGCAACACAGTGTGTGCGCTGTGTGTTGCACCTGTGCTGCCCCCCTCACACACACACACACACACACACACACGCACACACACACACACAGTGACGAAAATATCAACTACCAGGGCTTTGGCATCTGAATGCAGATGACAGAGATAACGTCTCATCTTTTTTTAACTTCTTTGGTTTAACACTTTCTGCCACAACTTTAGCACACCTGGGTGTGTTATCAAGCGTCGAGATGCTGTGTAACACACACCAACCTTTGTGTTGAGTGGTGTGACTATAAACATATTGATCATAAACAATGATGATTCTTGTGATTGTTGCTTGTGAGTGATAGCACATGTACGTATTGAAGATAGCCATGGTAGTCTTGTGTTGTTAGGTGCATCAGTCAGGTGTTATGTATACTGTACATACTCTGCACTTAACTATACGTTTTGAGGCTCTTGTACTGTACCCGAATATTTCCATTTGCTGATACTTTCTTTTTCTACTCCACTACATTCAACATGGAAATATTGTTCTACATTAATCTGACTTTGAAGAGTTTACATGCAAACATATGATCACCAAACAAACTATGATGCATTGTTATAGATTAAACGACACAACAGTATTCAAAGTAGTTAAAATCCACCGTGACCAGCTGTAACATCAAAATGCTGCTCACATCTTAATGCAGCATTAATGATAATCCATTAATGTGATAACGCGCTGTGATGGGGGCCATTCCTTTACTTTAAGTACACTTTAAGTACATTTTGCCAGCAAAACTTTTGCACATTTAGATAAGTACAATTTAGATAATTCAGTTATAGGAGAGTACTGTAAAAGAATGTTTTTTCTGCTTATCTCAATACTTTTATCTTATTCCTGCCAGTGTAAATAAACAACCATGTGCATCATAAGCATCAACAAGACAACTTCAATTAAACTCATGTATGAGTAACAGTATATAAATCTTACTTTACTGAAATATTTTTGTAACTTACTTAGCTTATTCCTGTTGAAAATAGTTTAGTTAAAATTCTCAGAGAGAGTCCTAAAGGTGCCAGACACTATAAAGCAGATTTTTTTAACGTGTGGTGAAGAGTGAGGGGGTGAATGATAACAACAAAGGAATAAGGAAAAAGTACCTTGAGAAAGAAGCCAGGGCAGGGGACAGTCCCCCCCCCTTTCTTTCTCTGTCTCCTCTCTCTCTGTCTCCTCTCTCTCTCTCTGTCTCTCTCACACACACACACACACACACGCTAACAAGGAAGGTGAGGCGGTGACTGTTACTCAAAAGTCTGAATAAGTGTGCTTAGAGCTGCAGTGAGCACCAGACACGGCTCGGTGAAGGAAGAACGAAAAAAGACAGTAGACAGACTGAAAGAATAGACGGTGCGAAGAAAGTGTGTCAAAAGAAAGAGTAGTGTCAGACAAAGTGAGAGGACAAGTGAGTTTGTGAAAGTGGGACAAACGTCTGAGACAAGTGGAGGAGTGAGGATGATGCGAGGTAGGGATGAAGTTTTTTTTGGCGTGTCTGTGTGTGTGCGTGTGTAAGTGTGTGTATACGTGTGTGGGCAGTCTAATCAAAGATATTTTATCAATTAGATCAATTGTATGTTAGTGTTCAAAGTTTCTCTTCATAAACCCTGATTGTAAAGTTTATTGAAAGTGATTGTATGACTGTGAAGTGATGCTTCTGATGCATCATATTGTTATCCGGACCAATATTGTCACTTTTAGGTTTAAGGCAGTTTTTCAGTTCAGGTTTCTATTTTTCATTTTTGATGTAACACTAGGTTGAACAGTGAAACAAAAAGTTCAAAGTGTGACAATTTTGCACTTACGTCAAACTAATTTGAATGTTTAATTTGATGTTTCAACTTGTTTAAAGTACCCTTAATGAAGGCAGATGTTCTTATTTGTTTTGAAACATAATTGGGTCTCTCCAGAGTTCTTGATTGGCTGACTGTTGTGTATGTTCACATCAATATATGTGTTTCAGTTTTAGGATTTTGGTTACATGACTCAATTTTGAGCTTCCTTTGATGGATTTAAGATTTGAATCATGTCTCAGATATTTCTTCACTCTCTCCCTCCCACATACACCTCAGAACGCTGAGCTGACGTAAGATGTTGAGAACCAGAGTGCAATAAGTTAAAATGTATATTTTTTTTAAACAAATTCCATACATTTTGAGTTTGCTGCAAAACATGCCTTGTTTAGACTCATCATATTTTCATGATAAGTAATATAATTAACACATGAAACTTATTAAGGCCCAAGGGACCAGGTTCTAAAATTACATTTAAAATGTTACAAACTTGTTTGCAAACACTTTCACTGAATTGTAATCAAAGTAAAAACGAAAGAGACAGGAAAACAGGATGCTTCACAACCACAGTGCATCAGTTTGAATGGACTAACTTCACACACATACAATAGACAAGTTGCAGAGGAAATGTTGATGTTATTGTGAAAATGTGATCGTGAAAATGATAAAAGAAAATCACATTTGTTATACGAATTAATTTAAAATGAATAGAATAAAAACACACAACATGCAGAAGGGAAGAAACAATAAGAAATGAATAATCTTCTCTATGCAAGTTGCTTACACACTTGGTCTCTCTTGCAACCTGCAAACACACACACACACACGTATAGATGCACAAGCACACACAGATCCGCAGCTGCTTTTTAGATGGCGCCTAGATATAGCATATCTCAGCCCTGCAGCTGTGTGTGGATGATGTGTGCATGAAAGAGAGAGAAGGCTCCCATTGCCGAAAACAGAACTTTTTGTGTCTTCACTTCATCAATGAACATACTGTATATTCATCTAATTCATTGGTTTTACACTCTTACAGTGGGCTTGATGCCGTCAGAATTGACGCACACACAAATGTCATATGGCTTTGTTGTTCTGTTCGGGGGATTCCTGCGTAAATTGTTATACAGTTTCTTTATCAGAAAGGATTTCCTTGTGCCTCTGTGCAGCACTTCCAAAGCGGCAAAAGCGGATGGCTTTAGATCAAAGCTAACATGAAAATCGCAGGTGACACATTCGCCCCAAAATATGGTAAAAGAGCACTTGAGCTGATTCATACACTGCAACTGTCAAAACATTACTTCTTTCAAACACCCCCAAATTCAGCCTGCACTTCAAAGTAAAATAGGGTTAATCTGGTGCTAATTGATGTTCAGATTAGCTTTGTTAGTTCACATTTTCTCAGATAAGGTATTGTGGTTAGTTGCTCTCACTTTGTTGGTGTCAAATAATGAATGAAACTCAGTAGTTCTTACATAAATGTAACAACCAACACAGTTTGAAGCGTAAAGGTATTTAACACCTTTAAATCTGCAGTCAGCGTTGCAATAAATGTAACCAGAAATGTCAAGTAACAAAGTATTCAATACAGACGAGTGGTAAGAAATAGTTCTTATTAAAATACCCTAGTTTGTCATGATTTGTGTTTCTTTCTCTTTTTTTAAGGTTTTGTTAAAGATCATTAAATACAGTTAGAAATTCAAAAAGCATGGCTTTTAAAATAAATGAATTATTGCTTATTTTAATTTTGTGTCAGTAAGTCAGAGAGATCTTTTTCTGCTTTGCACGGCAGGACCAATGAATCTAAAGTTGGATTTTGAATGATTATTTTTGATTGAGAAAAGCATGCATTTTAGATATGATGCTATTTTATTTTGTTAACTACAAAGATGACATATTCTACTTTACCCCCCATATATATATTTTTACAATATAAAATAGATTGTGGTTGTTACGCAAGTAATGATGAATATTTTAAACGTCTTGCCTCAGCAAGTTTTTAAATTCAAATCTTTAAAGTATAATTTATATGAATTACTTGCGACACTAACTTAAAAAAAAGTTGTCTTTATTATTAATAATAATAAGTAAAATAAATATCTAAACCATTTTCAATCATGGTACACACATTATTAAAACATTTAACTTGCAGGGATGTTGTAGATCAGTTAAATGACAATCCTCCTAACCCGGGTTTAATAATGTGTTGTTTGAAAACTTTAACAGTCTGCTAATCTCTCACAAACACACAATCAGTGTGTTAGTTGGTCATCTGCATTCAGATGCCAAAGCTCTAGTAGTTGATATTTTCATCACTGTGTGTAAGCAGCGTATGTGTGTGTGTGTGTGTGTGTGTGTGTGTGTGTGTGTGTGTGTGTGAGTGTGAGGGTGTGAGCTGCATACAAACTTTGTTTGCACTCTTGCTTACGCATGTACCGAAGCTTCCGTCAGAGGAAAGTTTTTTAGATTTTTTGTCCGTTTACAGTCTAAGAACAGACTGCTGATGGGGTGATTTTAGGCAAGAGATCGTCCACACACAACCTCAGCCACCCCACCACCCACACACACAAATACGCACACCGTTTGACACGAAAGTGGTGAGCGTACTGAAATACACTCTTTCTAGGTTGAAATCCAGAGATCAAAACTTTTTTTATGTTTTTCTTTCTCTGGCTTTTTTCAGTATATTTAAGGTCATACATATATTAATGACTCTTTTTTACCTTTTCAGGCTTGTTCAGTGTGATTTATCATATTAGGAGGTAGCTCACTTTGCTTTGTCTTGTCAACAAGCTTAAGAATCACAAAAATTGAGAACCAAAGTTATTGTCCAGCATTCAGCAGGAAGTCATTAAACTCACAAGAAACCTGTGAATGTTTCGCAATGTCTATTTGCTTTTATACACGTAAGCTTCCGTTGTATACGACGACAATGATAAATGTACCTTTTAAGCCATTGATAACTCTAAATCCTGATCAAAAGACATAAATCAGTCCACAGCGTCTCGTATGCGGAAGCGTGGGAGGTGGCGCTCTTTTATTTTGACAGACAAACCAGAACATTTCCACCACTGCTCATCTACTGTACTCAAACATCTTCACTTGATAACATCATCTCACACAAAATCAATTTTAGGATTTAAATTGATTGGAGTGGTTGTTTTGTTAAATGATCTCACTCCAGTATGAATATGGAAATATAGCTTTATGTGGTGCGTTTATGGTTGGTTTCATACTGTACGTTGTTAATAGAACGTAGTGGAAATATAAAATGTTGAATGTTCGTCAAGACATACTGTAAGTCATGATGCAACAAAAGTAAATAGCGTTGCTTGGATAAAGCACAATGAAAAGCTAAATTATTTCTTCATTAATGATTGAGCACATGAGCACACAAGATCTATAGTAAAGATATATGTTTAACATTATTAATTGGCTCATAACCTGAGCAGCTGAGCAGAGATGCCACATGAGGGTAAACCAATATCTGCTTTAGGCATTTGCCAGTAAAAAAAAAGAAGAAGCTAATTTAGATTAATCTTTACATGTAAGATAAGATAAAATAAGATAATCCTTTATTAGTCCCGCAGTGGGGACATTTACAGGATTACAGCAGCATAGTGGATAGTGCAAACAAGAGACATGGTAAAAACAAGATCAAAACAAGTATTGTTTGACAGCGGCAGGAAGGAAGGACCTGCGGTACCTCTCCCTCACACACCGGGGGGTGAATCAACCTGTAGCTGAAGGAGCTGCACAGAGCTGCCAGGGCGTCCCGCATGGTGTGGGAGATGTTCTACATCAGGGATGATAGCTTAGCCCTCATCCTCCTGTCTTCCACCACTTCCACCGTATCCAGTGGACACCCCAGCACACTGCTGGCCTTCTTGATAAGTTTGTTAAGTCATAAAAAATGGCTGATGACACCACAGAGTCAAAGAAGGTCCTCAGGAGTGCTCCCTGCACTCCAAGCCTCCTCAGCAGATAGTCCGCTCTGACCCTTTTTGTAAAGGGGATTTATGAAATACGTTTTTTGTCTGTATTGGCTGCAGACACAATAACCCTTCTCTGTCACTGACAAAGACACTAATGGAAGAAATAAAGGTGGTTTAGTTCAGTATTTTATCTCTCCATCTGTCTCACACACATATGCACACACACCAGGAGATGCTGGGTGTGATTGATCTAAGCCTGTGGCTGTAGATAACAATGTAAGACATAAAAAAAAAGCTCACAAGAGCTTCAGTGTTGTCCGCTCTTAAGTTAATTTCCACTTACAGATACTGGTGTCGTGATGTAGATTCCCTCTTTTGCAGGTGTTTTTTTTTTTTTTGCAAGTATAAAAAGGCCCAAAAATAATTCATGATTTAACTTGATACTGCTTTAGATACCGCGCTCTGTAGTTAGGTTGATATATTAAGAATTATCAGAGCTATGGACGAGCGGTATATGTGATGAATGTGTGTGTGTGTGTGTGTGTGTGTGTGTGTGTGTAAGTACGTGTGTGATTAGTGAAAGGTTTGTGGGTCACGGTGGATTTCCTGTTGTTTGAGGTTAATAATCAGAAGTGAAATAGTGAGAAAAAAACCAGAGACCACTCATGTTCCCTCCGCCTATCTTGCGCGACAGAAAAAAATACAATCATAGTCACAGCTCAGTAACTTTAAATGATATTTGATCATATACCGTATATGATGTTTAGCTTGCAGGAAATGATTCTGCTGTGTTTATTTGAACCAAATCATCCAGTCATATTGGAGTGTCCGTAACTTCTTGTATTTGTGAAATACTCTAATCTTTATCGTGGTGAATCTTGAGGTCAATCAATCAGCTATTGGTAGAAGCAGCAAACTCTCATGAGTGTTTGTGCTTCGTTACACATTGTACTCTACGTGTGCATTTAAAAAAGTGTATTTTACCTCAAACCGGCTGTCCTCCTCGGGAGCCTTCAGGTAATCCCTGTGGCACCAGAGAAAGAGGGCACACACTGACACACTAACACACACTCGTGAGAAAATCTGACACAGTTATGCACGGAAACGCAAATACTTGTGTATCAGACGTAAGAGCTTGTCTCGCCGAAAAGAATCACACGCCGTATGTGCATTTGTGGAAGGAAGAGAGAAGATGACAGGAATAGATAAAAGGAGATTATCTAGTAAAGAATGACAATGCTATAAGCTGTTCTTTCTGGTTGTGTGTCATTCTATATTACTATAAATTCATTATATCAAGTAATTATACACAGTACTCTATCATTTCATTGGAGATATGTTTGTCAGGACATACTATAAAACTGTTCACACCTGTCACCAACACAGACTTTTAGACTTCTCTGGTACTTTAATGCATCAAATAACATCTGATTCTGACAAAAATCGCCACTAAGCAAAAGATTGAGGGGCGTGAGAGCTCCCAGAGATCAGGGGCACGAAGGGGGGGAGGTGAGAGGGGGGTGGGCCGTTACTGGCAGTGATGAAGCTAGAGAGAGTGCATTACTGGCAGCTGTGTCCTTTATGAGCGAGACAGAGATGGATTCACAAAGAAAGAATTGACATGAAAGAGGGACAGTCAGAGTGAAAGAGAAGCCAATCAACCACTTGAAAGGACTCTGAGGTTGACACCTTCGTATTCTTCACCTTTCTCCATTTGCAAATATTCCACGTCCTCAGAAGACTCCTCTCCTTGCCGTATTTGATGTTATTTTCTTCATTATTATTAAGGCAGGAGGTGTTTGAGAGGAAAATACCTTTGGTTCACTCTGGTCACACAGCAATTGATAGATGTTTAAGGGGGAAGTACAGCAGAAGTTCTCACAGTGGGAATTGCTCAGATGACTTCTTTTGGTAAAAATATAACGTCATTCTGATGCGTGTTGGCTTATGTTACTTCAACTGTGAGAAGCTGTGCGCTGATGTTTTCATGGATATTAAAATGATTTTATGAAACAGACAGCATGTGGAATTCTTCAATGTTATTCCAAGAACATGAACTATTGCACTGTTTAATTTCATTGAGAAATTTTAGCTTTTCATATGCTGTTCAGCTACTGCATGAATGATACTGAAGATCGAGTTGGCTCAGTAGCTTCGTCCCTCCTGGTGTGCTATCTGAGTGAATGTGAAGTGGTACCCACGTGGAGGAAAGTAGATGTGGAATGCACTTGAAAATGTTAACACTGCTTTTACTCCTGTGTTTGTTTAGCCCAGATTGAGGTTATTCCATGTAAGATCTGCGGGGATAAGTCCTCTGGAGTGCATTATGGAGTCATCACTTGTGAGGGCTGCAAGGTGAGATGACCGCATCCGACACACACTGTACAAACACACACACACACACAACACTTATCGGTATTAAAGGAGCATTTCATCATTTTGCTCGACTAGAAACTAGACCAAGACTTTGAAGGGGTTGAGACCAAGTCAAGACCAGGACCAGACTAGTGTGAGTCCCACAAGCCCATCGTCACTCCTTAAGCTGTGAATGATCCACATTCCCATAAAAACACCCACAGAAAACAAATAAAGATTTGTTTTCATTCACCTCTTACTGTATATTGTCATATATATATATATTGCATGTAAATTTGAGGAGTACTTATGCTTTGCATGTTCCATATTTTATTGTAAGTGTGTCATGCAGTGTGGGACTCACACTGGTCCGGTCTTGGTCTTCACTCAGTGTATAAGTGTACCGTGAGAAATATCTTGATAAAATAATCCGAAGGCATTGCAGAGGTGAATTTTGCTTGTGGGGATTTTCTTTTGTTTTCTTTTGAGCAGTCACAGTAATGATGTCACCAAATAAATTAGACAATGCACAGGCAATTTAGAGATATCCCCACAGTTGTGGTCTTGACCGGTCTTGATATAAAATCTTGAGTCCTCTTTGTCTGAGACAGAGACCGAGAGTAAAAATGCGGTCGAGACGAGACAGAGACGTTCAAAAAGTTGTCTTGAGGCCAAGACCGATCTTAAATAATACAACCCTGTCGATTATCACGTGTTTGTAAGTCTTAAATGTCAGTATTTGGTATTTGCCTTAAAAATCCAGTTTCTGTTGGGCTTTGTTAATCATGCCATACTAACCCTAACCCTCAGGGATTCTTCCGGCGCAGCCAGCTGCCTACCGTATCCTACTCCTGCTCCAGGCAGAACAACTGTCAGATCGACAGAGCCAGCCGCAACCGCTGCCAACACTGCCGCCTGCAGAAGTGCTTAGCAAAGGGCATGAGCAGAGATGGTGAGACACAAACACACCGACATGCAGACCGACAGACAAAATATATACTCCACTCACAGCATTTGTTTATTTTCTTGTGTTCATGTTTTTGTCCTCCTCAGCTGTGAAGTTCGGACGAATGTCCAAACGTCAGCGTGACTCTCTGATTGCTGAAGTGGAGAGACATCGACAGCAGCAGCAGCAGCAGCAGCAGCAGCTTCAGGGAGAGGCCCAGTCTCTCTTGTCCTTCTCCACCAAGGCCCGTCAAGACCGCTCCCCACAGCTCCTTCAGCCCATGGCCTCAACCTACTCTTTCACCGGGGAGGCTGAGCTGCTGTCCTACACCGCTGATGTTCACCCTTACCTGGTCTGTTCCCCGAACGAGTCGCAGGTGTCGGGTATGATCTACCGAGGCTCCGGTGTGTCTCCCACATCGAGATCCCAGGCGAGGGGGGACAACAGCGGACACCTTGACATAAGAGGTACGGCTCTCATGTGTGTACATACATCACATTTGTGTACGTTGTCCTCTTCTGTTTATTTCTCATTTCTCTTCTTTATTCCTCATGTCAGGGTTTGACTCCAGACAGCCATCTCATGATCTTGTGGGGATTCATCCCTACAACCCCGTGGAGGATTCTTACAGCCTCTATCCTCACTCTCTGAGGAATATAGGTGAGCAAACAGCACGGTGGGCTAACGTGAAAAATGGCGTGTTGAATATTAATATTTACAAGTGTTTCTTTTTTATTTTCAGATGAGCTGTGTGCCAGCATTGTGCGTTCCCACAGAGAGACCAGCAAGTACAGAGTGGAGGAGCTGCAGGCTCTCAGATGGAAGCTGCTCAGCAGAGAGGAGATCCAAGCCTACCAGAGCAAAGTATAACCTGACCACTCTTTTCTGGTTCTCAGACTCCCTCTCACATTTGTGTGACCTTAAAAGAAAACACATCATTTCAAATGATCTTGAGGCTACAGTTGATTCATTAAACAGAGAAACTGTCATTTTCCCTCTCCTCTCTTCTTCCTCTTTGATCTCAAATGAAGCTAACGCTTTTCAGCAGCACATATGTTATAATATTTAATTGCATTTGACAAAGAGATACAATACAGAAACATTCTGTGCTACCTCCAAGCAAAGATCAGTAGACTGGACAGTGAGGATGACTTTATGTGTGATGAGTAAAATAATTGAGTCTCTATTTGGGTTGATTTAAATGTTATGTTCAAATACACTCATCCTTCAATATATTTTCTCTCCCAGTCAGTGGATGAGATGTGGCAGCACTGCGCTATCCGACTGACTGATGCCGTGCAGTATGTGGTGGAGTTTGCAAAACACATCCCAGGTTTCCGTTTGCTCAACCAGAACGACCAGATCGCTCTCCTGAAGACTGGTGAGTTTACCTGTCACTTACAAAAAGTCAGCGTCAATCATAATCTAACATGCTTTTATAGTCTGTTTTACCTTCTCTTAACGCACTCTCCTCCCCCCCCCTCCCTCAGGCTCGATGGAGGTGGTTCTGGTCAGGATGAGTCGCTTTTTCAACACTGAGAACAACACCGTCTACTTTGATGGGAAATTTGCTGGAGCTGAAGTCTTCAAGTCTTTGGGTGAGGATTTCTCTACATAGAAAGGCAGTTCTGAAAGCATTTGTGCAGTGAGCACAATACATAAATATGGTGCTTTATCAATGCTCTGTGGTTTGTTGTCTTGCAGCCTGTGGTGATTTAATCACAGCGGTGTTTGACTTTGCTCACGGTATGTGTGATCTAAAGCTTACGGAGCAGCAGATTGCTCTCTTCAGTGCTCTCGTGCTGATCAACACAGGTAAGATCAACTCACCTGTGCCTCCATTATGTTGCATGTTATTCATTTACATAAAATAGTGGGAAGACACTATAGCAGGAGTTGATTACCAGCAGGATAAGCAACATGCAACAGGCTTTGCAATCTCAATCAGGCAACATCCACTTAATTTTGTTTAACTTTACGAAGCAGATTTTTCTTTCTTTGTTCTGCGGGATTTACCCTGGTCCACGTGTCAGATTTACTTTGATGGTTATTTATAGCTTTATCTAGTCTGTGTCAGTGTCATGATCATCTTTAAGACCAAAACGTAAACATTTTTGAAAATACTGCTTTTTGAAGAAGCCTCTCAGCTTTCCATTTGAATCAAAACTATAAAATGTTCCATCACATTTTATTCATTCATTCATTCCCACACAATTAGCCTCTCTGCCCCCCCCCAGTGGCAGACAATGTAATATAACAGGCCACACAGTGAGCCAGGACTATTCACATGATTGTAGAATGATTTGAGTGTATGGTAAGGTTTTAAAACAAATTAGCTTATTTTTTTGTATTTCTGTGCAGATCGTCCTTGTCTGGAGGACAGAGGCAGAGTTCAGCGAGTGCAAAGAAGCGTGGAGTTTGGACTCACACACATTCTACACCGAGACAACCAAGAAAGTCTAATGCCCAAGGTACATGTCTCAGTACAGAGCAGATACTTTCTCTTTATTTACTCTATCCAAACACATTATTCTTTGACCTGCATGTTCCTCACTGTAGCAGACAGCATATTTCTAACTTTGTTTGTGTTCTCCCTGCAGCTGTACCAGAGGATGTCAGTGTTGCGTTCACTATGCAGTCTGCATATGGAGAAGCTGCACTGGTTCAGTCAGCGTTACCCGCTCACTGCTCACTCGCTGTTCCCTCCACTCTACAAGGAGCTGTTCGCCTCTGAGGCAGAGCTGCTGCCGGGGACCACTCAATGATGATTAACCAGTATACGCAAAGTCATACACACATGTTATTTTAAGTCTCTTCATTATATCCTGACAGAATCTATTTTTCTAATAATTCAAATAAATGACAAAAGAGCTTTTTGGTAGATTGTGTCAAACATGAATTTTAATATTTTGATAGCTTAAACCTATTTTTATTACTCCAGGGAAACATGCATTTTGCTGTTGTTGTTTGACAGCTCCTTGTCAGTGAGGCACAGCATTAATTTTCTCTGGATACGTGCTATTGTGAGTCACAGTAAATGTATGTCGCAGTGCGATTGGACATAGAAATTCAAAGACGCAGGGTACCGATCGTTGTCAATTGAAACTTAAAATGTAAGTCCATCCAAAATCTTTCTTTGGAGTTTAAAATGCGGACCTCCTGTAGAGTTAAAAGGTGACTTTGCAGATGGTCCTGGACAAGCTAGATAGAAAAGTAAGCTATAAAAAGCCACACAAAATTCTTTTGGCAGAGCCGAAAAAGCAAGAAGGTTATTACCACACATCTCCCCTTGAGAAGTAAACATCACATTCCAGGAGCAAAATAGCAACATTAAGCAATCAGAATAATAAACATATGTGCACACCCAATTAAATCCAGCATTGATGTGCTTCTTCACAGTACAGTCACATTATTTAGTTTACAGCTCAAAAACACATTTAAGTGTGTCCTTAATATATTGCATAACAAGTATTCCCAACAAAACATGAAATATTGGTGTGATCAATTAAACACATCCATAGTAGACAACCTGCCTCTTTGCATCTGTATGTCTGTAGAGAAATGTCTCTCCTCAGGTTGATGTTGTCAGATTGACGAATAAATCAGACAAAGCAGCAGTACCTCTTAAATGTTATCCTCTGTGTTTGAATATATCCTCAGAGGCTTTTTATATCTTTTGAGCTTTGAAAATATGTTGCATTAAAAGTAGAAATATTGTAAAAAATGTGAGAGACACAGTAGAAGTCTCTTCCTCTGTGTGCAAACTTTTCCTTTTTTTTTCCAGATTAACTTGCATATGTTTTGCTTTCTTAACATATCTCTGAATAAAGCCATGAGTAAATTGGAAACAATGAGATGTTTCAGCATTAAGTACTGTATATCAGGATGAAGTCCTCTCTGTTGCTGGAATGGCTGAGATTATAATGAACATAACTCAATGTAAATCTGCTAATAAACTGCTGAGGCTGCGATACCATGCAGATGTGGTAACTTTGATTGTTTGATTGTGTAATATAAACAATTGTGTAAGACTGAGACATGCAAGATTGAAAGAAAGAGATCCTGTTATGGTACGATAAGAAATGTCCTTAACTCAACAAAACACAGTTTAATTGTAGCAGACATAGCTCACAAGTGATAAGCATGATTTATCATTCTCAATAGCATATAAGAAGATCCTAGCATAGTCCCTGCACCGTACTGTTGTTGCTGTTGCATTCAAAACAAAGGAAATGTTAGTCATTGTGGGCGACCCTTCAGCAGACTCTGGCAGTGGAAAGTTGTCAGGTTGTCATAGACAAAAAACAGTTGCTAACCAAGTTAAGAGGAAGCAAATTAAAAGACTCAATTGGATGTGGTAAATATGATGTTTTCCTATGAAAAGCCACAAAGACTTTATGTCAAATGTACTTACGCTAGAAAGCTGAAAGCAACTTTCTACATTCAGTAGTTTTTGTTTTCATATTTCAGTTCGGTTTGGAAAGACATCAGATCAGGTAAATACTACTTGTTGGGATGTTCTCTCTCTCTCATGTTGGAAAACTACAGCGCAACTTTATGTTTATTTAATTACCAGTTTCCCCCTCGTGGCAGCTATTTCACCCACAGTAATACCACTTCAATTTCATCTGCTGTGTTTTGTTTTTTTTCTAAGATACTTTTGCTTCTCACGATCTGTTTAGTCCATAGAGACATTAAATCTAAATAAGCAATATGAATAAACAAGACCTGATAAGATTTTTACTCCTGAAAGTGAAGGTAAACAGCCAGACACTGAACTGTCAACTCACGCACATACTGTATATTGACACGTAAAGCCAGTTTTCAGCAGCCTTAAAGGAAGCTAATTTTGTTGCATTCATTTCTCTCAATGCTTTCAAGGCAAAACACAAAACTCTCTTTGCAGTGTGAGTATGAGAGTCTGCTTTTTGTTTGCTCTCCGACCTCTCGGGGGAATTTTTACCCAGGACAAACACTTCTGTACGGTTTCCGGACTCACCACCACCAACTGTAAACTTTGATCTTAATGTCTACTGTTTATGATGGGAAATGAAAGAGCTGTGGGGAGAGCAGCAAAGGCAGGATAATCTTTCCAGTTTAAACTGTGGCCTATAGAGAAAAAAACTGTGGAAACTCTACATTACAGTTCACAGCTACACAGGGAGTTCTTCTCTGTTCTGATTTGGCTTTTGTGTCTTCTTTTTTTTCACGAGAACATGGTGGGAGGGATAGTGAAGAGGTTACTGTTTAGACTGAAATCTGTGAGGTCACAATAACCCTGGGTCAAACCCAGTGTGAGATAACAAGGAATTTAAGGACTTTCATATCTCTCTCTCTTGACAAGCAAACATTTACTCACCAACACGGACAAAATTCAGATCGAGGTAATAAAACAGCATTATCTTTATATTGATACATTTTTCAATGTTTTACGAAATCCTAGTTATCAAAAAAGGTTCTACTATTTTAAAGAGCACTCCTCTAATTTTACACATCCAGTTTAAAGTCTTAAGTCTGAAAAAACAAAACCTGTTCAGATGGGAGGACTACAATTTCTTTAGCAAAAATCCTGTGTCACAAACATGTGTGCAGTTTGAAAGACATGAGCATTTACCAGGAAGGGAGGGTCAAATGCAATACTGTGTTGCAATATGACAAATGTTGAATCCTGTCTTTTATTGACCTATACTTGACAGGGTTTATCAGGCTCTGCTGCTTTGATTAAAATAATTCAAAATAATTATTTTTTAAATATTCACAGCCCATGGAATTGCAATACAAAATCGCTGAAGTATTCCCTTTCAGATCTCAAACTGTGAAAGAGTTTGGTAAAACTGTAATCAATCAGTTATTTTGACATATAGGAACCTTTATCCACATGCATGTCCACATCCATATGTCATGGTTTTAAGGCCAAGTAAACATATGATTCATGGTAAATAGTAACAGTTTCCTTTGTTTGATCCTTTAAAAATGCATTTACAACCTTGGTGAGTATAGGGCAGAATAAAATAGCATATCTTTGTTAAAGGGGAATTCCAACACTTGGAATAAAATTAGATTGTTAATAGACATGTATATCTGTTTATTTTCTAGCTTGGATATTGCTCACTTACTTAATACAACCTGTTTGTAGAGGACTGTAAACTATCTTATAAGAAATATTTATAATACTACTACTACTAATAATAATAATGACAATAACTCACTTTCAATCCCACGTGACATAATCGTGATTAGTCAAATGATTACTTTTCCAATCGATGATAATTGGGCTTAATGGCAGAGCAATGAGTGCAGAGACAATTGCTTTACAGTCTGAATAAAAAAGATTGAAATGAGATTCGTGTTCACACATGCGCTCAGGCTCGACGACCTTTCACTACAGATGAATTCATCTTTCCCACATATCAGCATTTGAACAGATCACCTATGAGTCATGTTGAAAAAACTTCCTCCACTCCCTCTTTTCCTCTCTCCGCCTCATCCCCCCTGAAACCCCACAACAACCATAAAATCTGTTTATGCGGGGTTTCGCATTCACAGACGGACAGCACAGCAGCCTCCGTTGGACCAATTACCGGGCCCGTCTGAGCGCAGCCCCGCCGAGCGTGTTTTCCTGGGCGGCCTCTGTTCACTGTGCCAGGACAGTCAGAAGCAATAGCAGGACGAACAGCTCAGGACCGACACTACCAAGTTTATAATGGGGTCGTCTGGGGCTCTAGTCTGGTCCACCGCGTTTGTCTTGATTTTACTGAGCTCAGCATCCAATGGTTCGTACTGTTATTTCCACACTTCTTTTTGTTGTTGTCAGAAATTGTTGTGTTTGCTTCTTGGCTGACTCCATTTTTGTTCGCGTCAGACTAAGTGCGTTTATTTCGCCTGTGGACCCTCCTGCCATTAATCCCATAGCAAACTGACTTTAAAAGACTTTTATATACCTTTACCGAGCATGACTGTTCTTATGTCTCCAGTGATGAAATCTAACTAATTGATTACCGAAGTACAACTTTCAGGTAGCCTACTAATGCTTAACTTGAATATTTGTATGTTATGTTATTTCTACTTCACTACATTTCAAAAGCAAATAGGCCTACTTATTGCTCCGTTTATTTCATAGTTGCATCTACTTTGCAGATTATGATTTTGCATATGAGGTAATAGAATATGATGTATTACAAATTAGCTCCACCCCAACCAGCAACATTAATATCATTAAAAGTAATATTGTGAAACAAATATAGGGTGTAATATTCAATGATGCAACACTGACAGTATAATGTGTACTTACTTACTTTTAATACTGTGAGTACATTTTTCTGATAATACAATATTTTATATGTAGGACTTTTACTTATAATGGAGTGTGTTTATACTCTGTAATATTGCTGCTGTTACTTAAGTAAAGGAATACTTATTTCACCACTGGCTGTCTCTCAATCGAATTAGTGCTTTAAGACTTGTATAACTTTGTCTGGCTTTCTGCCTTTCTCTCTTTGTGTGTACAATTTTCCAGATGAGCACGACTGGGAGCAGCGTGAGGTCACCTTTGACAAAATCATGCAAGGTGCGTGTGTTCACATGCTAGTGCAGTATCTCTGCAAGGACCAATTAGAATTTCAGATGTTCAGAGTGGCATTTGACCCTTCTCTCTACTTCAAGACGCTATTTTAAGGGTTAGGACTTCAGTTTGAGATTGAGGTTTAAGGAGCTCTCCACTCATTTTACGCATGAAGTTCCAGTTACTTGTCACGAGGAATACTTCGCTTTTTTAAATATCTGTTTAATGTCTTCTGTGGCGCTTGAGTGACATACTAAATCACTAGAGATTCCCTTAAGGTTAGGATAAGATTGTAGGTTATGCATGACTATGGTTGATGTACCTGAGGTCAGGTTCAATACAACGCAAGTATTTCTGTCTCTGGTGCCTGTAGACACACAAAAAAATGCTTTTTTGTAAATCATTGTTTTAAAAACCTGTGTCTTTCAGAGATGGAACAACCAGATTCCTCCATGTTGCAGAAAGAGGTGGACTTGGCAGATATTTTTGATTCAAAGGGTACTGTTAATGTTCTTACTTATTTTCATGTTCTTGTTTTGACAAAACGAACATTTGTCACGTATTGTTTTCGCTTTTTTCACAGCGTTCCCAGAGCTAGTAATGAGGTCCCCACCAGAACAGTTTGAAAGCACGAATGACAGAAGTAAGCATCTATTTTTCTATCTATCTATATATCAATTAATCTATCGATCTATCTATCTGCTTCCTCTTTTCTGTCTTACTCCCCTAAATCCTGTAAAATAAAGCAGCAATTATATAAAGAAAACACATCTACATTTCCAACAGTTGCCAAATGGAACTTAACATTTATGCTCTTATTCAGAGGACAAAATCAATTTCAGCTTTTAATAAGTTGCTTTAACACCTGCTAATGCCTTGAAGAATATGCAAAATGATATACTTTTCTTATGGTCAATAAATCCCATAGAAAGACAAACATTTGGACACATTTTTGTCCAGAAACTATTAAAAGTGTTAATGGGCCACACTATTTTACTGGGCGATATTTTCCTTCCTTACAATAACCATTGACATTAGTTTATTTTGAGTCAATTCCACACACATTGTCCTGGAGCTGTAAATAATCACTATAGCACCAAATGTGTATAAATCCACTGCTGAAAATAGTACCAAACAAATGCACAATATACCCTTCTTTGAATAACTTTTTTTGTAAATCATTGTTTTAAAAACCTGTGTCTTTCAGAGATGGAACACCCAGATTCCTACATGTTGCAGAAAGAGGTGGACTTGGCATACATTCTTGATCCAAAGGGTACTGTTAATGTTCTTACTTATTTTCTTCTTCTTGTTTTGACAAAACGACGGAGCTGCATGTCCACATGAAACATTTGTCACATAATGTTTTCTCTTTTTTCATAGCCTTACCAGAGCTGGTAATGATGTCCCCACCAGAACAGTTTGAAAGCACGAATGACAGAGGTAAGCATCTATCTATTTATCTATCTATCTATCTATCTACACATCTATACATCCATCCATCCATCCATCCATCCATCTATCTATACATCTTTTCATCTATACATCTATACATCCATCCATCTATCTATCTATCTATCTATCTATCTGCTTCCTCTTTTCTGTCTTACTCCCCTGAATCCTGTAAAATAAAGCAGCAATTATATAAAGAAAACACTTGAAAAGTACTGTTTAGTAATATAATCTATAGACCGGGAGTCTTGACACCTAGAGGACGTTCATATATGTTCCTCTCTTTCTTTAGAGTTTTCATTAACTTCATCTGTACTACTGTTGTAATAGTACCAAATAACAGTATGATTCCTGTCTTTTCGTCTAAGGTCGTCCGAGTTTTGTGCCTCGTTCCTTTGGTGGTCCTCCCATTTTGAACTACCCAGTTCAGTTCCCCCTCGGGCGACCGACCTCCGACAATCTCCAAGCCATCTGTCTCAATGGAGAACATCGTCCCACCTACCCAAAGTCTTACTTTCCTGTTTCTGGCTTTAGCCAGCAGAAGGAGAAGGCCAGTGCTGTCAATATGGCCGAGTCCTGGTTTCGCACATGCTGCAAAGGGAACCAGACGTGGGAGAGGGAAGTGACGCTGTGTTGCGCCACACAGGCAGTAAGTTTTCACAACAGCTCCTATAGCCGATTCAGCACTTTCTTACTCTGTATAAATACAAAATGGTGATATGACATCGTGTATCTTCTGCCTCTATTTCTGCTCTTCTTGGTTCATTCCACTTTGTTGATTATGTTATTGCAGCCTCTTCTCATTAGTCTCAACATAATTACTTTCTAAAGAAGCATGATGAGAGACACAGTGAGAGTATGCACTGTGGAGATAAAATTTGATCCCAAACCAAAATGATTTAATGCTAAATATCAAGATATATTTAATGTTATCCACCTCATGTGGAGGAAGGCTATCATAGATGTTATATTATTGCAAACTTTTGTAACTTGACATTCATAATAACTTAATTCCTCACGCTGTAATGTAGCAGACCTTCAATCAGAGGGTCGGCGGTTCGATCCCCGGCTCTGGCTCTGCTAGTCGCATGTCGATGTGTCCTTGAGCAAGACACTTAACCTCAAAATTGCTCCCGTAGCTGTGCCTACGGTGTAGAAATGTGATAGAATCTGAATTGTAAGTCGCTTTGGATAAAAGCGTCTGCTAAATGACTGTAATGTAATGTAAGTTCATTATATGCAGCGTGACATATCAGACAGGCCTTGGTATGAGCACCAGTGGAGCTGACTGAAGGCAACCTGTCTCAAATTCTTCAGATTTTAAGCATTATCTTATCTTACCTCCCTCTTACACTGTTTGTTTTCCAGATTTGGTTCAGTGTGTCTTAAAATAATCTACATAATTGCAGGTGGCAAATCACTCAACATGCAGCCTCAGGCATGCAGACTTCATATCAGTATCAAAGGATTTAATGCATACACCCTGTATCTGTGTTATTGTTTTGTGCCAACTTCAGTGGGAGCTGTCAGTCCAATCCTTCTGTGAAGGCGACATATCAATAAAGCATCGTGTTTATCACTGCTGCAAACTGAGGGGCAACGACATGCTGAACTGTTTCCAAAACGACGCGCCAAACCCAAACTACGAGGCAACAGAGGAGCTACCGGTACCACCGCTTCCCTCTAAGGACAACTTCAGCTTTGACCCTAACACTTGCCAGAGGTAGTCTATGCATGGAAAGATGTCAAATGAGCACCAATAAAAATGTTGATATTGACAATCTAGTGTTGGTTAAGTAGCATCACAAAGTTTCTATGATATTTCTACATTTCCACCTGACAGTTTCCAAATGGAACTTAACATTTATGCTCTTATTCAGAGGACAAAATTAGTTCCAGCTTTTAATAAGTTGCTTTAACATCTGTTAATGCCTTGAAGACTATGCCCTGGAAAATTGTATACTTTTCTTATGGTCAATAAATCCGATAGAAAGACAAACATTTTGACACTTTTTTTCCCCCGGAAACTATTAAAAGTGTTAATGGGCCACACTATTTTACTGGGCGACATTTTCCTTCATTACAATGACCATTGACATTAGTTTATTTTGAGTCAATTCCACATACATTGTCCTGGAGCTGTAAATAATCACTAGAGCACCAAATGTGTATAAATCCACTGCTGAAAATAGTACCAAACAAATGCACAATATACCCTTCTTTGAATAACATTTGCTAAAACCTGCTGTGCCCAGCTTCTATTACCATGCCTTCTTTTAACAATATATATTTTTGTGAGTTACATCTTCAGTGGAAACGGGTCTGAAAGAGATAGGGTTTGGAAATCTGAAAATATTGTGGTTCTTCAGTTACCAGCGAGACAATGAAATGTGACCCAGGAGGTCCAGTTGACTGATCCATAAGTTTGAAGGCTTATCAGACACCACAACACAAAATATGTATAATTTTGTTTTTGCTGGAACCGTCTGCATTGAGCCAGCTGCATCAGTGTAGTGGTCCTATTCAGATGAATGCAACCTAAGACATTGGTTTGGGTCTTTTCATGGGATTTGATGACAATAAGGCAAATGTAAGGCCAACCTATCCTTTAATGAATCAAAGCATAGAGCACATCACATTGCAAAGCACAATTCCTTTGTGCTACAGTAAATGCATCCTAGAGGCTGAAGCAGGTCAGGTTTGACTCTGACCTTATGCCTCATACTTTACAGGACAGTGATGACTTCGCAGGGGGTCAGAGGAAACAGAAGAAAGATAGAGAAGAAACCATCTGCTCCCCAGAAAGTTAACATGAGCTTTCCTCCTGGACGACCCACCGCTGACACAATTGAGACACTGTGTCGCGACCGGAAACAGCGCCCCCTCTATAAAATAAATTGCCTGACAGGTGTCGGGTACGAATGGCTGGCTCGTCAGGCAAAGACCATTAATCGTATAGAAAAGGGATTCAAAAACTGCTGCAAAAAGAAGCAGGGTGTGCTCAACTGTGCTGATCAGAAGGTAAGGATAAAAACCTACATACTTACATATTTTGCTTAATTTAGTCATTGTTGTTGTCTTCCCATGTCCTTTGTCCTTTTGTATTTTAGTGGCGTGAAGAGCTGAACAAGTATTGCGTTGCCAAGAACGGTGGACAGGTCGATTTCCTCTGTTGTTTGGGCGATTTGTCAATTGATCGTTACAACTGTTTCCAAGATGCTTCTCCTGACCCACATTATAACATGACCTCTGCCACTGAAGAGCTCTCACTTCACAACATCTGTGACACTCACAAGATTGTCAAGAAGAAGTAAGACCCAACTTCCGACATCTGTCTGTGTTTTTCCTTCATTCTCTTCCTCTTTTATGTTCTTTTTTTGTTTGGTACAGTTTCTCTTTTCTCTTTTCCTTCTTTTTTTCTGTCAAAGAAAACAATTGAATATCTCTTATGAAATGTGCTGTCGCCACTTATTCACAACGTTCTCTGTGTTATGAGCGTTGTCATGGATCTTAACACATGGTCACAATCTGTGCACAATGTAAAGTTAGAAACAGTAACGATGTCAATGTGCTTTAGGTTCCCTGTTGATTTTCCTCTCAAGCGCTTTGTGAACCAATGCTGCCCCCTCTCTGAAGAATCCAAGACTGCTTGTTTTGAGCAGGAGGTGAGTTAAAAAGGAAGAGAGTCTGTACAAAAATCTAGGTGGACAAATCAGAAGACAAAGTTTGGGCTGGGAAAATTTCAAATGGAATATTTGAAAATGAAACCCAATATTCAGATTTTCTAATGCTATTACTCATTTGTTTGTCATCTTGTTCTTTCTCCATGAAATCAGCTTGAGGAAATAGCACGGGTGTGTTACTCAAGGAAGGCTTCTCTTTTAGCTATCCATCGCTGTTGCCGCAGATCTTCACAAGAGTCTGCACAGTGTTTCTCCAAAATGATCATGGATGCCATCTCCAAAGCAACCACCGTCTCACCCCAAAAGAAGAAGAAGAAGAGGTGCCCTCTCTCCTAAACACTTATGACCTTTTGCTGCTGACCCTACTGGCACTGGGCATTTCAAGGCAACGGCAAGCTAGCAGCATAGTTGACCTCAGATCACTGAACAGGAACAATTAGAAGTCTGTAAGAAAATGTGGTCAAAATTCTAGCTTTATAGGCTTCTGACTGCCAATGTTATTTGCTTCTTTTTTTTTTTTTACATCTGAGATCACATTAGAAGCATTGTTATCACAAGAATAGATTTATAGTGAAACAAAAATATAGCTAAATGCTTAGTTTGGAAAACAGACTGTTGTCTGTGTCACTTTACCATTATTTGTTATAGGCTGCTCATTATATATTTGAGTATGAATGCATTTTATTGATTCAGTTGAAGCTGCAAGATCAGTTCTCTTCTTCGTATGGTTTTTTGGTGGTCATATCTACAAAAGTTCTAATAAAAATGGTTTTAAATGTACCTGCCGTGTGGTTTACTGTCTTCTTACATGCAAGACTTGTGTTGTTCGTTTAAGCGTGCACTAGTGTGCCTGGTAGGCTACAATGAGTTGACATGTTAAAAAGTTGATGACAAATTTTTGGGAAGCAAATGTTAATGGGTTGAACACAAATAAGTCAATGAAATGAATGTAATGAAAGGGCGTTTATTTGGTGGACATTTGAAAGATGTTGCAGTTTAACAGAAGTCAAAATATCACTTGGACAAATTTCCACAAATAACAAGTCATGATTTAGCTTATCTTTGTGTTATATGTACATTTTCTAATTGTTATTTATACTATATGTTTTAATATTGTGTTCTTAACATTGCAACTCATGATTTTTAACATCTGCCTAGTGACATTAGATGAAAACTATAAAACTATTAATGATTTGGTTTGATGATATTTCACATAAACAACATACAGGTAACACAGATTCAATCCAGCTTAGGACAATGACATGTAAAGACAGACTAAAAATATAAAGATATAAACTATACATAATGTAAATCAAACAAGGTATTATGGATAAAACTGAAACATAACACCGAATAAACACATTTGAAAATATAGTCCAGCTTCTTTGGTAAGATTATTAATTAAATAGTTAAAACATATCACATTGTAAATTAAATATTCAAAACTACTGGAATAAGATCGCCTGTTATTCTATACTTAAAAAGTTTGGTGTAAATAAATGATTATTTGTAGTATTACAGTAAAACTGAAACTGAAACTGTTCCACGTGCGCCCACTGGGGGCGCTGTCGTGCGGCTGCGGGACGAGCATCAGAACTCAACTGTCTGGGATGAGAACAGTCAAATCGTAATGGCGACTGCTGAAGCAGCAGACTGTGGATCAACAGCCCCGACAGGTATCTAAATGATAAATCTTCCTCCTTTGTTGTCTTACAACGAACGTACAAATATAACTATGTGACATTTTGTCGCGATGATAACGTCTTGACTCGGTGACTGGCTTTTTCATGTCCCCCGGTTAGCCAGTTAGCTAATTAGCATCGAGGCTTTCAAACCTAACAAATGAATCAGGCGATGGCTAGCTGGTTTAGCTTGTTTAGCTGCCTTGTTGATGAACCTTAGTTGGTGTTGGTATTAATCACTTTAGTTAGCTAGCCGCCAGTATTTACATCAAATTATATATTGGGATGAATAACTTAGTAAAGAAATAATTCCACGGACCACGTTGGCAAGCCGGCAATTTTGTTGTAGTTTCTATGCTAATGAGTTAGCCGGAGGAGGAGGATATGAGCTCTAATAGATAACGGTCCGTTGTTTCCTAAATATGGGGCGCGCTAAGTGGCTGCTGTTTGAAATGGGTCTTTACATCTATGGAAACTAGCTGTTATCCCCTAGTCGTCCTTATACCCCTCCTCTTCCTCTGTCTGTCCAGGTTTGTGGTAAAGCCAGCAGACAAATCCATTTTCCATTTTGTACCTCCAGCACAAGCACCATGTCAGTTAGTTTACTTTCCAAAGTTTCACAGTCGAGGTGATTTGATATCAAAGCAAATATTGATCTTATTGATTTCCTACATTCTTAAAACCAATTACACATGCTTGTCATCATTATCTAGTTAATAAACAGGCTTAAACCATTCTGCTATCCTTATCCAGCTGATCTAGGATCTCTAATCTCAGATCAGATCTCTGTATGGTGAGTCCCTCATGAACTGGTCTGTCTCAGTTTTCAGTGCCCACACAGATGGGTGATGGTGATGCTTTCAGATTTGTCTTATATTGTAGACAGGACAGCTAATGGGGAGATTGCATCCTGCTAATCCATTAAATTGTGTGCCACTTATGAGCTTCTCTGTGTATAGAGGAGTTGCTCTGCCTTTGGTAACCACCCAGTCTGAATCAGTGAATTAAAAATAGTGTCTCTCACATGGCTGAGAGCCTGAGAGTGTACATATACAAGATACAGCGATCTGTCAAATACACACACACACACACACAGAGAGTTGAGTGACAGTAACATAATGTGGTATCCGGAATACTAGCCCGTATTGGCCTTGTTTTCTCATCGGGGCAAGAACCAGTATATTTATGGAGTCTTCATAGGCAGTGAATGATGTTAGGAGAGTGCAAGTGTCCCATATTATTGCCTTGTGTAGGCTGCAGGCTACAAGTGAATGGGGCTGGCAGGGAGTTGTTTAGTATACAGAGAGGAACAGATGGTTTGCCTATTGTTGTAAGGCTGATGAGCTAAAGTCATTCTTAACGTAATTGGGTTGTGTTGGGTAATTCCTACCCAGAATCTGCTGCACAGTGTGTGTGTGTGTGTGTGTGTGTGTGTGTGTGTGGTTGTGTGTGTGTGTGTGTGTGTGGTTGTGTGTGGTTGTTTAGTTCAACTTTGGCTCTTGAAAAAAAAGTCAATGTGATGAAATGAGTAATGCGGCTGATGATTATTCTCATTATTGGTTAATCTGCTAATTATTTCCTTTATCAATCAATTAACTGTTTTGTCTTTAATAAGATGGCAGAAAATAGTAAAAGATAGCCCAAGGCATCATTTTGTTTTTGGACCATCAGTCCAAAACCCAAAGATATGAATTCTCATATTTATGAAGCTTGAGCAGACTAAAAATTACAAAAATTATTTGTATAATTTTCCTTGAATTGATGGATCTTTTCAGCTCTACATGAAATACATTTTCTCGTACCCGTACACCGTCAGTAAGCGTGTTCAGTGTTGCTTGTTTACTAGATTAAGCCGTTGAGGCTGACCGTTTCCTACTCCACAGATATTAGGACTCAGTTCTGGAGGAGAGCGTTTCAGCGAGGTACTCGCATGGGTCTGTGCAAGTGTTCCTTTGCGAGTAAGCAGAAACTGCATGAGTAGTAATGATATAGTGTGATGTTTTACATAATGAGAGAGGGAACGTGGACAGAATGATGCTCATTGTTTGAGGATTGCCGTGTGTTAACTGAGAAGACATGCATGGCATTCAGTGAGTCTGTCTTATTATTAACACGCCCACTTTTCTTGGGAAGTGTCCACTCATTCTGGAAATTAATTTGCTGGGCGTAGCTTAATTTCCACACACGGGATTGTTATTGCAGGTGTGTAATCTTCCCAACATCCTTTTTTTTTTTTTGTGTATATTGACCTATGACACTGCAGCATTGAAGTACATGTTGCCATTGGTTACAGGCTAGAGGTGTTTGCAGAGTGGGCGAGTTTAAACAGCAAGTTTATATAAGGGGAATCATGTTGAGTGTGTGCGTTTCTTACAAAACTACTGTGTGGTGTGGTTGTTATCATGCCTGCCCAGGATGATGCATTGCAAAGAATGCAAAGTTACTGTGAGATGCTACAAACAGAGCTATACGTTGTAGTTTTGCAGAAGGAGGTTGTGAGTGAAGACACGCATCTTCTTCAGGGACCAGATGAATCTGGAGCAGCCAGCTCAGGGGAGAAGTAGTTCCAGTTCACGTAGAGCTGGTGTATCGAGGGCAGCAGTCGGGCAAGTTACTGTGGCCATATTTAGGTCTTAGCTCAGAGTCATCAGCCAGTACTGGAAATAGCCCTGCTAATTAACCAGCACAGGGTTTCTTAAACAGTCATTAACAAATTCTTCCATTTCAATAGCTGTGAACGTAATGTATTTTCAAATAATTGCAAGCATCAAATTTACACTGACTGCATGGGTTGACATTCAGGCCTCACCAAGTTAAGTCTGAACAAGAGAACTAGCCGTTCCTTAAGGCTTTAGTGTTTTTCCTTTTTCGGTTCTCGAGATTCAGTGTCTTTCTCACATTGTGAATCCCACTTTAACTTGTTTTTCTGTCTTAAGGGACCAGTGGCATCCGAAGAATGGCCCCTTCAGAGGTAAGGAAGTCAGAAATGTTGTCAATAAAAGATTACAAATTAACGTCAATTTCTTTGGTACTTATTTAATTGCAGTAGACACAATGGTATCAGTCACACATAAATGGAGCCAGGCCAACTGACATTGGTTTCGCTCCCTACTTCCTCCACACAAGTTGAGAGTTCAGCAATGTCTCAGGATATGGTTGTCATGTGAAGGTGTTTACATACAGCTTGCTCTTCTGTGTTCACAAACACACACGCCAGACGCCATATTTACATTTTTTCTCTCCGTCCGTCTCCTCAGCTGCCGGGTTCTTCAGGCACAACTCAGAGTATGAAGAAGACCATCGGACACCGGGGGGTTGAGACCACCACAGGAGAGACCACCTATAAAAAGGTTAGAACAGGGTGGGGGTTGTGGTGACACCAGTGCTTTTTTGACACCCACAGCACTAAGCAGCATTGATGAAAAGTGTAAAGGTTTGGTGTGCATAGTCTAAAATTAGTTTGGGGGATTCCTCTCACTAGATAGTGAAAGAAACAGCAAGGTAAAATCTAGTGTGTTCCAGCGCTTACTGTCTTTTCCTCTCTGACCCCTCTAGACCACGTCATCGGCCCTAAAAGGTGCCATCCAGTTGGGCATCACTCACACAGTTGGCAGCTTAAGCCAAAAGGCGGAGAGGGACGTTCTCATGCAGGACTTCGTGGTGGTCGAAAGCATCTTCTTCCCCAGGTTGGGAACTGAAGTTGTAGTCGAAAAAACATTATGAATTTGTGTTTTTTGATTTCATGTAGTTTTATTGCCTTTGGGTCTCTTTCTCGTGTGTTTTCAGTGAAGGCAGTAACCTGACTCCTGCTCACCACTACAGTGACTTTCGCTTTAAGACCTACGCTCCTATTGCCTTTCGTTACTTCAGAGAGCTCTTTGGCATTCGGCCAGATGACTACCTGGTCAGTACTTACACCAAACACACACTGCCATGTTAACTATGTGATGCCTTTAATCACTGTTTTAGTCTTTCTTTTGTAGAATGGTTTAGTTCAGAGGTTTAAACCTGTGCCCCCTTCTGAGGATGAACACTGTCACCTAAATTGTGAGGCTCCCAGTTTTGCCAATCTAGTAATGCCTGCAATTAGGCGTGTACATCTTTCCCTCTCAAGGATTCAGAGTTTTGTATCCATTTAGCCGTACCTAAGACTCTTGTGTCGATTTTCCAAAGCCGTATCAGTTAATCTTCACGCCCCTATCTGCGATCATTTGTGTCTTGTTTACAAATCAGCGGCAACACATGACCACAAATTGTTGACACAGTGATGGATCCCTGCCATCACAGGTCTGAGTACAGCCTTAATCAAAATACTTTTTTGTCATATTTCCTGCTTTTGGGTTTTTCCTTTTGATTCTTTCAAAGCTGGCTGTTTTGTAATATCAGAATTTCACACTCCCACTGATTAGAAATCACTCAATTTCTCCGTGGTCTAACTATGCCAACAAAGTAACTTAAGCAATCAAGAGTCTCTGTCAGAAGTCTGTCGTTGTTAATAAGAAGTGGCCTATAGGTAGTACCATTAAAAGTATTTTAAACAGTCAATTAAAAAAATACTCTACTTCCCGTTAAGAACCACTGGTTTAGTTAAATTAGAGCTCTGGATATGCCAATATATTTGCTTTGTTTCAATTGAATACTAATGCAGACTCCGCTTCTTCTTGAAGTATTCTCTGTGTAACGAGCCACTGATCGAGTTGTCTAACCCCGGAGCCAGCGGGTCCCTCTTCTATGTCTCCAGTGATGACGAGTTCATCATCAAGACTGTTCAACACAAAGAGGCAGAGTTCCTCCAGAAACTCCTGCCGGGATACTTCATGGTGAGCCTTGAGTGTGCGAGTGTAATCATCATGCATGTTCAATATGAGTGAATTTTATTGCATCAACTGTAGTTATTATGAGAGTGAGTCTACTAATCATTTATTTTAAATTGAAGTGTGTCATATATCTGTTTCCATATTCCTACTCCCTTCCAGAACATAAACCAAAACAAGCGCACCCTGCTGCCCAAGTTTTACGGACTGTATTGCGTTCAGGCAGGAGGCAAGAATATCCGCATCGTAGTGATGAACAATCTTCTGCCTCGGAACATCCCCATGCACCTCAAATACGACCTGAAGGGCTCCACCTATAAGAGACGAGCTTCCCTTAAGGAGAGGGAAAAGGCTGTTCCCATTCACAAAGACCTGGACTTTATCCAGGACTTGCCTGACGGTCTGCTGCTGGAAGCAGACAACTACAATGCCCTGTGCAAGACGATTCAGAGGGACTGTTTGGTGAGTCACAGAGACACTTGTTTCTCATTGATGTGATTGTTATTCAAAACTCTCAGCCCACAGGGGATTACAGGACATGCATCGTTACAATACGCGCAAGTGTAAAAGTCCTAAACAAGCTCAGATTGTACACCAGCAGAATACATTATCATTGTGCCTTCACACGCCAAACAACTTATGTAACAGAGGCTGCTTAGAATTTTAAAATATCTCTTTCCATTAGAGGCTAATCTGTCTTTGTGGTCACTGTTACTATGCTTTTTCAACCCACTTCAATTTACGCTACTGTGGTATAAATGGACTTCTCACCACACATTTATTATCTTCTCTGGTATCTCAATTACCATGTACGCTCTGTGTAGTTTTTATTTCCATTGTGTCTCTACAACTGTGCAAGTGCATTTATTGTATTTCTATGTCTTATGTAGCTCTTGCAGAGTTTCAAGATCATGGATTACAGTCTGTTGATGAGCATCCACAACATGGACCAAGCCAGTCGAGAGCGAGAACGTAGCGGCGGAAACTCGGGTGACAGTGGGGGGTCGGAGGGAGCAGTGACCCCAGATCAGCGCCGGCCACAAATTCAGAAAAGTCTGTACTGTACAGCCATGGAGTCCATTCAGGGGGAGGCTCGAGGGAAGGGAGCTTTGGATTCAGAAGATCAGTGAGTCTTTCAACTCGTGTTTGTCTGTCGTGTGTTGTCATTTGTGACTGGGACATGACAATTAAACGATCCGCTGGTTTTTCTCTGGCCTTCTCCTTTCAGCATGGGCGGTATTCCATCCCGTAATACTAAAGGAGAGAGGCTGCTGATCTACATCGGCATCATTGACATTCTCCAGTCCTACAGGTTTGTTCACAGCAGCCGAATCAGTTCCCTGTTTCAACATTTGGTCTTAATTCCCTGACAAGCTTCCCACCTACATCACCCATTTATGTAACTTCCAGTAATTAGTTTAATCGTGTCTTATTATTTAGGTTTATTAAGAAGTTGGAGCACTCCTGGAAGGCCTTGGTCCATGATGGGGTAAGCACCTACACACTAAATGTTCTATAAAGCTAAACAAAGTGTTGTTAAGCAGAGAAACTGAGCAGAATGACAAACAGAATGTACTATATATATATATATATATATATATATATATATCACTCATGGCTATAATTGCAGTAAACAATGCAGAACTGGAACGGTTAGTCAATTAATTGATTTGTCGATTGACAGAAAAATCATTTTGCTAAGTGACTGATAAAAGGCCTTTTTCTTATCAGACTTATCGGTAATTGTTAACAAACATAAAATGAAGTAGTAGATACTGCTGTTTGCTTTTGCGTGCATTTAGACTTGACGATCTCATGGCTTCGTTTCTGTTTTACCACTTTAGGACACAGTTTCAGTTCACAGACCTGGCTTCTATGCAGATCGTTTCCAGCAATTCATGTGCAACACGGCGTTCAAGAAAATTCCATGTAAGTATGCATATGTGTATTTTCAAACGCACCGGAGTTAATTGCCTGGATAGAAATCCCAGGGGTGAAAACTCTAGGTGCCCGTATTGATCATTGTCCTCCATCTTCCGTAGTAAAACCATCTCCATCTAAGAAGAGTCGTGGCGGAGGTCAGGGAGGTCTTAGGAGGGCCCCCACCCTGGGAGCTCCCACCCCGCTCTCCCACTCAACAGGACAGTCAGCTGTTGACGGCAAACTAGTCTACCACAGCCACTTTAAAAGCACAGATTCAGAGGCAGACAGTGGTGAGAACATCAAGTAGATCTATTGTTGTCACATTTGTGCTCAGATTGGAGATACTGGTGTTGACATTTGGTTTCTGAATGGTACTTTGTTCTCAGGTGTGCAGTTGGGCAGACCAGATCTTGTTCCGAGGACCCCTCCGCTGGGAGAAAACCCTTCTGACTATGAGGCCAACCTGTCCACCTCGTCACTAGGCAGCACAGGAGTCGCCTCCACCTCTCCTCCCCTACGGTAAAGCATCACCAAGTTAATAATGCGTGACTGTTTTCTTCCACCTTACTTTCACGCTCTGTTTTAAGTGTCTTTGCTCTGACTATTTTCCCGTAGGTCTGTAGGGGTGGAGGTGCACAAATCGGCAAACACAGAGCTTGACCATCAAAGGTACAGAAGGCAATGATGGGTCATAAAATTACAGACTGAAAAATATATATATTCTTTTCTTGCTTGTGTTATTTTTGCATGAATTCCCTTTTCTCTGTTCCAGTCTGGAGGCAGAAGGGGCGGTCGATAATTCGGGCAACCTGTCTGGAAACGAAGATGCAATTTCACTCTCTGACATCATCCCTGAGACCAACATCAGTTTTGTAAGTCTAAACGTTTAAACCTTACATAGGATAATGCCGATTATTTCTGACCTTATTTTAAATTGGGAAGTATTAGTTGTACATTTCCTGGTATTGACGTTCGTTTCATCTTCACAGTAAAAAATAGATATTTGAAGACGAGACGTTTCTGGACGAGCCGAGGTGGGCGGAAGTAAGGGTAAAGAGAGTGAAAGTCACCCATCCACCACGGACCCCCCATTGCTAAATAGTCGAGGGGAAGATCAAGAAGAAGATGATATGCGGAAGGCTTTTGCTTTCCCAGCCATCGACATCCCGAAGCCCAACTGTCTTTATATACACCTGGACGGAAAGAAAAGACTAATGGCCCTGAATTTGCAGCTCTTCTCTTATCTCAAAAAAACATTTTACTTCACGTTCACAAAATGAAGGATGCTTCAATGACATAATACACAAAATAATTAGTTGTATATTGTTAAAAGCCCAAGCCCCATTCCCCAGTGGATGGTGAAGGCAGTCAAGTTATCCACAAAGAGACGTCATTGTGTTTCGCTGCATGAAGCGATTGGGAAACCACACAGACGGCGTTTCAGCGGGAACGCACCCCCTGAAGAGCACATAAAGGGGATTGCCTGCATTTGTAGGAGTGAATATTTGCCTCTGTGTTCATGCGGAGTCTAAGTGGGTTCACGCTGAAGTGTTCCCGTCACCGCACTTCCATTTCCCCCCTCGTCACTCATGAGCAGGGGCGCTCTGAGCGGTCCTCGTTCAAATCAACACTTGCTGCTGTTGACTCTGCAATCGTGTATGCATTTCTTCTTACTGATTGTGGATGAACAGTATTTGTTTGGAATTTGATTTTGAAAACAGCGGAGGAATGGGTTCAACCAGACCTATACGGCCATTTTGTTTCATGTTCTAAGTTATTCTGCTGGAAGCCACAGTGGTGCTGCAAAAGATCCAGCTGGATCTTGCCACTGCTGAATGTACACTACAATGTTTTTCTTATATAGAATGTGTCTTATTAACATAGCAGACCACATTTATACAACCTGGAAAATCTCCCCCTCTGATGTGACCATATGTGCTATAAATGTATACAGAGAGAAGAGCTGTCGGCAGCATTGCCGGCCAGTAGATGCTGTTAAATGAAGTCATGGTATTAAGCTCGTAGAATATTAACACTTTCCAGCTACTGTCATTCGTCTGTCATGTCCGTGCCTTTTACATTTTTGTCCCTTCCCTAACATGTGACGTATAACTGACATTTTGTATAGGTTAGTGTTGTGGTCACACAGAGAAACCTGCCTTATCACTACAGCTGAAGTGGTCAAACTGCCATTTGTATGTCTGGACCAACAGTCAGGGTCTAAAAAGAATTTCAGATTTGAATACAACACATTTTGGTTATGTGTATGCCGAGTGCTCAGTCGCTGTGTTTCATCAGCTCAGATAATCCTGTTAACTCTCCGGATGTCGGACAGTAAGGATGTCTTATCTCTTCATTAGTCATTTCTGCTGGTTACAGAAGTGACTTCCCGCCCACATCTGCTCTTGGACCAATTAATAACCATGTGTATAACTAATATTTGTACTTTTTTTTTGTATGTAGTCTCTCAGCTTTTACTTGGCTGTTCATAACAATTGTGCTTTGTTTTCACAAAATGTTGTTTGTGTTTATGATGTGGTTATTTAAGGCACTAAACAAGCTGCAGAAAGTTTTTTACCCCACAAGGTATTTCTAATACAGAAATTCAAATCACTACAAAGTGACTGTAGCAACACTCGAGATCTTAGACATCATCTCATTTAAGGTATTACTATTTATGTGTTGGAGGCACATTTGGTCTATGCAGCAGAGAGGGAGAAGGGGAAATGTGAGTTGTGAATATAGAAGAAAGGAAAAACTACTCGTGTTAAGTTGAGGATTTAGGACTGAGTCTTTTGTATCATAAGCCAGTCGTGGCACCAAAGAAGAGAGTGGGGAGTTCCTGTGATTGTTCAGGATCCAGTGCAGTTGACATGAAAATTAAATCAGACACTCCTTGATACCTGCTTGGACTGATACGTTGTACATGGTAATAACACTGGGTTGACCTGTGTTTTTAAGGATTTATTTTTAAACTGGATGTTTGTCTGTTTTTGCTACATCATTTCTCGTCTGATAAGCTGTATCTGACATCAATTTATTGTTTCTTTATAGAAGAATCCGTTTACTTTTTGGCCTGAGACGTTTCAAGATTTAACTCCACATTCCTGTGAAATTCAGTTTAAATTGACTACAGTTGTGGTTTCCCTTTGTGTAATTAGGATCATGTACTTGAAATGTGTTGTTTCTGATAATATGCTGAAGTGTAATATGTTGATTATTTCAAACAGGTCAATTTAAAGTTGTATTTAGTTGGTTGAGAGTCAAACGGCCACCAAAGAAAAAAACTCCAGGAAATTTGTTGTCATTAGAAAAATCCAGATTATGTTTTGTGTCCCCTTGTTTTTGAGGTTTTATGTAGTTTTCTTTTGTTTGATGGGTGGTACTAAGTAATTGCCGGATGCAGACCAGTTCTGTCGCAGTTGTTGTGTACTTCACCATGGCACAATAGAAACATCCTACGGTGCTTAGAGGGCGGTGCAGTCAGTGCGGACACTACAAGATATTTGAAGTAATGCAATATATATACAAACCACAAACTCTGCCACAGTTCAGTTCTAAGAAGTATATTTATTAATATGATTGCTGCAGGCTGGAATGATAAAAGTTATATTATGTACCTTTTAGATGATTGTAACTTTACTGTATACTGACAGAATGTCTGAAACTTTATAGCGTGTATTGCCTATGAAGGGAGACTATTGACAATTTCACTTTTTATATTTGAAGGTTCAGATTGTAATATGGATATATTCGCTCCACCATGATTCTGGGTTCTTAATCTCCCAAACTTTTTCTACATGAATGTTTCTCAAGGCTTACAAGCCAACATTGCTGGTTGTCCTATAATGCTTCAATTACTATATTTTTACTGTGTATAAAATGTGTATATGTACATAGGAGTCACGGAAATGCCTTCTCATGCAATATGTGCTGCCTGTCCCTCCTGCCATGTTTCAGTTATGTGGTGGTGATGTTTTCATGTTTGATTTTAAAGGATTAAACATATTTTCTAAATCTCTGTTTTGGTCCATTTTTGAATGTGTTATCCAGCTACGGGTTTGTGAATAATAGTGCATGTTTACTAAAAGGACTACCGTCCTTTAAGTATCTGAAGAGACTTTAATCATCTTGAGAGAGTATAATGTGTTTGATTTGCGTTTTGTCTCATTAATTCAATGTCTTACGCTCAGATACATAAATTCAGACTCCCCATCCACCAAAACCTGCCTTCATTTCATACTCCAGAGCTCTTCATTTGAACACATTGCCTGGAGTGAAGTACATGTCATCGATATAGCGTTTGATATCAGCGGTGGGGATGACTTAGTCCTACATGTGGACCTTAGCAATCGTATCGATGAATGATTGATTCTCATCCAAACCCCCGCCAAAGGACTCCTGCTCTTGGCCCAGGATGGTGATGGGTGCTCCTGTAATGGGCCCAGATTGGATGAATCTCTTGATGGTCCACCCACAGCTGAGCCAACATATTGTCAGAGCGCCAGGTGGTGCACAAAGAGTGCCAGGTGTTTGGAGCAAATGGCAGCATCAGGACGTCTGTACCCCTTGCAGAGCATGCATTCTTATGACATTCTCTGAGTTGATCTTATAGAGCACAAAGTCATTGCTGTGCGTGGGAGTAGACAAAGAGAAGAGCCCGTTGCTCCTGGTGAGATCTGGGGAAAACAATTCTTCAAACATTAAAATGAATATAGAAGCTTTCTTATGACAAAATCAGTCACCAGAGACAGCGGGTCACAGAGCTGAATTTGGTTTTGAGATTCATATGATCTATATCGGTCTGCTTGGGGAAGACAAAGACTTTGATTGATAAATCTGCAAGGGTAGAAAAGCTAACCAAGAAATTATTTCAGCGGTGGAGAGTGAGCAAGAATACTGACTACATGAACTAAAATGTTCTGTGATTGAGACAAACATAAGTATTGAAGAGATGTGATTTAACTGCTACTGTGTCATTATATTTGAGCATTAGAGCAAACTTTTAGAGCTTATTGTATCCAACTTTTTTTAAATAGTTGATCATCCTAAGATTTAACATTGTATGAAATACACGGTGTTTTTCTTTTTTTCTTTTAGAAAAACAAAGAAAACACCATTACCCATAAACCCTCACGATGACGTTGTAAACCACGGACATCAAGATGGTGCTTGAAAGTACTATGGTCTGGTAAGGAATAAGAAATATGGTTAAAGTTATAAATGGAGAAGCGTAACTTTATTCAAAATGAGCTGTTGTTTGATAAAAATAAATATTCGTCTGTTTTACGTCGTTTGGCTGAAGCATTCGTATGTTTATTTAGTTTTGTCTGTTAAGATGCTCAAGCTATTCCCTGAGTCACTCCATCACCTAGCTAACGTTAGCCAGGAGGAGCTTCCTCCACACGGCTAACAAAGGGCTGTTTAGTCACGTTATGCACTTTAACAAGTTATATGATTACTAACGCTAGCCTATGTGAAGTTGCTCTTTTACGTTTAAGAGAATTTAGCTGTTAAGTTCAGATTGAGCCTCAAGTTGAGATGAAATCTCTCTTGTTTAAGGCGTTAGCATTAGCTAGCAAACAATAGTCAGCTATCACAAATAGACACTGTCTCTCAGTTCTGGGTACATTCAGGGAGAGAACACACATTAAGAAACCTGTTTTGTTAAACAATATGTTTTTTCACAGGTAGCAGTACTGCAGGACTCAAAGTTACATTGTATGAGATCAGGTTATTGTGTTCACTGGGGCTACAACAATGATTGTCATGTGAAATATGTTGACAGTTTAATCATTTTGTCTATTAAATGTCAGAAAGAAGTTTAAAATGCTTATGACATTTTCCCAAAGCAACGTGTTTCTCTAAAATATACAACGTAAAGCAGCAAATCCTCACTTTTGAGAAGCTGGAATCACTTATGAAAACTGTTTGCAGTAATTTCCATCATTGAATTGATTAATGAACTGATTGTTTCAGTGTCCACCCCTTCACGTGTTATACAGAGTACCTATTAGAGATGCATGTTGGTTATAACTAATATTAGTCCAATCAGTGTACTTTACATTGTTTATATTCTTGACACTATTTTTTGTTCTTAGTGTGGACAATAGTGAGTACATGCGCAATGGAGACTTTCTGCCCACCCGGCTGCAGGCTCAGCAGGACGCAGTTAATATGGTCTGTCACTCCAAGACCCGCACCAACCCCGAAAACAACGTGGGCCTCATCACCATGGCAAAGTAAGAGGCAATGTGTTTGACTGAGAGTGCTGACATCTAAAATATTTAGATAAAATAACACAAGTGTTGTGTCTCCCTGTGCAGCAACTGTGAGGTGCTGACCACACTGACTCCAGACACGGGCAGGATACTGTCCAAGCTGCATGCTGTGCAGCCTATTGGAAATATCTGCTTCTGTACCGGCATCAGGGTTGCACACGTGAGTTCGTGACTTTCATTACAAAGTGAGTCTTCTCCCGCTCCTCCTGCAGGAAAACCAATAGCGGAGCTGGGAGAGATATGGAAAGTCAAATTATGGAACAATGGGACTTATTGTGTCGGTGAAAGAACTGCCTCATCTAAATGTTATTAATTACACCTGTACTTTACATGCCAGAATGTCTGTGGTGAAAAGATCCATCGTCCTATTTGTCACAGAAAACCTTTTTTTTCAGTTCATAAAGTTTATTTTTTCCAATTTGCTGTGTTTCTCTCTGTAGTTGGCACTGAAGCACAGACAGGGCAAAAACCACAAGATGCGCATTATTGCGTTTGTTGGCAGCCCAGTGGAGGACAACGAAAAAGAAGTGAGCTACGTTCTGAAATAAGTCAACGTGTGTTTATGTATTTGGGATTTTGTTATTTATAACCAGGGACGATACTTTCAACAATATCAGACAATTGAGATTGTCTTTGGACGGGATGGTCGACATCTTGGAAAAGCATGCTGCTCATCGCACTCTTACGGAGTGAACTTTAAACACGGCTACCTGTATGCACCAAATTGATATTAACACATAATTATTCACACTTGGCTTATCTAAAGAAATGACTGACTAAGTCATTAATGTAAACTACATTATTATTGAAATGGGCAGCTGTGTAGTTAAATGTGTTGTGTTCTAGCTGAGTTAGTATTTTTTTTTTCCCATTACAGCCTTCTGATACAATATGTATGTGTCACTGAAGTATTTTTGTTTTCTTGTAGCTCGTCAAAATGGCAAAGCGTCTAAAGAAGGAAAAGGTCAATGTGGATATCATTAACTTTGGAGAGGAGGTATTTTCCCACTCATCTTGAATATCTAATGTTCTTAATGTATTTCTTACGCTGTTGTCTGGTCCATGTGCTGACCCTCGTTCTTTCTCACCCCTGCAGGAGATGAACACAGAGAAGCTGACGGTCTTCATCAACACACTGAATGGCAAAGAGGGAGCAGGCTCCCACCTGGTCACTGTTCCTCCAGGCCCCAGTCTGGCTGATGCCCTGCTGTCCTCACCCATCCTGGCTGGAGAGGGAGGTGCAGTGTTGGGCCTGGGTGCTGGTGACTTTGAGTTTGGAGTGGATCCCAGTGCAGACCCAGAGCTTGCCTTGGTAAGAGAGCAGGGGAAAGTGGGTAAAAATGGGTCACTGTTTGTGTAGTTTATTGAACTTACAACTTCTCTTGTCTTTTGACTCTAAAATCTTCTGGATTATTCGTCCAAACTGCTGTTTTTTTCCCCCACTACCTTCTACACCACATTTTTAATCTGTCGTCTTCAGTGTATGTGTGTGGCATTATGCTACCTGCTGATTTCTTCCTCTCTTCTCTCTAGGCTCTGAGAGTGTCTATGGAGGAGCAGAGACAACGACAGGAGGATGAAGCTCGCAGAGCCGCTGTCACATCTACTGAAGCTGGTATTGCCTCTCCTGCTGCAGATGGTGAGAAAAATGTCCAACAACTTGATTTGCCATCATAGATGCCAATTTCTGCCCATCTTCTTTCAGTAGAGGATATATTGCTCCCATTTTCAGTGAGTTCACATAGTGTGTTTTCTCTCTTTCTGTTGCAGAGTCTGATGATGCCCTGTTGAAGATGTCCGTTCCCCAAACAGAGTCATCCACACCTGCTCTACCAGACTTCAGCCGCATGACTGAGGATGAACAGATTGCCTATGCTTTGCAGATGTCCATGCAGGGAGAAGGAGCAGGTTAAACACGGATTTTGACTTTTCTGAATTTCCCTTACTAGGAGAATTGATAACCTTTAATACAAGCTGAGATTCAGTATGCATCACATCAACATTATAAAATCATGTTCACGGCATGTTAGAGGAAGCAGAACGTTTTTTTTTTGTAGTTGGTGGGTGTCCTTTATGTGTTTTACTTGTACTATTTGTATCAGAATCTAAAATAAGCCATGGAATGTCAACCTTTTATTACAAAGGGTATGATTGATTGTAGAAGTGTATATATCTAACTGCTAATTTGGTTAATGATTACCTGGAGATGCTACTGTAAGGGTTATTGGCTTGTTTGTACTGGCACTCGAATACAATTTATTACTCTACTACACCTGGCATGATAAATTGTATTGGAAAACATTCCCACATATCTTACGTGTGATTAATGACTTAACAGTTGGCAAGAGCAGTTTGTTACAGTTTAAGGTCCATATTTACAAAGTTCTCTATTCAAACTAAATGCAGCATGAGAGTACAAGCATGGTATTGCTCTCGTTACTTAAGATAAGACACGGATGCAATACCTTTGGCAATAATTATTTTGCACATCATCAATCCAGGTTAAAAATGACCACAGTTGTCCATAAACCCCATTTTTCCTAATCGAACAACATTTCTGTTCCATTTTTCTTGCAGAGGACATGGACACAGGAGCTGACACCAGCAAGGCTAAGGTACGCACAAGCCTTTATTAGTTCTCATTTGTCTTTTTCACCAGATTGAAATGTGCGTGGTAATCTTTACAATATGGAATTTTCTTTGTCCAGGATGAAGAGGACTATGATGTTATGCAGGATCCAGAGTTTCTTCAGAGCGTCCTGGAAAACCTTCCCGGAGTCGACCCAAACAACGAGGCCATCCGTAGCGCCATGGGCTCCCTGGCTTCCCAGACAGGCTCTAAACCCGACAACAAGAAGGACGAGGAGAAAAATAAATGAACACCTAAAGAAGAACTTAATATATGATATGAATAAAAAAAGACCAGAGAATTGCACCGCATGTGTTATTCACAGTTACATTATTACCCTCCTCCGTACAGGTACCATTTTGTTTATGTGGCTGTGTGCAGGCTGTGTAAACTGGAAACAATGTTTGCTTTTTTTCAACTTAAGGTTAAAGGCCTATTCTGATTTCATTTTTTGTGTCAAGCAGAAATGCTTTCTTTTGAATCTTTTGTAATATAGCTACTCAGTAAGAAGGCAGATGTCCTCAATAAATTTACATAATACAAGGTGGTACTTGAAATTTATTTACAGTTTAATTTGTACACCTACTTATCAATTTAATTTCAATGGATGTTGCATTAATATTTACAAACATCACAGGTACTTCGAATGAGAAGTATCAGTGTATAACTTATATTTAGTATGTAACTTAAAAAGCAGATGAATACAGTTTTATTGTGTTTTTAATGTTTTTCTTGCAGAATTATTTAATAATAATCTGCAGTCGTGTTACCATAGTATGTGAGACCACAAATCAAATGTTATAATAACAGCGTGTCAGCAAGTACTAAAATGTACATACATCTTTCTAGATTTATCGATTCATAATACCAAAACCAGTAGAAATAAGAACATTTACATAAATTTTGTATTTAAATGCAATTTGTAGGTACCTGTACTTCAGTATTTCCATTTTCTGTTACTTTATACTTCTAATCACTGCATCAGAGGCAGATATTGTACTTTTTACTCAACTAAATTTCTTTGATAACCAAAAGTACCAGTCACTCTCCAGATTCAGATTAAAAGATATAATAGTCAAATATATCAATAATAAATAAATTGAGCCTGTAGTGACGTGCCCATTAATACACCAATAATCACAAAACAGTAAAAAAGGTAAATTCTACCAAATGAGTACTTTTACTTCTGGTAGTTTAAATATGTTTTGATGCCATTACTTTTGTAATTGTACGTAATATAGGAGAGCTTCTACCACCAGTCTCCAAAAGTCACGGATTGTAGAGAAAAGTGCAGAATGTTCAGTTCGTATTGGAAAAGTTCTTCATGAAATAGTGTTTAAAATGTTAATTTCTACGAATGTTTTTGAATGACAGCGCTTTAATGTTGTGGACAACCTTTTTGAGGCACCTGGGAAGTCACTGTCGCACAATGTGTTGACGAGAAATTTATGCGTCCGAGAAGAAAGTCAGGAACCAACTTTGCAAACTAACGTTAGCAGGTAATTCAAATTAAATAGAAGCTAATGTTAGCTTCAGCTAGAGCAAATACAACACGCATGAAGTATTATATATTGGGACCGCATTGGCTGAGTGTTGCACTGTTCTAGCTAATTGTAGTTTTTGACTAACGTTACGTGAGGAAAGTTGGCTATTTGTCGTTAGCACGGCCAGCTAGTTAAATGCTAACGTTTAGCTAACGTTAGCTGTTAGCAGAAGGACCCACTTGTTGCAACACCACAGTTAAGTTTGACAGGCGAAACGGCGACTTTCTTGTTTCTTTAGACCTGTTTATCTGTAGTCTGGAGCAGAATAACACCAACTATTCTTTTTATTTAACCAGACAATCGCGACCCTTTTGTGATAACATCTGTCACATATTTTATTTCAATTAGCTACAAGTATAGCTGTCGCAGTCCAACTGTGTCAACGTGTCACGATTAAGTTACCGTTAATATGTAACGTTGTTCTGACTCGTGTGTTGCCCCGATAGGTCTCGAGCCTTGTGCTGGCAATGGGGGACATGAAGACCCCTGATTTTGATGATTTGCTGGCAGCTTTTGACATTCCTGACATTGATGCCAAAGAGGCCATTCAATCAAGTCCAGAGGAGGAACGGGATGAGGTGGGGACTAATTCAGATGATGGAGAGAGTGGGTCTCCATGCTTTCCCTGCCCTCCTGCCTCACACAGTGACCTCCCCGTGGTCAGTGTTATTGTGAAGAACACAGTACGATCTGAGTCTTTGGAAGAGGAGGAGAAGTCTCACAGTGATGTCACAGTCACAGTGGGTGACCTCGCCTCACAACTTGGTCCAAAAATGGCTGCTGATGCCCCCGTGGAGCCACAGATTGCCAATGGCTTTGAGGGATCTGTCCCCAGGAACCAGGGACAGTCCAACACAGAGCCATGGCACCCTTGTTCACCATTGGGGTCCACACTGAATGCTACTGAGAGTAAAAGCGTTAAAGGAGCTGAGGTTGGATTGGTCCAACACGCGACTGATGTCATAACCAGTCCGAAGCCCCTCCCCTACCTCCAGTCTTCGACTAGGGCTGGTCCTAACTCCTCAACTCCCCCTTCCCTACACTCAGTCAGTCCTCACCTTACTTGTCACTCACCTGAGAAGGAGGAAACTTGTCTCTTCAGTAATCCATCGTCCTCCCCTTCACCACAAAATGGGAGTATTAAGGCTGTAATTAAACATGTTATGCACTCAGATGACGATGACTCGGAGCCTGACTTAGGAAGTCCGCTGGTGATCCAGGAGAGCCCAGAATCTGTAATATCCTCCCCTCCCAAATTTAAATACAGAGCAAAAATACAGTCTGAACTTCTTGCGTCTCCTGAATCCCATCCCTGTCTTGTCTCTCATCGTCCTCTGCCTTCTCTGGCACCTGCAAAACCTAAACCCAAACTTGAGGAGCAAGGGCAACCTACCACCCTCAGTTGTGCCTCCACAGCTCCTCAACCACAGAGCCTCCAGGACTGCCTCCCCTCTCTCAGCGCGGGCTCTACATCAGTCCAAGAGGAGAAATACCCAGAGCATGTGATTGATGAAAGGGACTCACCTGAGAGCCCACCGCCCAGTGAGACAGGTTTTGTAATCCCCAAGAGATGCAGAAGTCCTGATACGGCCCAAGCAACGGCAAACCACAAGGACTTAGGTCGCGAAGAGGAGCTCATGGAAGGTGAGCCCAAAGAAGAGGACAGGCCAGGTGACCCTGAGGAGCTGAGTGAAAAGGTGGCTGGAGATGGGGAAAATTCAAACGAGGAGAGCTGTGGTGCTGGCACTGAGGATCCTGGGTCTGCTAGCGCTGCAGACACATTTTCATCTCAATTGCGTCCCCTCAAAGTTAAAATCAAAATGCCTACAGGTAGCGTCACAAGGACTGTGACGGGTGTTGCCCCTAAAAAAAGAGCCATTCCCAAGGGGGCGAATAGTTCAAAACCTTCACCAGAACGTCGCAACACAAGATCCAAGAGGGAGTTATCACAGCAATCTCAGTTGCCTGCAATGGTGATGCTCCAGGATGCCTGTGCCGCAACGCTGGAAGGTGCCAGTACGGTCAAAGACAAAACCGCAGTGGACACCAAGTCTAAAGTTTCCCCGACAGCTGTTAGCATCACCAAAACTGCAGCACTGCCCACCATCTCTGTCTCCACTCTGAGAGTCAGTCCGGGTGGGATCAACCCTCGCAGCCTGGGTCATAAAGCTCTGAACAGTGGGATGACACTTCCGTCACCTTTGCTTACGCCTCATGGTAGCAGCAGACCAGCCTCCATAGTTAACAGCACCGGGGCGATCATATCCAAGACTCAGACCAACCTGGTGGAAGCTTTCAACAAGATCCTCAACAACAAGAACCTCCTGCCCAGTTATAAACCAGACCTGAGCTCACCTCTTCCTGCAGAGTGGGGCCTTCCTCTACCTGCACAGGTAAGCTGTCATTGTGAACAGTGCTGAAACAATTATTTATTAGAATATACTGTATGTTCGTTAACTGAATTTTTGGGGATTTTGGACTGTTGGTTTTCATTTATTTAAATAAAAAAAGCAATATAAGGGAAGAGAATGTGTGCAGTATCTGATATTGCATTATGAACAGTGTCGCAGGTAAATTGTTTTCATTGTAACATATAATGTTCCTTGCAGGCAGCGTTCCTCCAACAGAACGAGGCTTCATTGGTCTTAATTTGACATGACGAGCTCACAGCATTGTTTCACGAGGCTCTATTTAATAATAATGTCAATATCTAAGAAGATGAATGTCTGATCCCGTGCAGGGCTACCGCTGTTTGGAGTGCGGCGATGCTTTTGCGTTGAAGCAGAGCTTGGCGCGGCACTACGATCGCCGCTCGCTGAGGATCGAGGTGACCTGTAATCACTGCGCCAAGCGGTTAGCCTTCTACAACAAGTGCAGCCTGCTGTTACACGCCAGAGAACACAAGGAGAGAGGCCTGATCATGCAGTGTTCACACCTGATCATGAAACCTGTTCCGATGGAGCAGATGATTGGCCACCAGGAACCCAAGGCAACTGGTTGGTTAACATCTGTCTCAGCACTGTTGCTTAACTGTTCCTTTTTTGGGATGTTATTCGTATGTGTGGTTATGTCTCTCTTTGTATACTCCTCATTGATTCCTCTCTCCTTCTCTTTTGTCACCCTGTTCAGGACCATCATCGGCCACCCCAGCACCGATGCCAAATCAAGCAGTGTCCAAGAAGAAAGCCGACACAGTGCAGTACATCAGTAATACATGTTCTGAGTGTCAGGCTCAGTTCCACAGCAAAGAAGAAGTGGCCGCGCATTTCCAAGAAATCCAACCAGCACAAACCTCTGTGAGTCCCTTTCAGTGTGAGGACATTTGTTTTTAAATTTGTTTTCCAACGATAGGAGAATTAACTTAATTCCTTTGTTTTTTCTGTTGTTCTCTAGTCATGCACAGAGTGTTCTCCTCCCATGCTTCTGCCCAACAGCTGCAGTGCAGCAGCTCATCAACGCATCCACCAAGGCTGTCCTCCACACGTCTGCCCAGAGTGTGGGGGCACGGCCAAGCAGCCGCTATTTCAAACGCACCTTAACGAGACCTGCTTACACTTTGCACGACGCATTGGATACAGGTGTGATATCGTTGTTGTAGACACAGGAGTTCTGTTTACATGCCCGTGTTTCCCCCTCTTTCCTCTTGCCATTTAACAACTCTTTCTCTCTCTGCAGATGTTCCAGTTGCCTGGTAGTCTTTGGGGGGCTTAACTCGGTGAAGGCTCACATTCAACAGGCTCATTGTGATATGTTCCACAAGTGCCCTAACTGTCCTATGGCTTTTAAATCTGCTCCCAGCATACAGAACCACATCAGTGCCCAACATCCAACGCTCACTGAAGGACAGACCATGTATATATTACAATACACACACACACACACAGATGTGCTTTAACTCATGAAAATAAATGTTTCCTCTCAATTAATTAACACCGTTCTTTATCCTTTTTACAGGTCAATATATAAATGTGTCATGTGTGACACAGTTTTTACAAACAAGTCTCTGCTGCACGTCCACTTTGACACTCATCTAACCAATCAAAAGGTGCATGTGTTTAAATGCCCTGAGTGCACCAAGTTGTTTTCTCAGAGGAATTCCCTTTTGGATCATTTCAAGGTACATGTATGCTTACATTATGTCTAATTTCATTCAGTTAGTGTTAAGACAGCCTTATAATGCCACTTTTTTTTTTTTTTTCTTCTTCTGTTCCTCAGACACATAAGACTCCCTCGTTGAAACAAGAGTTGCCGTCACCTCCAGCTGCTTCCTCTCATTCACGGCCTTCAGTGAAGTTGGAGAGCTCAGATGGAGAGGAGTGGCTGGATGAAGAGAAGGTGAAGACGGAGAGGATGAAGACCCCCTCCGGATGGAAGTGTGCACCTTGCCATGCACGCTACACAGACCGGGAAGACTACATTACCCATATGGCTGAGCAACATAGCAAGGTCTGGAAGTCCGCCATACCCCCTGCTGTCAAAGATGTCTCATTTGACTGAATAGATTTAGTTTTTAGACACAGCTATAAATGAATAGATGTTTTTGTGTTTGTTATGTAGAATCTGAAGAAGTTTCCTTGCAACAAGTGTGAGAGCTCCTTCACCACCACCTCCAGTATGAGACGTCACATCAGAGACAAACACAAAGTCATGAACCGCTTCCGCTGCGAGTGAGTATCTCAAATTCTGCATTCCTTATCCTGATTGTGACACAGTTGAATTTGCTGGCACTTTGTCCAAAAGTTGAAACTATTATCAAGAGCATTTCTGTTTATAACACCAAGGTGGTGACCTCACTGATTTCAGGTCGTGAGTATGAGTAGGATTTGTCAGTTGCTTTTTGTAAACACCACTTTTTAAAGTTGGCCCTTCCTCCCTGGTTTAACAAGGTGTACGGGGCTCGTCAGCGGGTTAAAGCCAACCCTAGATTCACAACACGGGTTATGGAACAGTCGTAATTTAATACTGATGACTCTATATGACCTACATAAGTAAACAAGACCATCGGGCTGTTTATATGTAGCTATTCTTAATGCTGGTCATTGGTGCCACCGGATTCCGTGCAAAATCAGATGAAATCATGTAGGTTCACCAGAAAGTCCTTCAGCTTAGACTCCGGTGGGGCCTGCATGCATAGTGTATATGCGCTTACAAAGACACACATAGAGAAGGGGAGAGAGAGTGAAAGAGAACCTCCTCTATAAGAGCGTCATACTTACCTTTTTTAGTGCATTTTATACGACGTACTAAGACATTTTATGGAATACTCTATGACTTGTTTGTCTTTTTGGCATAATACACTATGATTTCTTAATGGCATTGTTATAGCATACTATACTATGAAAGTTCATGCAATACTCTACTCTTTATTACATATTTTTGCATACTAAACTATGACCGTTTTAAATGGCATTTTTATGAAATGCTACACTATGACATTTAATTGAATACTTTGTTTTGTTTGTTTTGGCATAATGTACTATGATTTGTTTATAGCATTTGTATATGACCTACTATATTACGACATTTTATGCCTTTTTTATGACGGACTAAACTATTTTTTTTTAATTATTCCTTATTCCATCGGCTATTTGTGATTTTAGGGGTAATGCTTGTATAATAATAAATAAAAATGTCAGCCTTACTTTAACTGGGATTCCTGAAATAGGCGATGGTCCAAAAATGATGATTACATCAAACCTTCACTGCAGTTAATAAATCGTGTGTGTGTGTGTGTGTGTGTGTGTGTGTGTGTGTGTGTAGGTTCTGCAGTGAGGGTAAGAAAACATTCAGCAGCAGAGCAATGTTGGAGAAACATGTTCAGCAAAGACACAGCATGGACCCAGGGAGCCAGAACACACCGATAGTAAGCCACTCTTCTCTTTTCCAGAAGTCAAACAGTTAACTATTTTTACTAAGATGTTGTTAACTGCAGCTTGATTTCCTCTGGTCGCAGGGAGGCAGAGATGAGGCCGACAGTTCCTCAGAACAGGACGGTAGTTTGGGGTCTTGCCGGAGACGGAAAGTTGCTGTGAGGATGGAGCAGGAAGAAGAGTCCACTGATGGAGTGAGTCCAGTGAAGAAGTTGCGGACCTACTCCTCTGCCCCCTTCGAGTCTGGGTTCCGCTGCTCCCCCTGTGGCTTCACCACAGAGGACCAGGCATTGTTCCTGGAGCATATCGGCCAGCACCGACGAGGAGGGACAGAGGGCGGCAACGGCGGTCAGCAGTGTCTACAGTGTGGCGCCTGCTTCACATCCACCTCTGCCCTGTCACGCCATCGCTTCATCACCCACAAAGTGAGAGACGCATCCACTGATAACCAGCAATCCATCAGCATGCACCCAGCACCTTCCCCTGGTACCAACAGGAACCACGAGTATAAGAGTTCTCTGGACGGTTCGGCACCAGCATCACCCGCCTCTCAATCCTCCATGGCTCAGGGGAGGGAAGAGGAGGGCACACTGGCCTGCAGGGTGTGTGACAAACAATTCGAAAAGGCAACAGATCTGACTACACACTTCAGAACTCACGGTATGGCTTTTATCAATGCAAGGAACGCCGGCAAAAATCCCTAAATACATGGCTAAGAGCACTGTCTGTTGGTGATGACAGAATATTTACACGTGCCTTTATATACTGTCGACTTGTTATCAAAGAGTGGGTTAGCAGTCTTTTGCAAGAATTAAACCAAAGAGAGGTGATATAACAGAGTTCCCATGTGAATAGATTGTTTTACAATCGGATGTGATTTTTACTGGTGAGGATGAGATTAACCTTTTACTTGACACTCAGGATCTGATGCTACATTTCTGTGGTCAGTAGTGATGACTAACAGGATTAGAGCTGCTTCTTTGTCGGTGAACAGCTAGTCTGACTAGTCGCTGTGAGCCTACTGTGATGATGATGGATGTTTCATTAAATGTTGATAGTCAGTGATGGAATGTGTCTGTTTTGATTTCTATATTTTCATCTTACTGAGAAGTATGAACAGCAACCCAGGTATTTTTCTGCAAAGTCCTTTTTATTATTTTTTATTACATATTCTTAAATAAGCATTGCAGCAGTTTAGAATGTTAACTCGGTTACCTTTTAAATATGTATACTTTTTTTATTGCCATTTTCAGAAACGTACAATAACAATGTATATTGATTGCCACCTCCAAAAGCAATCATTGACTTCTATACAAATGTGAAATTTGGTCCTAAAAAGACTAATTTTGGACCCACTTCATTTGTCTAACTGAGATTGCTGAAACTAAATTTCTGAATATATTTCTTCACAGAATGATCCCAGAATTTACCCCCATAGTTCATCATATTGTGAAGGAATGTCTTCACTGCCAGAATTACAGTGACCAATAACAATTAAATTTTCAACTTTGCTTTGGGCAATGGTCAGCAAAAACCTGAAGTGTAAACAATTTGTTGTTAATGGAGAAAACTGAATGAATGTTAATGTATGAACATTAGATTAAGTGAGTTATTCCTTCTCTGTGATGCGTTTTCTAAATGTTTTATGAGACAAAAGATCAGTATGTATGCGATAATGTCTGTTCCTTGTGCTTTTCTGATGTTTTGAAGAACATGTTGAACTCTGTACTTTAAATTAGTTTTCATGCTTTGCACTGTTAAAAATCTGATGTTGCAGCATAGCTCAGTGACTGTCAGCAGGTTGTTCTTGATGTGTAAACTTAGCTTCCATATCAACACAGAAAGAAATCCGTTTAATTTCAGAACTGTTAAACTAAATTGTTGCTTGATACAAAGAGATCTGAGAGGATATGTTAATAGAGGGATGTGTTTTGATTCAGTGGCACTTTTTTTCTTGCTGTTCATGTCCACAGGATCAATTGACTGAGCCTATGCATCCCCGTCTGAGTTTTAGTTTTTAAGAACTTTTGTCATCAGTGACCTGTTTGTGCTCACTTTCTCAGGAGGTTATCCAATGCTTGAACACTCGTTGTTCTATTTAACTTTTCTGTTCTTGCATTGAAAAGACGATTTATATCCAAAGTTTTAAAAAAAAATAAAAAATAATAAAAAACTGGCACATTGTCTTATTTTAACTTGTTTTTGTCTTCAAATACCATTTAAACAGTAACTGAGTACGTATATATCAATATTCTTTATTGAGTTGAATCACTTTTCATTTTGTCAGTGCAGTGTCAAATAAAGACAAACAAATATTCCTCTTCATTGTAGTGACAGAGTATTTAAAAGCAATAATAGCGATTCCTTACACAGATGAACAGGTCATATGATTATGCACTTAATGTTTAGAATAGGCACACTTCTATGCTCACACAAGTTATCTCAGACTTGGCTTATCTATGAAAAACATGTCTTCATCACAAATAACAAACTTGAAGAGTTAAATGTCACAAGTGCACCTAATGTTAATAAGGCCGGGTGTGTGGTTAGCTTAAAGCCCCTCTAGGTTTTGCAGTTGGATGTGGTGGCTTTCTGTTCTCACAGCAGCAGGAAACCCATGAAGAGTAACAGAAAGGGCTTGATGAGAGCTGAGATCCCCTCAATATTCAGCGATGGAGTACCTGCACGAGAGCGATATGAAGACTGAATGCAAAGAATTTCTCACTGAGCCTTGAAAGTCCATGAAAACCTATTTTCTTACTATGAAGGATGGGGTCTTACATAAACACACTATTTTCTACCACTGAATGAATTTACAGCAGCGGACATGTATGTTGTTACCTGAGTGGCCAGATTGCCGTGTTTGGTCAGGTGACCCGGTCAAAGCACTTTCAAGTGCGGTCAGCTGCTCATCACTCAGCGAAGCTCGCTGTTCACTGGTTACCATTGCAGCGTTGTCGGGTCCAAGAGCTTTCAACTGAGTAACTGAGAGTGCCTGAGGGGGGAAACGGAACCAAAATCACTTTAATAGCATAGAAATACAATCCTATTAAGATTACTGGATACGAGCAAGATTTCTTTTTCTTTACTAAACAACGCACCCCGTTTTTTAAAGTTGAATATTTTGTATTAAAAATTATATACAGATTTATTTTTAAAGTTGTAGTAAAAGGGCAGACTATATTATGTCTTTAGAGTCATAAGATGTCATAGCATGTAAAAAAATAGTATATTTATGTCGGAAAAAAAATAGTCATTGTAGGCCTATAGTTTAATTCATAATAAAGTATATTTAATGAAAGTCATAAAAAATGTATGTCGAAAAAAGTAGTGTCATAGTGTAATATGACAAAAAAAAGTCATACAAAAAGTCATACAAAAAAGTAATGGTATAGTAAGTCAGAAAAAAGTCATAGTATAGTATGTTGGAAAAAGTCATGAACAAGTCATAGTAATGAATCTAGGAAAAAGCAATTGGATGACTGGATAGTCAAGAAAAAGTCAGAGGATAGTATATATAAATCATAGTCATAAATAGTCATACAAATTAAAAAATTAAAAAGACTATTGTTAAGTCCAAATATCTCTACTTAAGTATAGTACTTGATAAAATGTACTTAACTAGATTTGGCTCCAAGCTGAAAGACGATAGAAATCAATAACAAAAGTTTGAGAAAGTTACTTACAGCCCAGTGTAGTATGTGCTGGATGCAGAACTTGCTGATAAATGAGAAGACAGCCGGGTCTAAAGAAGCCAACTCAGCTGAATCCAACCCAGCTGAGGGAGACGGAAACAGCTTGTCAGTATATTTGTTAAAAGCTGCTCGGCACAGAACGAGAACGAAAACTAGTTTCTGCACCAGCCAACAATTTACAGTACTTCCGGAGAATAATACACTTGGGTTATGTGTGCAAAGAACACAGAGTAGAGGTGATTGTCTAACCAATGATGTTGCCCAGCTCAGACACTTGTGCTTCAGTCCAGGTGTTGGGTTTTCCAAATGCAGACACAGCAAGATTTTTCAACTGTTGTGCAAACTTGTAGGAGCATTGAACACCATCCATTGAGCCCACAGCGTCCCTGTGACACACACAGACACATCATGACATAGTACAAATATTTGATTCTTCTCTAAAGAATGCATACTTTGTGAACTTAACAAAAAGCTTGAAAGAAATTTCATTTTTGATTGTGAAACCATATTTGGTTCAAAACTATTTAAGCTTCCAGAATTCTTTTGGTAAATAGTCTACAAATTGGACGTTAAGACCAGAGATTAAAACATATGGTGGAGGTACATGAGAGAAATACAGAGTTTGTACAATATAATATTTTTGTATCTCTCTCTTGACTGATCTAAATTTACTAGTAGTGAGTTCTGTATGGTGCACAAACTTGAAGGCGGCCACGTTGAGCTGTCCGAACTCGCTGGAGTTTAGGCCACAGATGAACTGGCTCAGTGCTACCATGTCTGCAGCATCCAGCTGCTGCACTCTCAGGTTGCTATATGAAGTAACACCCTTCCACACCGCCTCCATCTATTGAGACAGGTTATCTTGATTAGTGAACATCATGGTAATCAGTATACGAGTAGTAGCAAGCCCCCAGGAAGAGCACCAGGGTTTGAAGCAAATGTGTACATAGTGGCAAAATGGTGGAATTACAACTTCTGGGTCCCAAAAATACTTTTTCCAATAGACTTATATATTTGGAAAGAGATGGATGTAAATCAACGGATATTTTCAACTTTCAACTTTCCAGTACGAACACTTGAATAGCCCTTATTTGAATCATAAGGTCCTAAAAGTTGTATAATGCACTAACAGCCAAATCCAGAATTATTTTTCTCCCTCGATTTATGTGACTGAGCCTGTGAACAAGGTTTGACCGGGAGCTGGGAGGCGGACTTAAAGGAAACGCTGGTGTGTATGCTCTACGGGGCCCATAGATGTGGAAGAAGGCTGAAAATCGCTGAGAGATCCTGGATCCAACGCTGTTTCCTGTTTTCTTCATACATTCACGAGTAGCAGTCATGAACATATGAAGCTGGTTTCATTCTTCACCTGTGGATCCTTCCAGCCACATTTGGCAATTTCCTCCAGAGTGTCGAGTGAGAAGGGGAGCTTCTCCAGGTCTGCATTGGAGAAGCCCCGAGTTATGCATCTCATCTGTATCACCTCACTCTCAGTCATCTGTGACACTGGGCCCAATACCTGCAGAAACACACAGAAACAATCAAGTGAATCAAGCTTTTAATCAGAAAATGATTGTGATGAACACAAAATGCTGGGTGTCTATATCAATACATGCAATGACAGCATAAAAAAGGTTGTTGATTCACATTTTGAATAAGTTTTGAACTTGAATTTATATTCATTATATTCTTCATGCACTTTCAGTTTCGATGATTAAACACATTATTTTTTAGATATTAGGAGGGAGGGTGTGGGAGACATTTTTTTCAAAATTTTGTTAAAAAGTTAAGGTTCAGCTGCCCTCCAAAATAGTGTTCCTACAGTCCCTCATTGTGGTGACCTCACTGCCAACCTCCACAATCAAACCAAAAGAATGAAAACCCCATGAAATGTTAGAACAAGAAAAAATTATAAATTGACTTTCTCCCTATATCAATGCACCAGAGGAGTCCTCTGTTCACTGAATGAACAGAACCAGGATCGGTGCCTCTATTGTACCTCAATTGCTTTTTTACTGAGCACGGCCAGTTGCTCTGCCCCCCAGTTGGAGACAGCCCCAAGTGTTTCTAAAGTAGCGAGGAAGGTTGTGTCTGACATCTGACTAAGCTGTGCAGGATTCCAGTAGACGTTGTCGATTCCAAGTTCTTCAATCAACGCCACAGTGACTTCTTCATCATCATTTCTGGTGGCTGAGAGGGACAAGAGAGAAACACATAGCAGGTGAGAAATAGAAAAGTACAGTGGAGCAATGCATCACCATTTTTTTGCGCGGTATCACTAAGTCTCTTTTTACATGCTGCATTTGATGTGGTGGTGGTGAGATCGAATATTTTTTTTCCCAGGGCTTTTGAGGGGCGCATGCCCGACTTCAGGAAATAGAGAACGTCCTTCATCCAGGGCTGACACAGACAGAGAGGGAAACAATAAAGAAAACGGTATTATAAGAAATATATGCACAAATTATTGCGACTAGAAGAGTGCGGAGCTGAACTCCCTCTTGGTTTTGAGTGATGTATTGATAAAAATGTGGAACATTATGTGCTGCATCAGTGGTCAGATGACATGTGATGGTTAAGACAAAAGATACACACCTTATAGGGCAGAGCAGATGTGGCATTGTCATCCAAAAGGAGGAGAGGACCCAGTGTTTCCATAGTCTCAGCTGTCCAATTAGATGGATCCCTGCAAAAGATTTAAAAAAAATGCATGACTCTTGCTTTCTCTGCAGCTACTCAGGCATCCACAGGGAAACTGTCCTACCCAAAAGTCTGCACGACCAGCTGAATTATATCTGCCCTGTGTCGCTGAGGAATGTGCTGGCAGGAAGCCATTTCCTGGAGGCTGAAGTTGAGGACATCTGGGGCCATTTGGAGCAGTTGGAAAGGCTGAAGCTCACATAAAAGAGGTCCAAGCTTGGACACAGTCTCATTTGTCAGTCCAGATAGGTCTGGCCCCTGCAAATACATAGTGAATATCTTAGGTTGATGTTCACACGATAGACTCAAAATGTTACAATAATAGGTGTGGAGCAGTTGACAATTTAAAGGAAAAAGTGAATAATGAATAATTCTAAATTGAACACCTATGAAACATTTTGGACCAATGTGTTGGACATCAAAACACCAAATGAGGAAATATATTTTGGCAGAGTTCAGGAAACTTGGACCATCTACGCCAAGGAGCATTTTTGCCGCTCTAATAGCTCTTGATGATTCAGCACCTTGATGAGATAGTTGTTAGCTTTTTCCTTTAACTTATCACCCGTCTGTATCCTTGCGTGTACTTCGGCCAGGCAAAGCAGAGCTCTCTTAGTGAGTGCGGGGCGAGAAGGGGAACGATGAGGCAATGAACTCAGGTTGGCCTCTTCTATCTTCTCGAGTAAGACGGGACACACAGAGTCAGGCAAATCCCCCACCTTCCTAGGCCTGGGATAGTGTAAATGACATAGAAAGCTGTTACATTTTGGTATGGATTTTAAGATAAAGTGTGTTAGAGAAACTACTTTCTTTACGGCAGGTGAAGAAGTAAGTATGTGGGAATGTTGTTCATCTCCTCCAGAGTGACGTTTTTGAAATAGCCAACTCTCTCTTTCTCCTTAGTTGCAAAAAGCTTTCTGGCCGCCCATCCTACCTGAAAAGGTATATTTGTTGTCAATTGGTATACTCTAAAAATAATTAATCTACATATGTGTGTACATACTTTATGTGTGAGTAAATACATACCTGCGCATTGGAGAGCCAGTGCGGAGTCTCTGTTATGGCCTGAGCCATGTCTTGCATATCATTGTCCGCTACATCGTCTATCATCTCAGCGGTTACTCCCTGAAAGACTGAATGTAGCTTCCTGCCTCGGCCAATAATGTTTAGTATGTAAGCATGATAGGCAAATGGCAAAAATGTACAAACTAACAAGAGCATGCAAATAACTGAAACAATACATATGCCTGCATTAAACAGGAATTTGGTAAAGCTAACGAGGTTTTTTCTACTACATGTCAGAAGTGATGATTTAAGTCAAGTGTCATTGTTTTCTCAACATGGAGACACTGTTTTTTTCAGTGTTAATCTTTTATATAATAATTTCATATATGATAATCAAAGATGTTTTAGAGGATTGACAATGTTACTTGCTCAGTTGATGACCAATGTTCAATGTTATAGACATACTAAAGATCATCATTTGCTTTGATGATCTTGAAAATGACCACGAATTTGAATTAACACCTCTTGCCAGTCACAACAGAAACAATTTAGCCGTATTATTGTAAGGCTTTTGTATTGCATTGTATTGATTGGAAGTTCTGCTTTTTGTTCACTGCTGTATCTTACCAATGAAACTTCTTTCCATCGCGCATCATGTTTTTTGCAAAGTGAGCTGCCTATAAGTCGGACAGATTGCACCAATTTTTAGTATATACAACTCATTACTTAACTAACAATTAACAGATACATTCTGAAAGTAACTGTAATCGACATTGGTTTACAGTGAATGTTTTAAGAACAACAATAATAAGACAGATAATTCAAAATATGTTGAAAATGTGTAATGAAATGTGTTAATAGGTCATTGCTGTTGACAGAGGAGGTATTCAGGGGCATTACCTGTGGCTGAGACCAAGTTTCAGACACCACTTGGTCCAAAGAGATGTTTGCTTTGTCCAGTTTGTTTAGAGAAAGCCTCTGAAGCAAACGGCCGGACAACTTCCGCATCATCTCTGAGGGAACCATTTGTCCAAGCGGCTACAGGGAGATATTCAATTATTTTCTAAAATTATGGTCACAATGTTTCTAAATTAAATCACATATATGAACAAAATCACTGTTTATTTGAGAATGAGAGTTGGATTTTCATATAAATCTGTAGGCATCAGAGTCATAGCTGGTGGTAATAAATAAAGTTCACTTGTAATTCCTGCTGCTCTCTCCTTACTCACCCCCTGCAGCATAGCCATCAGCTGCCCCTTTGTCATCTGCATGCACATGTTGCTCAGGCCCTCTTTATCAAGCAGTATGTTCTTGATGTTTTTGAGCACACTGCTTGGCAAACCACCTGCAACTGACTGAAGGTAGTGAGGAAGTGAGCGCATAAGAGCGCCAGACTTCCAGCAGTCATGCAAGCTCCTGTTATTGCAAAGCAATTTCTTGGACAGGGTGCGCTGCTGGCCCCGTGTCCATTGGACGGTGGATCCCACATTTTTGAGTAATTCTTTGAGTGGTTCGTCAGGAATCTCAGACAGCTGTTTGGGAGACAGCAAGGCAACACTTATGCCCAGCTTGCCAAGTGCTTCAGTGCTGTTTGTATTTGACATCACAGACTTGACAAGAGTCATCTTCAGCTTTAGTCAGTAGAGGGTAAGAAGACAAAAGAGAAAGAAAATGTTACTTCTGTTCTGGCCGAGGGGGCCATGGGTTGAAGTTTGGGTAAGTTTAAGCAAGTAATTGCTACCTGTTTGATCTTGGGGTTGCTGAAGTCATCGCAGCTGTTAAGCTCTGAGAGGAGTTTCCTGCTGATGTCAGGAGTCAAGTCTGGAGCAGCGGAAAAATGACAGGCCAGTATGCCGAGCCTGACGAGGAAGTGGATAAGTAGTAATTATTTAAACCTTGAAATTGAATCAGCTCTCTATAATGTTGAGTACATTCACTTATATACAGAATTATCATAATACTAATGTCCCATTCTCTGTCATATAATGAGTGACTGTATGTATGTATAATGATTTCTCTCTTAGCTGTTAAGACCTTTCCTCCTTAAAAAAACCCCTAAAGCTCCCACATTCAGGGTAAACAGTGAGTGGAAGGTTTCATCTGTCCTCTTCAGTTTTACCAAGAAATGACATGACATGGGAAAGACAGAAAAACCCGAACATATCTAGAAAACAAGTTATGATATAGATCTAGATTCGGATACAGAGTCTTTATGTTTTAAGTTTGTCATTAGTTTTTAACTGTAAAGCACATTCATGCATAAATACTTGTCCACATTCTCAGCAAACTCCTTCTTTCCACGGAAGCACTCTTGAAATTTTTGGAGAAACTTCATGCCCAGGCTTGGATTGATCTTAGAGGTCATATTCATAGCGGATGTGAACTGGGCTGAGCGGAAAAATTCACACAGCTAGAGGAGAAAATGAAGGAAACAAAGCAACAGAGCTACGAATTAAAATCCTGTCCTTTGCTGCTGGTTGCATTGGCTCTTCACCCTTCTCTGCAGACCATCTAACCTGTTCTTTGGGAGAAGTATCAACGTCTTTTGTTGCTAAACAGGAGATGTAAGGTCCCATCATGGTCAACGCCTCCAAGTTCAGCCATTCCAGTAAAGGTTTGCATCTCTTCATCAGCACTACAGAGTAAATGAGGCTGTTACAAGTCACATTCATACTTAACAGAAAAGTGACAACAGGAAAGAGGCAGGAAACAAGGCGTCACACCAACCCATTCAGGATTTATGGCCGGGTAAGATTTGGTTGTTTGCTGTACTGATGAGTGTTTATTGTCACCAGTGCTGGAGACTATCCCCTTCCTGTAGCACTTGATATTATCTTTGATTTGCATGATTCCCTAGATCTAATATGTCCCATCTAAACAAATACATTTGCAAGCATACTTACTGTGTCTAAGAAACGCACACAAAAGATGCAGCGTTTCTGTGACACAAACAATCCCCCATTGTCCTTTGTCCTTGCTCTTATCACAGATTTTCTCCTGCTTGATTTTTTCAAAAGGTTTTTTAATGACACAATTGTCCACTTGCTTTGTAGGATTTACATACGAGAGGCTCGTCTACCTCCCGCTTTTCCAGTCTCTGTTATTTTTCATCTTTTTTCTGTTTCACATAGGAGTATGAATTAATCATATTTTCTCATGAATAGTTAATGATAAATATATCAGAATGTTTGACTTGACTTTATCGTAGAGAATGGTTTCTGATGGTCTTAACTAATTTCTTACTTGATCTTGGGTCAGATGGTGGCCTCATTGTACAGTTGAAGTACTTCTGTGTGATCTGTTCTTTCACCCATCTTACCACCCGAGTCCTTTGGTCTTTAGACATGGCATCATACACCTCCATCAGCACCTTCATCCTGGAACCAACGACCAATTTTACAATTTTAGGAAAAGCTGCTGAGAGACAGCGGAGGAAGTAATTACATAATGGCACACTCACATTTTTTTCAGGTTTTGGCGTCTTCCTACGTCAGTGGGAAGGTTAAAAGGCATATTCCGCAGCGCAGGTTTGGCAGCCGAGAGCAGTGTGTCATACTCGTCTGAAGTCATGTTGTTTTCACTCCGTGAGGTCAAAGTCGCCCAGCACAGAGGAGCCACAAATGCTTGCATGTAACATGCAGATGCCACCTGAGTGAGTGAGAGAGATGTCAGGAATCAATAGAGGGCCAGAAAGCTGCATTAGCTAATGGATTATGTTTTATTTTCTCAAGATCTTGGCATTAGTGTGGTCTGGAGTACTGACAGAGGAGTTCCTCATCAGCTTGAGCATGGTTGGAAGATTCTTGAAATTCCACATCTTGGTTGTCTAAACGAGATAGAGAAAAAATAGACAACTAATGTCTTCTGGCTAAGAGGTGCAGTTAAACAAATAATAAATAAAATGACCCATAAACCAGTAAGATAACAATTGGAATGCTCCGAAAATAACCAATAATCAATAATTATTGACAGTGGTTTAAGTGCTTGAGTGTGTGTGTGTGTGTGTGTGTGCGTGTATTCGCACCAGTTCTTCGTCGGTAGAAACAGAATGCAGGACATTGAGAAAAGTAGGTAGGAGGGTGCCAGATTGCTCAGAGTTTATGTCTGTCATAGGCAAGTCACTGAAAGAGGATTGAAAGTGGAAACAGTTTTTTGGTCAGTAGAAATGGTTTTAAATATTAAGTGTTGCATTTTAATTTTCTGATTAATTTTAGTCTTTAATCATCCATTTTCACTTTTCTTAGCAGCCCTCTCCTTCCTACACTTTGGTCAGGAGCCAATACATGTATATTCATAAAAAGGCACCTAAACATTTGAACATCTGACATTTTCTGCCTCTTTGGGAAATCAACCAGACAGAACAGGGACCCGCACACAGACACAGAATTACTTGTTATTGAAGACAGTTTTCAGCTGCATTATCTCAGGCGCGGGGTATCCTGTAACAGAGAAACCCTCCATATTTATATGTTGCACAGTTAAACAACATCAGGACTGGTCTGATTATTTGCCATGTATTATTGTGTCTTGCATTATGAATCTCTCTCTCAGAGGAAGAGAAAGAGAGAGAGAGAGAGAGAGAGAGAGAGAGAGAGAGAGAGAGAGAGAGAGAGAAAGTTCCCTCACCCTTAGTCTGGCACTTCCTCATCTGATGAAAAAAAGACAGACATCAGGGTCATCGTTAAGGTATGATATGTAATTGTTTAACTTACTCTCTGTGAATGGTTAGAAAAACTTATTGAACTGAAAAAACATGTGAACAAGACTTAACTACAGTACTTTTGGGGTTTTCTATATACTTTATATACAGTATATGAACAAAAAAAAGTTTCATAGACTGATGGTAGATGCTGACAAGAAGCTGTGATCTTTAAAAAAACAATTAAAATGAAAGGCACAAAGTGTTCATGGACCTGAAAAGCCTGTGCAACAAGTAGGCCATACAGTTGTAAAACTAGAATGTGTGTGTGTGTGTGTATGTGTGTGTGCATGTTTTTTTTCCTATAAACTCATCACTGTTCTGCAAAACTTCAAGCACTACACAATCTCAATGTGATGATGAATTATTATTATTCTAAAAATCTCTTCTCTTTGACAATGAAAGCTTTACTTGACAATAAGAATCCCCTTCAAAGCTAATATTCAAGAAATGACATACCAGTTTTTTGGCCATGTCTCTGAAGTCACGTTTATTTTTTGGCATCCCATCTGGTGGTATAGCTTAATGAATAATTATGAAAAGACACACATTAACAACATGCATACATTTGGGCTTGCATTTCTTAAGACCATCAATGTAATGGTGTTGTTGCTTACCCAAGGCTGCACAGGCCACAATGAGGAGAAAGAAAAATGTTCCTCCTTTCGGGGCCATGGTGAAAAGACCTGCCTGCCTGTCTGTTGAACACGAGGACAGAATTCAAAGAAGTTATTCATATCAACACATATTACCAGTCATTTTGACTTTTGTATTCTTTGCATTATGTAACAATGTATTTCTTTCCATAACAGAAACTTATTCAGTTTTGTTATTCAGTCTCTAGTTGTTATGGAACCTGTCTCCATGCAAACCACCTCCAGTTTTATGACAAGCTTCCTCCTCTGAGGATTTGTGATCTAGTTACCACCCTTGTAACCCATCTTACAGGAGACTCCACGGACTTTGGAGGATAACATGCTGTGAAAAACATGTTTGGAAAAGTACATGATGTGCTTGCCTGCTTCTGGCCTCTTCTGCCATCACTTTTGCATAAACACAAACTTTGAATTCAACATGGTCTCTCACATAGTGGAGCAAACATTTGCATGTTGCTTCTTTGCTTTCAATTAGTTTGCTCTCCATTGATTTGACTTCTCATTTAAAAATACGTGATTACCAAAAAGGGTAGAGTAAAAATAAAAATTGATACGGTTTTAGTGCCTATTGTTTTATGTGCTGGGTATATAATCACATATATCAAGAATTAAAAAAAATTAAATAAAACACAAAAACACATTTATACCTATACGTTTAAGCAAAATAATGGCTTCAACATAATTACATACCGGAAACTATCAACGCATCACAAAGACTGAAAAGGGAAACAAAGAACGTATTGATTTATGTACAAATTACTTTTTACTTACATAATCTGCGTCCGCTACCAGGTAGAATCTTAAAACAATGCAATTTAAAAACAGAAAAGTAAAGATGTGCGTGTTGTTCCTCTGCCTCTCTCACTGTGAGTAGGCTGGGTGGTAACCTGTTCTCCTGAATACCTGAAGTAGGTGCATCTTATTTAATGATTTCTGTGGGTGTGTGTGTGAGAGAGAGAGAGAGAGAGAGAGAGAGAGAGAGAGAGAGAGAGAGA